GTTGGGTTCTTTATTTTTACCAAAATTCCTAGCTAGAACTTGGGTCTTTTTGTGGCTGCAAAAATGTGTTGAGGGCTAATTTTTTCAATTACGATAATGTAGAGTAAACACTTTTTGGCGATTTGTATTTTGAAACGTGCAAATGCCTCAATTTGATAAAATTTCTTTCTCAGCTTATATGCACTTATGTGCCTTCAATAAGGCACAGAAAGTTCAAGTTTAGACCTGTTTGCGTTTGGGACTTTTTGAAGAGTTCTTGAAAAGCTACCTTTTTTTAATTTATTTTAAATTTAATTTAAAAAATATGCAAAATCCACCTTGAAACGCTCCAAAATAGGCGAACCTTAATTTGTTTAATATTCTCAGGAGTCATTTATGTGTCTTCAATAAGCTACCGGAAATTCAAGTTTCGACAATCTGCTTAGGTTGGGAACTTTTGGAGATTTTTAATAAACGTGCCTCCAAAAATGCAAATTTCAACTCCGGTTGAAAACCTCGGAAATAGTCAATGGAAAAATGAAATCAATTAAATCGAAAATAATAAATAAATGAAAATGTCGCTATATATCTTCAACATGTTACTGAAATTTCAGCCTTGTTTGAAGTTGGAATTTTTGAAAATATGCCTACCAAAATAGTTTCGTGTTGTTCAACTCGCTTGTGCCCTCACAACTAAATGTGTTTGCAAAAACTGCGTACAGTAGGAACTCGCGTTTGAAAACTGATTTAAAACAAGTAAACTCTCAAGTTTGACTAAAGTTTCTATCAAATCTGCACCGCTGTGCTTTCAATATGTTACGAAACGTTCAAGTATTTACCTGTCTGCGTTTGGGCTTTTTTGTTTAATCTGACTATTCAATTGCATTTTCAACCTATGTTTGCAAAATCATGATCGACTGGAATTTGCAAACACAAGTCATTGATGTCTTCAACCGGTTACAAATGTTTTTATAATTCTTCTTGCTTAAATGTGAACCTTTCTTAAAAGACTGCTGTCTGCTAAAAGCACTTCAGGTCCCAGTTTAGAAATTTACGAAGAACTCGCTGGATTTTTAACTCCGTTTAAATCATCATCACGATATGCTTATGTGTGTCTTAGGCTTGTAACGAAAATATGTTTCTAGTTTCTACTACTTGCTCAGATTTGGGGTGTCTGCTAAAATGTGCCAAAGGCAACAGTCGAAGAATTCCCATAAATTAGTGAGGGCTCGGCTTAGACTGAAATTGTGGACGTTTGAGCTTCTATTTGTCTTTAATACGTTCGGAAATTTTCACAGATTTGTTCAAAACTTGCCAGCCAAAATGCAATAAAAAATTGAAACTTTCCGGAAAAAAACACGTCGATTTGATCACATTCTTGTAATATGCCTTCAATAGTTTCAAGTTTCGACCTGCTTACGTTTGGGACTTTTTTGTACCGTTTTTTAAATTTGATTCATACTCTGATAAATGTATCTTTATTAAGCTTAAAAACCCATAAGTTTCGATCTACTTGGGTTTGGAACTTTGCAGTTTTTTTAAAACCTTAAAAAAAGCTTAAAACTTTCCAGAAAAAATGGTAGTTTAATTGGACTAACATTCTCAGAATGTATACGCTTATGTGCCTGGAATACAGAAAATTCAAGTTTCTACTTGCTTGTATTGGAGACCCGAAAAAGTGTTCTAATCCGCCTGCTAAAAAGTGCATTGCAGTCTGCGTTTTGAACATTTCCAAATACTCAGTGAACCGTCCACTGTAATTAACATTCTCACGATATGTGCATTTAGAAGCATTCAATAAGCTGCGAAAATTGCAAGGTTCTAGCTACTTGCAATTTTTTGTTTCCCAAAAATTATCAGCATAATAGACGGTACATTAAAAAACCGGTATAATCATTCTCAAATTTAAAAAATCGACTGGATTTAAAAAACAATTAGTGGGCTCTTGATTTTGCACAAAAACCTCCCGATGTGTCTGCATGTTCTTTAGCTTGTAATGAAAATATAATCTTTCCATTTGCTCGCGATTTGTACTTGAAGGTTTGTGTGTCTGTTAAAAGTTGTCAAGCACAAAAGTTTGAAAAATACCCAAAAATCACTCACAGCTCCAATTAAACTATAATTATCGTAATTTGTACTTCTATGTGTCCTTAATATGTTCCAAATACTCCAAGCTTCTACCTGCCTTTTTTGTGACTTGAAATTTTGAAAACCTGCCTGCCCAAATGCAATACAAATTTCAGCTTGAAAGCTTTGCAAGTAACAAAAAAAAATCCCTTAAAAAGTGTCTTATCATTATTTGATAAAGTTTAAAATGTGATTTTTTATTGAAATGAGTCGACAAAAATTCACTCTAGGATACAATTTGCAAATGGTTCATCATTCTTACTCACGTTTACAAATTAAAATCGGTTGAAAAATGCGCTGTAGGCTCTAGATTGAAAATGTACATGGTTGTATCGAAAATATGTTTACCTGCTAGCGTTTAGAATTTGGAATTCTGTGTATCTGCGCTGGGGCCTAAAGTTTAAAAAATATCCATGCATGAGTAAACGCGCTCGGATTTGACTGAAAATATCGTCATTTCTCCATCTATGTGCCTTTAATATGTTGCGAAAAAACAAGTTTCTACTTGCAAAATGCAATAAAACTCCGTGCAAAAAACCTCAATTTAACATTATCAGATCTTGTAGACCACGTGCCTTCAATAAGCTACTGCTAGAGAAACTTCAAGTTTTGGCCCGTTTGCGTTTTCACACACTGTTTTCCAAACGATCAGGCAAACATCCACTGGATTTGACATGATCCACGTTGTTTTCAACAAGTTGAGAAAAATTCAAGTTTCGACGAGCTCAAATGTGGACTTTTTAAAATTGTGCATGAGTGCATGCAACGATCAATGAGCGAAACTTTGGTTTTTAAAATATTTATTTAAAATTAGGAAAGTTGACTGTTAACAAATTTATGCACCAAACTCTTTGGTGCCTAATTTGATTAACAGCAGTAATCGTATCGAAAACCACCAAAGAGTTTGGTGCATAAATTTGTTAACAGTCAACTTTGTTAATTTTAAATAAATATTTTAAAAAACAAAGTCTATGCCCTTAATCGTTAATTCATGTCAAAGATTCTGTTGTTTAAGTTTTCACTTGATTTTCAGACCAACAATTCGGGATTTGGCAATTGATTTTCTTCGGTTTGAACACGTTGAAACAAACGTGTTTCAAGCTTCAAGCTTAGGAGTTTCAGCGTTCTAGGCCAATGCGCGATAGTCGAAAAGAAGCACCTAATACAGGCCATATTGCCTTACGGGAATCAGACCCCCTGTTTTCGATACGATTACTGTGTTGTAGATAAACAAACATGCATCCTCGTGTTGTTCAGAATGTTTACAACATGATACAGCCATAAATATAACGTTTCAGTTTTAGCAGGCGAAACGGTTTCCTTTGTTGGATAGCGATTGTGATGTCGAAAACTCCCAAGTGGCATCGATAAGCGAGCCAAACGGCTCTGTTCACGGAAAATGAGGTCATTAGGTCTTTAAATAATTAAAAAGTGTTTAAGGTCGTTTTTTCCTTTCTAAAATGGCCGAATGCTATATACCCGTATCCACACGGACGTGGGTTTTCCCCACTTTTGACACGTTCACGACTGTACTTGAGGCATCGCGGTAAATTTGTGATTTCTATTGGTGCTCTGGGGACATTAAAAACGGCCTTGAGTCAACTTTTACACTCATTCAATGCCCAGATAAATGTAGTTTTTCAAACGGATGCAACCTTTCAGCTAATGTTACCAATCATTCACTATTGTGATAACCCGGCGCTGATTTCAGTAAACGTGGTTAGACACGAAGTAACTACATACACTAATCGGGGGTACTCTGAAGGGCTTCCCATCTACGTTCAACACTCATTAGAAAATAATTTGCATGCCTTTGGCCATTTATTCGATTGCGGGAATGGCACAACTTTGGTGCGCCGTATAGATTACTTGAACAAAGAAAAGTCTAGATGGTTTTCAATGTTGACCGAAAATTGATAAAAACGCCTTTTGTATCATTCGGTTATCTACGATTCCCTGATAAGGGCATTTGGACTGGAATGTTTATCTAATCAACACGAAATTAAACTTTTGTGCATTTTATCATTCAAAGACAAAACGACTGGTGAATATCAAACCAAGTTAGGGTTTTGCCGTGAAAAGCGCGATGCCATGGGAAATCAATATCGTCGTCCTTCCCCATTAATACTCTAGAGGATAATTTTTCATTTATCTATCGAAATGATTAATGCGGATCAAGCATCACTGCTAAAACTATCGAAAATGAAAAAATCTCGTAGTTTTGGTAGGCTAGCTTTCACCTTGGCCTGGCGACGACTGGCTTACGTCGAAGTACCATTTGGCATTGATCTAAATAGGCAAAGGCCTTTTTCTATGGGACCAAAGGCCATCATCAATGTTCTTGCGGCGCTGTTACCACTAAATCATTGCTTTTTCTGAAGATATGACCAGCAACACGTTCTGGATGCCTAATTATGACATCAGCGAGCTTGATTTGCGGGAGTTTCCAGCTGATGTTCATAGTACTAAGAAATCGTGACGTCGCTATTGCATAACGTGCGGCCAGTACCATTAAGTGATGTTCGCCTTGTTTTGCTTGCATTAACGGACGAGTAAACAGATGAAGAAACAGATAAACTCTATTACCGCGCAACTTAGCTGGGAGTACCCAACATCAAAGACATTGGGAACAAGTTCTTTGTAGAAATCACCATTTACGAGCAAGAGGTAGTTGTTTCACCTAATAAAAAGATGATTTTACGGCCGATCAAAACGAATGTATTACAGTGGCCTTGTTTTGGCCGTTCCTTCGTCTGCTCGGTGAAATTCGACATATTTTTGGGCACACCGCATCGTTTCTGAAACAGTACCGTTTGTGAAAGCGGACTAAGGCCCTAACGGGCCCAACTATCTACAGTTGCTTGGCTGCTAATAAATTCGAATTTCTTTTCCAGACGAACTGTGTCAATGTCCACACAAATGTGATGAGTTGGTCTCAAGTGAAGCCAGACAACGACTATTCCAGCACTTCTACGGACTGGGTGAGGCCGATTTGCAGAACAATTTTTTGAGGCAAAACATGGACTTGCGGGCTAGACTAAATATTCCTGAAACTACCGGCAGTGGGCGTCCTCCCAGGAGGATCACCTGTAAATACTTGGTACCCTTACTGGATGAAAGTAAGTTGCATGGGTTGAAAATTGATCAAAAATTTCCGGCAAAACGACTGGTTGCTCAACAAACAATCTACAACTAGATAGTGTGGTTTTGGTAAAAGTTGCTCGACAAATTCACCTTCACAGAGATCAGGGGCAATATATCTGCACCCTTTTCGTAAATTCCCCAATCTCGAAAGGCGTGGTCTTATGAACAATACGTTTAGAAATTCGAGTTCTACTTGATAAGATCTGGACATTTTTTCACACCGTATTCCCAACTTTATGGACATTTTTTTAAGGGTTGCTTATACAATGGGCTACTTGCATGCAGTTTAAAATAATGTTCTAGAATTGTGATGACCTCCTCTTCATCCTCGTTTTTTACATTCTTCTTTAAATATTAATTAAAAATTATTTAAAAAACTGCAATAGTGCATTGCAAGTGTAGATTTATGAATTCGGTCCAAACATCTTGGTATTAATTATCCTGGGCATCTTTAGCATCGCTGTTCCCAACCGCTTGCGAATCTCAATATCCACGATATTCAACAAAGAAAATAAATTTATTTTCTATATAATTTTATGTCAAAAAGATGTTCTGCAATTAGCAGAAGGTTAATGCAAAACTCACACATTTATGCGAATACCAGGAGCTCGTTCGGTTGTACAACAGTATGATAAAGAAATATGGCAATCCTGCTTACGTACAGGGTGTCCCAACGATAGTTTACCCAGTTTTTTTTTCAAAATCGGATTCGCCATAGACAAATATTTACAATAATTTAGGGTGCGTCATGAAAGTTACAGCACACGAAAAAAAGTGTTTCTAAATGAAATGCGTGTTATTTAATTTTATTTGAATTGTTATGAAAACTTAATTCACTTTCTGACATAAAATATAATTTTTATCTTAACAAAATATTTATATTTGATATTACAGGGTGATCGTAATAAAAGTCCAAATTTGCTAAACTAATCTTAAACATGAAACTATACAAATAAACACAAATGCATGCAAGTAGCCCATTACTGTATGTGGTCATTCAACACTAGTTGGCAATTTGTCCAAAACTGCCTGCTTACTTTATCAAATAATCAAAATTTGCAGGCTTAGCTGAAGACGATTTCCTCTATTTTGAGTCAAAAGTACAAGCCACTATCTACTCTATTAGCGACTATATGAATATTTTACAAAGTACGTACACAATTGTAGAAATAGAAAGTCAATGCTGCAGGTTGCAGTTTTACAATTGCCCGGTTACTTCATATATTTTTACTTGACGCATTAGAGGAATAAAGGGTCTTTAATTTCAACCTGAAAGTGCAAACCTGGTTACTGGTTCCTGYACAAATTTTACCGATGTTCAGACAAATTTAATAAAATGGCAATGGAATTATGGAAATTCTGATATCAAAAATCGTTTAGTGACTTGATGAATTCCAAATGTTTGCTAGTGGAACAAGAAKACTGTTATTTTTTTCGGYTCACAGGTGCAACCTTCTAGGCCCTCAATTACCGATTAAATGGACACTTTCTGCTCAATTCCGGCGCAAAATAATAATCGCTTAGTTACTTAAAAGAAGTATTTCTCTGTTTGCAGTACAAATGTAGGTTTTTCGGCTCTCTATTGCCGATTATCTAAATATTGTTTAAAAATGGTATAAATTAATAATCTGCTTGCAATAGTGAAAGAAGATATTTCCTAGTTATATTTAGAAGCGCAAACCACATTGTGCGTTGTCTGCTCTATTATCCAATAGATTAATGCTTTTTCAGTACTTTTACAACCGTAAGCAAGCCATTAATTATCCCAGTTTGTAATTTTTTAAAAAACGCTTCAAGTTCTTCACAAAATCAAATTTTGCTGCACAGGGGGAAAAAATGTTGCTGTTCTTATTCAAAAGCTTTCTATCTGCTCAATTCCTGACTATATTCTGATAATTCTGAAAATGCATGTTTCGCAAAACTGCCTAATAAAATTCAGATCTGGGAAATTAACTAATAAAAAAGTTGCAATTTTTAACTAAAAATTGTCTGCAAAAAAGTCTGAGTATTTAATATTTTAATATTAAGTACTAGGCAAATTGAATTCTCTAGTTTTTCAGCAATTTTAAAAGTGTTATTTTTTAAATTCTTTATTTTAGAAATTTTATTTTTAACAGACGAAGTAGTTGATATAGATTTTCTCTATTTGGAACCAAAATCCAATATTTTTGGGTTTATTACCGACCATTAAAATATTTTTTTAAAACACCTAAGTTTTGCAATAAAAAAAATCGCCTGTTGCTTCCTTCAAATATTCGAATTGCAGTATGAGTAAAAGGAGTATTCAACAAAGTCAAGTTCCTTTCTGACCAATTTTATATGGAATTTTTCTAACTTCCTCACTACTGATAAATACTAAATGCACTGAGCGAACTGAAGACTCATTCATATTTTTCTAATGTGATTTAACTGTTCAAAGTGGGATATTTCTTTTCATTTTGTTGTTGTATTTGTATTTATTTTCTTTAATCAGTGCTGATAAATAAAAGGTTTATTAAATTTTTTTAATAAAGTTAGTTTGCAATTTTATAAATCATCACGTTTTTCTTGATGAATTCCAAGTTTACACGACAAACTAGTAAATGTTCTTCAATTTAAAGCCAAAACTTTAAACAAACAAACATTAAAGTCCAATTATCAAGCATTGAAAACATTCATATTTCAGAGCCTTATTAGTCCAATTTCTATACTTTTTTCTGCCTTAAGGTAAATTATTAAGAGAATATCAATTGCAATAGCGTCAAATCTCCAATGTTCCTACTAGCCAAATGACTTTAATTAATTCGACCATTCAACAATCAAGGAATTTCATAATGTCTCCTAAACTGCAATAAATTACATTAAATGACGCCCAAGAACTAATTAAAAATAATAACTAATTTCGGTTCAAACCGCATTTTTTTCACAAATCCTCGAAGGTTACTGGGAAGCAATTTACTAAAACTATCAGTATTATTAAGCTGCTAAATAATTAGTTAATTTATCAGGGTCTAATTGATGTGATTTTGAATAGATCGAGCAGTGGAAGTGTGTCAAAAAGCCTTTGTTAGTGCCTTTGTGATAACCACAAAACGAGTGAGATTGCAACGAGAAAAACTCATTGCCAGCTTAGGATTGAACAGTTACCGAAGTCACAATAGGTAAATATTACTAGTCACTATGGCTGTTGCTTCTGGTGCTAATAACGGTTTTTAATTAGAAGCAAAAAAGAAAAGGACGACAAATCCCAGCTATTCACTACCCTTGAAACGAATAACAACAACAACAGTCTGGTGCTGAACAACAACACCATTACCCTAAATTCCATTAAATCCAAGTTCAACTTGCCTTCAAATCTGAGTCTTAGGTAAGAACGGTTTTTTTTTGAAAATTTAGAGACTAGTTTGGAAATCATTCGATTCTAGTACCTGCCAAGTTAGTGGCTCCAATTCCACCCAGGACCAGCCAGAGTCGATTTCCGCCAAAAGACTAGCCTGCATTCTGGGCAAAAAGTCACAAGAAGAGCTGCGGGAGTTGAACATAACTTTAGAGCGAAGCACTTCGTCAAGTGATTCCGAAGACGACGAAACAGCAGTAAAGCCGTCGCCGCCCAAAAAATTCAAGAAGCAAAGGAATTCAAACTTGGTAAGACTGGCACAAAGTGTGGACGTTTAGGTTCTAATGGCAATTTTAGTTAAAACTAGACAATCCTCTCCTGCCCTTTGGCTTGGTGATACCAGACGGAGTTACCATTGCCCCAGTCATGGGTCCAGATCACGACAGGGATATTGCCATAGTCAACAACTTCTTCCACAACCAACTTTGGAAACCGGAGTATATCGGGGCCTACTCTTGATAATAACAAGGTACCATATAGAGTAGGATGCATATTAACAACATAAAACAACATCGTACTGGAAAAGATGCAACAACACTCCTTCTCAATGGCTGTATGTTTGGATAAACCACTAGGTGATCATCGGTCCAATTATCTCAGGACTAAGTTTCTTATTTAGTCAGTCGTAGACAGGGCTGGGTTAGTTTAAGGCTTTTAAATGGGCTTAGAGCAAACAGGGTAATATTGATGGTGTACCACAACCAACATGCTCCCTCACACTTAAGAACGAAGATTTAATTAGAAAGTTACCGTAAGTTAGACAATTGCACTTTTACTACTTAAAAAACGATATTTTTGTAAATAGTATACAAAAGTTTTGCTAGGAAATTTGTATGAGATCCGACATCATTCAGCTTACTTTCTTACACAAGTAAAAAGGTTGGATGCTGATGAATGAGTCTGAAACATGTTACAGTCAATGCCTTAAATATGTCAGTATATAACCAAAGAACTTACAGTACCAACACATTTGCAGAGCGATTTTTAATTACCTGTTAACAGTTGAATTAACATTGCTTGGCTTACAAAATTGAGCCTCTTTAACTGATCAGAGTAACTTATTTTTTTAACCTGCGCCGCTGCGACAAATACCAAATACACTTTCAAAACTACTACATACACGCAAAACGGTTATACCATAATAAACCCAAAAATTGTGATAGAAAATGATGTAGGGGGATCGTTAATTTTTTCATTTTTATACACTGTGTCCAACGGAAGCAGGGTCAGGATGGGAACAGCAGAAACCGGAGATGAAACAAAGTCGGTTGAATGGAAAACAACAAATGAGCAACAAACAAAATGGGGCTTTAAAACTTTTCAAACGAATTTCTAATTCTGACTTGTTCAAAAGAACTCCTTTCGTATTTGACATCATTAACATTTTCACCTTCAATTAATAACACAGAATTTAGCAATAAAACAAATGCAAAAAATTGTTTTAAATGTTGTTCATTTCTGCATATTAAACTAAAAATTTAACAAAACATACATAAACAATATACACTTTTATTAAAACGAAACGTTTAGGCAAAAGATGACAATCTGATCTTGATAGTGCTATGAGAAAGTATGGTCGGTTTCGCTCTGGACTACAATAACCACAAAAACTAATATAATCGAAGTTAAAAAAAAGGGTAATATTACTAGTCTCTTAAAGCTTGGACACAGTGTATATGTTCACTATTAGTAGGTATATATTATATAAATGTTGATGTTTGACGGCTGTTTGTGTACATATTACAAACGTTTTACTAAACCTGTTAATGCAAATCTACTTATTTTATGCCGAATGGCACGTAGTCATTATCTAGTTTTTCAAAAAGTTATATATTTTCTGTTATGTATAGCTTGAATAGAAAGATGTAAATATATTTATTGTGTTAATGGAACTAATCTAAACGCCTTAAAAAGTGTACTTATTAAAAATATGCAATGAGATTTTCAATTTTCTGGGGCTGTTTTAGCATATTAGGTGATCAACGAGTGCCTATTACAACAACCATACCCATCAATGTAGAAACAATGTGTTTATCATTATTAATTCACATAGTAGTACGAACAAGCCTTTGAGAATTCTGGATCGAAATGTATATATAACTAGTAACTGTGATTGTGATATAAAATAATATCAGACAAACGTTTCCGTATAGGGTCATCTAACAGGGATTTTCTTAATTACGGTATTAAAAAATACAATGTATGGGTAAATTAAGTATATATTTTTAAAGAACTTATATTGAGAGTTTGTAATTAGAGGTGGTTTGAATAGGACGTTTCCAAATTAGTCTACTTTCAGCTGAACGGGTTTCAGTCATCTACTTAAAATAACTTTAGTTGAATATTATAGGTTTTTAGAAGCATCTTATTTGTTGTAAAATTGTGTTAGTTAGCAATTAGTCACCCAAACCCTTCTATCAGTCAGACGTTTTTAGCGAGTACTTATACCAGACATAGTGGCTTTATTACAATATACTGTTCTATTATTATTATTAATTATTATTATTACGATTATTAGTCAAATAAATTAATTTTGTTGTTTATATTTTTGAGATATAGTTTATAAAAGCATTGCTTAGTTTTATCAGGACGCAGTTTTACATATTGTATTCTTACTGTTTGTTTTCAAATAAAAAATTCAAACCACTTACAGTGCATTTAAGTAATGTCTTCGCCCTTCGACTCAATGGGGAACTTAAAGAAACTCTGAAGTGTTAGATTCCCAAAATAAAACGCCGAACCTTTGGCGACGACACTGGTGTTAATGCAAATTGATTTGCAGTTTGTTATCCACAAGTCAAGACTAATACTCTACATCGTCTACATACCTACTATTCCCACTTACCACGGACAAGCTTAAGGACATGTTTCCTTTGAAAGTAGCCGAATCAGATCGAAAATTCCGTTTTTCCACGAAAATTACCACTCTACAACCAAATAAAACGGAGGGAAAATTCCGCACTTGACCGATATTCTCCTTCCATGGAGGTTGAGCGGCAAGGTTGACGAATGTTTGAGGCCACTGAAGCTAAGGGCGATATGGAATGCCCAAGCCCTAAACCCCGAATAAGAACAACCATGGTCTTGAAACGGCTTTAAACTGCATTCATCACCTTGTGCCACAGTTATTTGGGAAATCGATTTTACCCTCACAAACCAGGGAATGTTAGAAACTCGCCAAATTCTGGCACCATTGGGACTGAAATCCCGTCGCCCGAGCAACAAGGGATGAGGATTCCTGTAACATATGACGTCAGAGTTTTACAAGGGAGACATTGAAACTGGCGCCCGGATTAAGGGTGTTTCAGAAATTAATAATACAGTACCTAAAGTTTAAGTTTCTCACTGAGAGAACGACATTTTCACGCCGCATTTTTTAGTTCTTATTTTCGCAAATCGATTCACCGGCTTTATGCAATTTGGTAAAAATACGTTTTAAGTGTTCTCTTGCATTGGTTGGCAGCATCCTAACTAAACAGTGAAGCGTGAGACGAAATAAAAAAATATTTCTGCAAACGCAGATAAGACTGAAATATTATTCAGCACAGAAGGAAAATATTGAGCCCCTCAGGACTCACATTTTTCATTTGTCATCTCAACCTCTGAATCACAGGCAAATTTCTACAACCCATTTATGATTCTAAACTGAATTCACCAGAAAATCTTCTAGATTCGAGGGTATCTTACAAAGACTTATTAGTCAAATACACAAAACAGGATTACACAAAATTGGACTTTTCCCTTAGTATTATCCGGGGGCATTTAGCAAATTGACAAAAATTAATAAAAAAGTATAATTAATCAAAATAATCTAACAATGTTTGAAAAACTTCGCGAAAAGTTAGACGCAAAAGTCGTTGAAAGTTTCACTTTGAGAAATTGTGTAAATTCAACGCAAATATTGAAGAAAATGAAACTTTTTGCAGAAACATAGAATGAGGTTTGCTCTATTTACTACCAAAAATCCGCTGTCCAATCTCTAAAAAATCTGTTGTAAAAGTGGTTGCTTCCTTCCGGTTGCCGAAACTTACAAGAAAATAAAATGTTGAGGAAACTTGGGATGTTGATGGAAATTATGTGCAGTTTTCGCTTTTTATTTCCGAAAAAATCGCTTTTCGAATGTCAGTTGGTTTGGTCGTAAACTACAATTCAAAACGGCGGAAAAAGCGGTTGCGATTTTCACTTTCAGTAATTAATTCTCAAAATTCAGCCCAAAACCTGCAGGAAAATAAAGTTTTGAGGAAACATACAGTGAAAGCCTTCTTTATCTTTGCCGAAAGAATCGCTCTTGAATATCTGCTTGTTTTTATAACCATTTATGGCTCAAATTACCGCAAACCACTTTGAAATATTGCTTAATAGCAAAGTATAACGTGCATCTTCAAACAATCAAGATCCTTTCTTAATTAAAGTATCAACAAAGATAATGACTGAGTGCAGAATCGCGCTCGATTGTACGTTTCAGGGAAAAATTGCACAACAGAAGTTAAGAACTTATCTTAGATAGGAAAACAGTGGCAGGTTTTGCAGCTTGGCATTCACCGAGAGCACTCTAGCATTCACCATTATATCAAAGGGATTGCAATAATATAAAAATGGAAAAGAAAAGGTTGGACTTTTATCCTAAAAACTAATCCTTACTATTGGAAAAATAATTTGTTTAGAATGCTTAACTTAAATAAAAATGTTATCTAGGCCATTGATTGAACATTATTATTTAAATAGCAGTATTCATTTTTACAATCGGGGCACATTCTACTGCAAACAGGACAAGCATTGATTTGAGCTGGTGCAGAAAATGTTTTTCTGGAGACATTTTCGTCGATACACACAAAAATTGTGCGGTCATCCGGTTTTCTTGGATTTTAAAACAAAAGTTTATTCTAATTGATTCCATATAAAGTCAATTCAGTAAGTCAGTTCACGTAGGAATTGTAAATCTTATTGCGACTGACTATGCTGACTAGTACAAACCCAACAGAAAATGTACTTTTGTTGCAGATACATCAAAAGGAAGACGATATGGAATTAACAAGAGGAATCTAAATTGTATTTCACTAGATATAAGGAAAACTCCATATAGCAGCATAAGTTAGTCTCAATTGCGAAACAGATATTGGAAGAACATATATGTATATAAGAAAATGACATTCTTACAAAAAAAAAACATCGGATTCTCCAGTTAAATGAACAACTGTCGAAAACAGCTCTAAAACATTTTAATCGAACTGAAGACTTCCATTAACAGGGACTAATAAGCAAAAATTTTGGTATAGACAAACAAGAATATCGAGTTGATGAGAATGGGACTTTTAAGTTCTACTTTTTGAAGGTACTATGAACATGAACGATGCAACATTCCTTCATTTTCTACAACCCGATCTGGAGTCTGCCTACCCAAGTTGTAACCATGTCGACAACTTCTTTAAAAATGGTATTGTTATAAAAGTTATGTATCGATTTTCGTTATACAGTCGTATTTCCAAAGATGTTTCTCAAAAAATGCTCATTTCAATCAAGAGTAAGGCCGCTTCTTTGGCAATATCAGATAATTTTTTAAGAAAAAGTTGATCCGAAACTAATAGGAAATTGAAGAATCAGGATTTATAACTTCAATTAAGTAATAAATTTTGAAATTTAAATACTCTTGTAATATGGTGGAGATTACTGGCAAATCTTCAGAAGACCAAGACATTGGTATTTGCGAGATAAGTTAGACTGACATTGTTATAGACAAAATTAAAATGTTTAAACAGTTTAACATACAGTTAATTCATTATCCAGAACAGTCTGGTAGACTTTCTTGCCCGAATAAAAGCTTGAAAACACTGTAAAAATCTATTAGCGTTTTGTCAATTTAATTCTTCTCTGTAAGTAAAGGATGTTAACAAACAATACAGTCTACTAGTAAATGCGCCTCTCAAATAGTTCTGTTGTCTAAGTATGTCCATCTGTACTAATAAACAAATCAAATAGGTACCTACTGTTAATACCAAGTATTGTAAATTAAAGCGACTTTTAGGCAGTACTATTGAAGAGCTTAAAAACATTGTTTCCCACATCTAATTGTTTTTAAAGGGCCTCATTGCAGTAAAAGTTAGATTTGTTTATCAATACTACGTAGCTCTGAAGCTGCTGTTGCTACTACTGAATGCAGTCGGGTTTGAAACAAATGCACAGCTACACACGTAGTTTATCAATAAGCTTACTGAGTGGCTCAAAATGCATCACTTACCCTTTCCAGCTTCTGGAAGTGCTCCCTAAGAAAAGAAATTGGATTTGGTGGCCGATTCACACAGAGTTGAACGATGCACTCTTTTAAAATTTGCTGTATATTATAATGCTCGACATAGTCCTGACACGCGCGAATCACCTGCTCATCCTCCATGTTCGTGGCCATGATTTTCGCGAAATAAATGCACCAAATTAAACAAAGTCGACGATTTTTTTACAAGAGAAATTGTTGAAAACAGCTTTTGACAGGCCTGAATGCAAATTTGACATTGCAGTTTGATATTTTCCCGACTGTCAGTATGTAACTAGGCGCCTTGTTATCGGCATCTAGGCAACTCAACATATATTCCTAGTTGATTGGTGCCAAAATTCAAAATTGTGCAAACAGTGGAAAAGATATTAGGAAAAAATGCTCCTAGGCAAGTGTTGTATTTTTAAACGCCTAAAAATAGCTCTGCAACTAAAGTAGACTGCTTTAAAGATTAGACCGAGTCACGTCTAGCAACTTAAATTATTCCTATTTTTATTTACAGCCCTTATCTAAAAAACACAAAAAGATCATATTCCTATTGTTTACTAATTACGTAGCATTATTGGAATTGGATGTCTAATATCTAATTGATAATGAAATATTAAGTGTATCATAAAAGTATTACTAATGTCACTATAAATAAATTATTGCAAAAATTAGATAATCTATAGCACGCATTAATCATTATAGGATTTCTTAAGACAGTTTAAACCATTATAAATGTAGCTTTCAGCAACATGAGCTAATGATTTGAGATCCAGAAATTATTATTATCATCCGAAATTTTAAGCTTGGTTTAAAATATCGCCACGTTAAGGTAAAATAATTTTTATATATGTAGAACGTACCACATTTTCCAGAAAATATGTACAAACCGGAATCTTACCGTAAATAATTGCTAGATCTGATCTATATAAGAAAAAGTAATTTTAAATTTGATAACGAGGTCTAATTGCTAACGCCTATCCTAAAATGGTTCTAAATGACAACTTTATTTTGAAAACTACCCACTTCTGGATTAGACAACACAGGAAATATGTCGCAAGATTTTGCACATATATTTTACAGATACTCTCTATAATCAAAAGACACCCAGTTACAAAGTTACCAAAAGACGATATCGTAAAATAAAATGAAATTCAAATGGAAGCAAGCCAGCAAGCCAAATACTCTTAAATCGCCTTTGACACAAGGATAATCGTTCTATGGCTAATAAATTAGTTGTTCTTCGATAATACACAGGGATTAATATTTTAAGTCGAAATCGACTGCTAATAAAGCCCAATAATATAGCTTTGCAATAACAGTTCGCATTGTTAGTGCACTGAGAGAAGGTAGAAGAATCATCTTATTTCCATCTATCCAAAGTGAAATTTTTACACATTTCAGACATGAAGCTCTTCTTCGCACTTCTGCTGGCCATAGCTGGCTCAGCACTGGCTGAAAAGGTCAGCTACAAAAACTACAAAGTCTACAAAATCACCCCAAAAAATGACCAAGCCCTGCAAGCCTTGAGGAATCTGGATGAAGCAGTGACCGAATTTTCGCGGTTCCAATTTTGGGAAAGTCCCTCGAAACTAGGCCGTAACGCCACCCTGATGGTGGCTCCTGAGATGCAAGAATCCATGGAAAATATGTTTGAGGACCTGGATATTCACAGTCAAGTCATGATTGAGAACGTTCAAGACGCGATTAATCGGGAAAGTCCACGGAATGCCAGGAACATTGCTCGCATTCCAGTTGATTGGACTGATTACAACACTCTTGATGAGGTTTGTATATTAAAGAAGAACTTTAGCTTGATTAGATCAGCTACAAGGTGTTAAAAAAATTTAATTATTGCTTTCACTAAGTGATTTTTGATATATTATCGATATTTGGAGGCAACTTGGTATTTGGGAGTTTTGTAGCATTAGATTTGATTTTAATTCGGTTCTTAGATATAACAGCGCGCAATAACTGTTCTGTGCATGCTTGTATCATATATTTTCGCAAGAAAATTAATGATTCCCCTATCATTTCCACGTTAAAAGATATTCTCATCAAAAGTCAAGTCAAAGTTACAAACAATAGTTTTCGAGATATTTTGATTTAAAGAGACGAGTGTATTTTTCAAGTAGTCAGAGGAAAACCCACAAGCAATACGGGAATCAAATTTGCAAAAACACTTCTCTGTGAACGTGAGTGAAGGATTGTTCAGATATTAGTCGATAGGAACTCTTCCTTTCGTAAAGATTAATCAGCGAGAGATCGTTTGCCTATTTTACTGAAAGATGTGCCGCTTAGACTACGAAACAAAATGTGATTGCCAGACGGTACTTTTGCACATTTTAGCATTCTGAAGCGAGAATTTTTGAATCGACTTCGATTTTTTTGGGGACATTTAAAATGAGCAAGAGCTAAAAAGTCGAATAATAGACTCTTGTAGAACGATCCAAAAGACTCCAGGTATTTTCCAAAGAAACCAGAAAAAAAGTTGAGACCAAGATTCGAGGAGTGCACACCTATAGCTGGGCATTTCGAACATTTTTGTGACTCATTTAGTTTTTATCAATCTATTTCTTTAAGAAAGGTTAGTTTATAAAACAATTTCACTTTTTGAATATCACGTGTCTCAATTATATTAAAGCAAAATCTGTCGAAAACTGTTGTTGTAGAGACTTTTGAAAATAATTTGGTTTTTACGTAAAAATGATAGAGGAATTGATTTTTGCGCAAAAAACAAATATAATACACGCATGCGTTTCAAAGTAAAAAAAGTTTTAGTCTTCAAAATAGAAAAATTAATGTCTGCAGCGCTCTCCACGTGTAAAAGCAAAACCCAGATCAAATTTAAGTTTTTCATGGTACAAATCTCCCAAATACCAAATTACAAAGAAGAAACATTTTTTTTTATTAATCTTTCAACGCCCTGAGCTCGACATGTACTTTTTACTCGACTTTTGATCTTCAAAATACCTGAGGAATCGTCCTTACAAGTATCCGACACCTATTAAAAAAACATCCAGTATATGTTCTCTAAGATGATAAAAGAGCGTTTATAAAGTACAAAAATTACCGTATTTTATATTTATATGCTACTCAAATGGCCTTAAAACTGCTTCAATTAATCTACTGGCTTAATGGAGCAAAACTCGATAACTGTAATTTTTTTATTCCTTGATCCTAACTGTGGTTGCTATATTAGAAATATATAAATAACTTCCTTTTTTATAATGCGATAGTCTTTTTTCTATAGTCACAATGTAAGTAGATACTTTATCAGTAGTCAAGCAATTATACGCACGATTACCATCTTTAGGCCTGGGTAACACTGTGTTGAGTTGCGCTATTGAGTTAACGATTAAACGATAATGAGTTATAAGTCATTTATTAAAGCTTTACGAGACCCGAGACTGGAATTTTCGCATCTAAAAAAAGGTCATGAACATTTTTTATTCAAGTAGATTTTCCCAGCTACAGAACTGAGCCCAAAGACAGTCGACGAGTTTTCTTGTAAAATCGATTTTTTTGCATAAAAGATTCAGTTTGCCAGTATTTTACAGTAATGCGTTAGGAAAAATGCGGGTTTTCTGTTTAGAGACAGTGTTATTTAGAAATATTGACTTAAAAGTGAAGAAACACCAGTTTTAAAGAGCTTGCCAAATAAATTATTATAAACTTTCGCTTTTTCAGTTCGGGGTTAAAACTAGAACAACCTGAAAATTTTAAAAACTAAATATTTTTAGAGCGATGTGACTGGCAAATTTTCCAAATTATTTTTTCTAAACGTTTGCTCATACTTTTGCTTTTGCCTGGCCCTTTTTTTCAAGATAGTCTTAATTACTTTCGGTAAAAAATTGAATAAAATTATTTGGTTTTTGTGCCAAAGTTGCAAAGGGTTTTCTAAAATTCCCTGCAAACCAATGGCTAAGGTGAATTTTCTAGAAAAATTAATTTGTCATTTTTGACTGAAAAGACCCCATTACTATCAGAAAAGAAGCTTTTTTCGTTTTCGATTAAAAACTTTTAGTTTTGTGATTGGTTTTGGAGAAAACCGTAATGGTTTTTGGTGGAAAAATGGGAAGAATTTATTTTCGTTTTTGCCTCAATGAAGTTGAAGCTGAAAAAAGTTTTTCTAAAATTTTCACAAAGTTATAAAATTATCTTGTATTTTTTCGCGTAATGAACCTCCAGATCGTCAGTATTTTTAAGTGAAACTTTACAAAATAGAGCGTTTTGCGTAGAAAGTAGAGCAAAAAAAATTCAATCAAAACTAAAAAACCACATTTTTTAACAAACTTAAGTTTTCTAGCAAACTTTCGCTTATTCTGGTAGTTTTTTAATAGAAAATTATTGGATTTTTGTTTCAAAGTCGATGCTGGAAAGAAATTTCAACACTTTTTAAACGCTTCCAAGGATTCGAAATGTTTTTCATAATTTTTCACGGAAAATACGTTAAGTTTCGCAGCATTTTTTGAAGGTAAAATTTTGGAAAATGGCGCATTTAGAAGAAAAGAAGGAAGCGGGTGTGTACACGGGAGGTACAACAGCTCCCGTGGTCCAAATAGAATAATCAATAGTTTCCTTATTCTGGCTCTTCCATGTATCCATCCATTCAGATTGAGTGGATTTTATGCTTCTATTTGGAGATATATTGATAAATATTGCCTGTATCAGAAAATAATTTATAGATCAACGAGTGGTTGGAAAGTTTGGCTGTTGAGTTTCCAGACGTTATTACCATTCTTAAACCGGGCAAATCTCATTTAGGGCGAGACATTGTTGGTGTAAAATTCGACTTGACTCCTAATGTCGAAAAAGAAGTTGTTTTCATGGAATCGAACATCCATGCCAGAGAATGGCAAGTATATTGAAAATTTTCAAACCAATAACCGAGATAAGTAATTTTTTTGCAGGATCACATCAGCTGTAAACAACTATATTTTAAATGACCTTTTGAGAAATGAAACCAATCGATGGTTGGCGGCTAATTACACTTGGTACTTTTTCCCAGTGATGAATCCTGATGGATTTGCCTACTCACATGAAGTGGTAAATCTCGATTAAACATATCGATGAAACAAAATCACAGTCACAAACATTTCAGAATCGTATGTGGAGAAAAACCCGAACCCGTTACAACATCTTCTGCTATGGTGCAGATCCCAACCGCAATTGGGCTTACCAGTGGATGAATGGAGGTTCGTCTCAGAATCCTTGTTCGGAAATTTATGCCGGACCTCGGGCGTTTTCTGAACCATCCGTCGACGTGATGAAGGACTTTATCGCAAGTGTTGCTGAGAACATGGTGGCTTATATAGATTTTCATTCGTTTTCCCAAATGCTGTTGTTGCCTTTTGGACATACGACGGATCCATTGATGAATTACGATGAGATGGTAAGACCCGGTGTTCAGTTTAAATGCACCAAAGCCATCAAACGGTAAAATGTTTAGATGGAAATTGCTGAAGTCGCTTTGGAGGAGTTGAGGCAAGTGCATGGAACTGAATATGTTTGGGGAAACATCGCAGAGACCATATGTAAGCACATCCTGCAAAAACTGCACAACAATGGATATTAGGAATTACCTTTTTAGATATCGCATCTGGAAGCAGCATGGATTGGGTAAAAGGGGAGTTTGAAGTTCCTATAGCTTATACGTATGAGTTACGCGATCGCGGGTTACACGGATTCATCCTTCCGGCCGATCAAATTCTACCAACAGCCGAGGAAACTTTGGTATCATTGCTGTCTATTTTCCGGCAATACCGAGAGCGTCACCCTGATGGTCTAAAGCTTAAAAATAAAGTTTCAGGAGTTTAGAAAATTACACTTAATTTGGCTCGATGTATTATATAAACAATGTGTTAATTGTTTATATAATATTAAATATATAATTAATAACAGATTAAAGCTTGCATTAGTTTTTATATCATACACCCATCATTAGAAGACATTTCGCTTGGGAGATATAATAGAGAATATAACATGTTTCCAGTATGCAGGCTGGCCGGTTGAAAACGAAACAGACCCTGTTTTAAGCACCTAAGAGAATTTATGGAAAAAACTCCGGACGTTATTTTCGAGGAGGCACATTTTTTGAAAATTAAATCGCCCGCTCTTAAGCAAAGCCGCGTCTGCCCCTGCTGCCAACACAACCAATATCGCCCAAAAATGCGAATAATTCAGTTATTTAAATTAATTAATTTTGCCATATTTCACAACGCTAACGGTCCAAGTTGAATGCCAAAGTAACAAGGCTTCTTCATTTTGAATGCACATTGCGGAAACAAACCCTAATTTCCTAAAATTAACTTCAGTCAGGATCAAACGCAAAAATACAAACTAACGATTTCGATAGCTTTTAGACGAGAGTACAATTCTTTCAAATCAATCGATTATTTGCTGGAAATGATCACCACCAACCTCCTTGTAGTAGAAGAGGTTTTGTTCAATCAACGTCGAACATTCTGAAGCATCTGTGAAGAGAGACTGGTTCAGTGGCGTAAATGTTACCTTCGGGGCGGCCCCATAACAAGTCTAATAGACTTAAGTCTGGAAAATATGTGGGTTTTCTAGCTAATGATCTTCATTTGCAATTTTCTCTATTAATGCTGGATAAATAGAGTTTTCTGGTTAAATTTTCAGGTATAAATAGGCTGCTCATACATTTTCGGTTGTTTCCGATCAAAAATTGCATGCGACTGATTTTTGGATAAAAGGAAATATTGCTCATGAAAAGCTTTCGAATTGCTCATGAATAGAAAAAAAATATCTATAGCAATAACGTTTCTATTCAGCAGACTTTTGCCAAAAATACGAGATGAAACATCCAGTAGATTAAGGGGAAATGAATGAATTCTTCCCGACGCCGAATGTGGGAGGGTGAACGTCGCGACGGCGTCCTCCAATGCACTATTGATCACCCTTTCCATTTTTGTCATTGATTTCCTCGGAACTTTCTTGCGCAATGGGAAAATCGTTGACAGTATGAGTAATATTGCGTCTTTCCATCCGATCTGTTTTCCAACAATCTCAATATGAGTTTTGTCTTAATATCGGCGATTTAAACTGCCGCTGAGGCTTTAAGTGCGCGATTAACCAGTGCAAGCCGGAGATAATATGATCAGAATCTCAAATACTGTGCATTGGAGTGTTACAGGTAAAAGTACTTCCTCTTAGTAAATCCACCCCAGTATAGAAAAAGGAAACCAAGCAAATTTGCAGAAATTTATTAAAAAAACACTAAAAGTGTGCTTGCCAGTCTTGCAACTTCCATCAATTATAATATAGTTTTCCTAAAGCCGAAAAACTTTTAAGGGTTGGCAACTGAGAGTCGTGCCGAGATTAATGGGGCAATGCACTTCAAATAAATCAAAAGGAAGCTTGAGCATTAAAAAAATCCTGTCCCATAACAAAAAACCGAAAAAAATGGACAGACACAAGCACTTGAAAGCAAGTATTAGACGACAATATTCCCTCACTTAAAGCTAATTCTAATGAAACTCCAGGAATCGAAAAACGAGGATTATAAAGTTTACCCGATGGACGAAAGGAGTGAAACATCAACGCTGCTGGACTCGAATCGACAAAAGCCGCAAAAATGCACCAAAGGGGTGGCGATGTCGTTCGGGTTCAAGAAAAGATCCCCGCCTGTGGCCAGCAATCGACCCGTGGCTTGGGAGCCGGAAATTACGGAGGTTTCAGATCCAAATGGCAACCGGGGCGTTCCAAACTCTGCCCAAAAACCGCGAGTTGCTACTCCCAAACCCTCTAGATCCAGATTGTCCCAAGTGCGTCCCAATAGACCCCCGGACTCTCCTTTTCCTCTACATTTCTCCCACAGGCCAAGTAGTAGACGCACGTCTCCAAGTCCAGATGGAGAAGTTGATCTGAATAGAACATTCAGTCGCAACATCACAGTAGTGACCAGGACTGAAGTGGCCGAAATATCGGAAGTTGCCAGACGTGGAGAAACCAGTGAAGGGGCTGTAATGAGAACGAGTGGAGGTCAAAGAGTTCAGGTACAAATTTTTACTTGGGATTTTTGAGTGTTGATTATGCAAATCAAAATGTGGGTGGTTTGTGTGTCTTTGACGTAAATCGCGACGTTTTCTTCTGCTAGCTGAGTAGTTGGAAATCCATAAACAAGAAAAACGACCAATGGTCACTTTTAAAAATGTATTTGAATGATTTTCGGGAGTGTTATTGTAAGACCAATTGCAGCCTGGCAAGTTTACATTCCAAACCACGCGTTTGCCACAGCCAGAGCCAATCAGGGTGATGGAGACGAAAACGGCAAAAACTATAGCAAACAACAACACAAAGTCGGCTAGAATGTGGCGCCAGTATGAGGAAACGTGCTCAATGAAGAGTAGCATTTCGAGTCAAACCCAGCATGGTACTTATGGCAATTTTGCCCCAATCCAATATTTCAGTAAACCTTTTTAATGCAGAAAACGCCAGAAGTTCCTTTGAGCTTCCACCAGAAAAACCATCATCGGGACATGAATATTTACTGCCAAGCGTTAATGAGCGGAGCCTTGAGATCAGTGATAATCTTAGTTGCAGTGAAGCGTACACACCGCCTCCTCTTCCAGAGTTACCATCGGTGTTCAACATTGAGAAGCAAGACAGGTAAGAAACTGAAAATACTAATCGATTGCCAGGTTGAATCGAACACTTTTCTGAAGCACGCAGAAAGAAAACGAACGACAAGACAACAGACAGCACGATGGTTTGGATCTGAACTGTGCCAAGAAGTTTCTTGAACTCAGTCCTTTTCTGAAATCTTCCGCAAGGCATTTGCTGGATAGGGACAGTCCCCAGAGCTCAAGCGATCAGGAATGGGTAAAAATAGTGATGTTTTTATTTAATTTTGGTCCAAATGACTTGATGAAATGTGACCGGTCTTAAAAAAACAAATCTCTCTTGAATGGCTGAAGACCAACAGTCGAATGAAGATCAAAATTACTCATAATCTCTGTCTGAGCTGCCCGATATGACACTATTCAAACATCCTGTACAGCATGTTTATACAGTTCTTTGCTTATCTTTCAACCTAAATGTTGTCCACGAACAGAGCTACGGTTAAAAAAAAAAATTCCAAACCGGATTTATTCCATTTAATCATCTGGTATACGATTTAAGATTAATGGAGGTGAAGCAATGGCTGATGAAGTTAGCTTGGCCTTAAGCCCAAAGCGTAAAGTTGAAGACCCGAAAAAAAAACCGGAAGCCGAGACTCACATTGTCACTCAGACCATTCTGAAGCCTGATTGCTCCTTGGAAATGATCGACAGCCTGAAAGACAGCATGCACTTGACCTTATCAGAAGAGGACCCGAAATTTGCAGCTGTAGCCATCAGCAACAATGCAGGTAAACCCTGTGAGCTTGCAATGAATGATCAGGGCCAGAAATCGTTTGGTTTACTCAGCCGCATTGCTGGATGACGAAATTCTATCGCCCGTGGAAAGTCTTCTGAGTTCAACGGGAAGCGACGATTTGCTGAAGAAGAACCCGGAGCCTTCTCCGAGCAGTTCTAAAGAAGTGAATGAAAAAGTCAGCCTATCGCCACCTGGATCGCCCAGCATTGCAACCTACTCCCTATCGCTGTCCGAAGACAAAGAAGACTTTCTGATCGATGATGAAATAGCCGATCAGCCGGAATTGGTTTTCGAAGAGTGTCGCAGCCTCGATCTTGGTAACATGCAACAGTATATTCCGGATTTGGTTGAGAAGGTAAAACTGAATAAACTGTAAGCACAATTTGTCCGGTTATACACGGTGTATCTACCCAACGTTTCGTTTACAGTTGCGAACGTGATTTTCCAATCGGAGAAAGTCGATCTCTGGTGTTTTATTATTTTGTGTTTGATAGTTTGAAGCAGAAGAATAAAGGCGAGTTTTGACACCTAACGTTTCAGAGATTGTATTTGCTCTTGGAGGCACAACAAAGATATTCTTCTTCAATTGGCATTTTCTAGGGATTAACACCGTGTATAGCTGAAGAGAATTTCCAGGCACACAACTGTTAAGAAAGCTTTCGAAAAAGAGGTTCCCTTCAGGTTTAACCCCAACTAAGCAACATAAATACTTAACTGGCTCTATACAGGGTGTCGCAATAAGGGTGGGAAGCGGCTGTATCTTGGAAAGTACGTGTTGTAGAGTAATCGGAAAAAAATTTGATCACAAACTTGACAAAACAAATTTTCCGAAAGGAATTACCTTCGCAACTGTAAACGAAACGTCCGAGAGTTTTTCGTTTCCTGCAATATTTTCCGTACTTTTAAATAGGGTTCACTATCACCAGTTGGCCGCAGAAGAACATCCTACAGTTCCGATTTCAGCCCGTTGCCTGTGAGGAACAGGCGAGAGTTCTTGCGAAGTGCCAATCAAGGGAGCTTCGAGAGCTTGTCGCCCTGTGAGAGCATTTGCAGTGAAGACTTGATGATGGACTATGAAGCCAGCCTCATTAACGACGTGGACAATTGGGACAGGTAGGCTTCAGATGAAGGTGAAAAGATTTAGCAATAGAACCTGGTTTTTCACTTATAGAGAAAGCGAATCGTTCCGCTCGCTGGAAGGAACCCCTCGTTCAAAACGTAAAAACCACGAGCAGATGTTCAACAACAAAAACGCATTTAAAAGGTACCAGGTAGGTTGAGTAGATGGAAAACATGTTAATGTTGAATTCGCCTCAGCTCGACTGCGCGACCTGGAAACTCCCTGAGAAGACCATTCGGTCGCATATCATCTCCCGAATGCGGAGGAAGTCCCAAAAGGGGCTATTTAAACTCCTTGGGAGTTCAGTCAGTGACCTACGACCCTGCTTGCGAGTCTCTGACATTAACCAGAGCGAACCATTCAGCCATCCAACATGATATAATTGGACTAAAGACGATGTTGCTGACGTTGCGAAGGGTCTTAAGTGAGGCAAGTGAAACCCGTTGAAATAAACTCCAAATGTTAATCGCTTACGTTTCCAGTCTGAAGTGCAAATGCCTCTGACCAGTTCAATGGAAAACTTGCCAATGGCTTGCCAAAACAATAACTACAGCAACGAGTTCCGGCTGGAACTTGCCGATCTTCGACGGCAAGTGATTTTCTTGCAAGTAAGTTCAGGTAAAAGTTACACTGTTGGACTGTTTTAAACGAGCACTTTAAAGGGCCAGCTGGACGATAAGGAGAAAACAGTCGCCGATTTGCAGAAGCAGATCGACCACTTGGCGATTGGCAGTACCTTGGATGAGCCTCCCCTTTCAGAACTAGATAATCAAACCACTTGCAACGCAGCAACGCAAACTGAACGGGTAAATTTCACACTTTCCAATATGGTAAAATAGGGCTAATTAATTAACTTTTTAGACAAGGCCGACTTCTTCAGGCATTTTTTCCCTAACTCCATCGCCCATAGACGACAACAATCCAATACTCAGGTAAAACACTGTTTTAATCTAAGAGATAAGGATCTCTTAGATTAAAACAGTGGACTAAGGACTAAACTAAGGAGTTGCACTCCCACAATTTCTCTTATCACCGCTGATCAGCAAGAAATGATAAATATACAGGGTGTTGCTGGGAATGGTGTGAAATTAGACCAGGGTTTAGAAGATATGGTTTCAGGCAAAACCCCAAAGAACTTTTTATTTTCTTGACCTAAACTAGCCAACGGATGGTTATTTATCCCCATCGGTATATTTATCGACTGTGTAAGTAGGGCCCTTAGCTAAGACAATCCAACGGTTTTCGACAGCTTTTATAAGATTTTTATGACCTTTTATTACATACGTTGTGTGTGTGTGAATTATGTTTCGTTATTTGCATCTTACGCGCGCATTTTTCATAATTTTAGGGCGGGTTTTTACTCTCAACAATCAAAATTAGAAGCAAATATTTACCCTCTGACCACAAAATAGGCCTCGGTAACTCAGGGATTTTTTAGTAGTTGGCGCAGTGCTGCGGAAATGGCTTGGTGCGCCAACCCAACGCACCGGCGCAGTAACTGAGTTGTTTTGCTGGGGAAATGTTGACTTCATTAGTTTGCTTTCAGTTGCATTTTAAGGGATATTAAGGGATTATTAATAATATTTTTAGTTTCGTCAAAATTTCAGAGTTATCCAGTTTTGGCAGTTACCTCTTCTTCTAAACGCTCAATTTTTAAAAGTTTCACTTAAAAATTCTGACAATTTTAAGGTAATTCCCGTGTAAAATTATCAAATGATTTTTATTAGAACACTCGCCTCCTTCGTCGCTTTGAAAAAGCTTTTGAAATCCCTTTCCGGCTTGGAATTTGGGACAAAAATCACGAAATTTTCTATCAAACAAACAACAGAATAAGCAACAGTTTATTATAAATTATTTGGAACTTGTCACCCCCATGCCTCTGGAGACTGTAGAGTTCGTTAAAAACTGTGTTTTTTTTGTTTTAATTGATTTTTTTTCCTGCTTTACTTTCTACTCAAAAACGCTCCATTTTCTATAGTTTTTCTTAAAAATGCTGATAACCTGGAAGTCTTTTCCGCGAAAAATCACAAAATAAATTTATAGCTTTGTAGAAATTTAACGAACACTTTTTTCAGCGTCGAATTCGGGATAAAAACGTAACTCCCCGAAAATGATTTCGTTTTTCACAATTTTTAATCAAAACCCCAAAAAACCGTTATTTTCTGATGGTTTTGTTCTTTTCCGGGCACTCTTCAGGCAAAAAATTACAAAATTAATTTTGTTAGAAAATTCGCGTCATTCCTCGCTTTGCAAAGAATTTTAGAAAACTCTTATGAGCTTCGAATTTGAGACAAAAACCAAATAATTTTAATTAGTTTTTTACCGAAAGTAATTAAGAATATCTTGATTTTTTAAGTTCCTTTACAATTTCAGATCTTTGCAGTTTTAACAAAGTTAAAGTTAAAGTTGTTAGGCAATTCTTTCCACGCAAAAGCTGCATTATTTTCTGAAGTTTTACTTAAGAATACTGACAATCTTCAGGTATTTTCTGTGAAAAATTATAAGTGAAATTTTCCTAAAAGACTCGCATCCTTAACCGCTTTGTAAAAAATTTTCGAAAACCTTTAGCAGCTTCGAATTTTGGACAAAATCCTAATATGTTTTTCTGATTTTTTTCCCATAAATAATTCCTCGAACAGAACAAGCGAAACCTTACAATTAATTATTTGGAAAACTCGCCACCTTCGTCGCTGTGAATAATTTGTTTCTTTTTAAATTCCGGTTTCTTCACTTTTAGGTCAATATTTCTGAAAAAAACTCTCTCTAAAAGTGCGTTTTTCTTAATGTTTTACTGTAAAATACTGGCAAACTGCGAATCTCTTATGCAAAAAAAATTAAGAGTTCGATTTTACAAGAAAACTTGTTGCCTTTATAGTTTGGTCTTCTTTAACTTCTTTTGGTATCTTTTTCTAATACCCGTTTTAGCATTTGGGACAAAATCGAAACAAGGTTCATGTGTTTCTTTTTCGAAAAAGTTAAGTTTTTCCTAAAAACGATCAGAGAAAGCAAAAGCGTATAATCAAGAATTTGGAAAAATCGTTGTATTTTCAGACAATCGTTTCTACAGAAAAGGTAACTCAGTGAATTGTTAGGAGTTGGCGCAGTGCTGCAGCAACCTAACGCAAGGGCGCAGCAACAGTTCCGTTGCTGGAAAAATGTAGACTAAATTCCACTCTCGGGTCTCGTAACGTTGAAATCCGCTTCAATTAATGACTCATTAACCGATGAGTTATAACTCATTAGCTCAGAGAGCGGCAGCAACTCAAATGCGCAACTCAATCCAGTGTTACCGAGATCTACGACAAAACATCGACTGATAAAATTTGATTTTGATTGTAGAGTTTACTCAAGATTTAGGATATTTTTTAGAATCGCAACATCGAAATCCAAAGAATACGAGAAATAGAACACAAAATGAACAATTTTAACAGTCTGGACGATTCAGTTTATGCGAAGATGCCGCTGAACAAAGAAAAATGTTAGATTTCTGTGCAGTTCTTCATACTCAATCGTAGCTTTCTCGTGCTTATTTGTGCTAAACTGGGCAATATATTTTAGAGACAAAATTTTTCAGTAGTTCTCCTTTTGCTTGCAAGTTCCGGAGTAAAATCAATTTATTGTCTATAAGTTCAAAATAATTGCTGATTCAGACTAGTTCATCCTCACCATGAGCAAAATTGTGGATCGTTTTCTATTTTCACTTGCTCTTTTTTAAACATGTAACAGAACACCAAACAGATCAAGCAAATGACAACAATCTTCTTAGCAAACCTTCTTTAACCAGTTTTTTATTTATTCATGAATTATGAATAAATAAGTAAGTAACCGCCTTTGGGTTGATAGGATTTTTTTTAATTTATAAATTGTATCTATCTTGTATTTTTGTAGTTAGTAATATGACTATTAATTTATTTATTTTTAATGTCCTAATAAAATAAAGAAAACCCGCAGTTCTTAAGCGAAAGTTTCTGTTACTGTACAGTTGGGGCTCAAAGCCACTGGAAACAGTTAGTTTAATATATTTTCCTTGAACAAATATTCTAAAATATTTCCAAACTATAAAGGCCCTAATTCTTCCATTTCTTCCATAAATTGCCACTTTTTCCTTTGAAAAAGGCAAAAAGGCCTTGCATTACTCAGGCTGTTTGCGATCGATGCACCATTATCATTTTTCCACCATTGGATAGTTTTTCGAATATTGCATAACAAAACATTTGCCTTTATTCCAAAAAAAACCTTTTTCTCGAGACTAAAACTATTGAAAATAATTTGCGAACAAACATATCGTCTATTCTCAAGGCTAATCTCCTTGCATCACCCTGTACATTGAGGCCAGAGCTATGTAAAACTTGAAGATTGCTTGAAGGAGAAGAAGTATAAAAAATATTTTCTTTTATCGCTGCCTTTTGTTGGATGTTGACAGTAAATCGAAGGTAGTACTGGCGGACATAACTGTGGGAGTGATTCTTTTATGCTCTGTGAATTTATTGTGCCTTATACATTTATTATTTGCCTGCACAAACTGTTAGTGATCAGTGATGATAATGACAAAGATTGCAAAAAATCCTTTTTAAAAAAAATATATTTTGTGTATAGAACCGCGTTTAAATAATTTCCAGATTCTTAGTGCAGTAGAAGTCGGGAATAGTCGAGTCTGCGATCCAGCTAGCACCGACTCCCTTCAACCAGCTTCAATAAAGCATTACTTTTAGAGAGTTGAAAACTCGACCGTAAACCACTTTAATCTGTGTATTATATATCTACTCGACTACTTAATGTAAGTACTTTGATTCCATACTTGAAACATTCCTTATTATATGTACTTACCTACCTACAAAGATGTAAGAGTTCTAGTTACAAGTTGTAGATATATTTTAATGTACATGTTTGTATGTTAGAACAATAACTAGGTTTAGGAAACAGCATTATAATATCAACAGCACCACTATCCCATTATCTAAAACCTGTTTTAGAAATACAGCAGTATTAATTTGAAGTTGCCCCTTTTTAATCCCATCTACCCGGTTATCCCTCGTATAAAATAGCTGATAATCTTTGACCTATTCGACATAATTCATAAACATTCGCTATTCGAATATATCATTTCAAACGTGATTAGCAACATTTTCAAGTAGGATCGATCAATCAAGTGCACCAAAATCCGCAGCGATTACATTAGCTAGCAAGTATAACCCTACAGAGTATAGAATTTTACGCAAAATTGCACCTGAAGATGTTTAGAAGTGTTGCTCTTTTTGCTCTGACTTTACTAGTCAAAGAGTCCCAGCAAGCGTGTAGCTCAACCGCAGCTTTAACTACCTGCACATGGGACACCTTCAAGTCCACCAAAACCCTACAACTGGCCAACTATAAGCCCCACCTGACTGTCTCTAAAGGTAACCTGGAGAGGCTCCCAAACGGAGCCTTCAAATTAGTGCCGGAAGTTACCACTCTTCAATTGAGCGGCAACAAGATCAGCAGTTTAGAAGAACAGGCGCTTGAGGGCCTGGAAGACCTCAAGCAACTGAATCTCTACGATAACCAATTGACCAGCATTAAGCACAACAGCTTGAAGCATTGCAAAAGCTTGGAAAGGCTGGATTTGGGCATGAACCAAATTGCGTCTATTCACGACAAGGCGTTTGAAAACGTGAAGAAACTCACTTATTTAAATTTGGCCTTTAATCTGCTAAAAGCAGTGCCGGTGGCGATAGAGTCACTTCCAAACCTTGAAAATTTACGGTTGGACAACAACCAGATAGCCATCCTAAAAGCCAAAGGCTTTTCAGGCCTGAATAAGCTAAAGGAGTTATCGCTAAACGACAACCAGCTGATCACAATAGAGTTGAACGCTTTCCAAGGACTGTCCAAGTTGGAGCGGTTGAACTTGAAAGTCAACTTCCTAAGGACGCTGAACGTTGATGATATCGTGGATGATGTCCGCAACTTAAAGGAAATCAGCTTAAGTGTAAACGACTTTAAATGCGACTCTCTACGAGAGATCTTGGACGAATTCAAGAAAAACGATGTTCTAGTGACTAATGGGGTCAGTAGAAATCGCAATAGTATTAACGGTATCAGCTGTAAAAGTTTATAAACAACTTGTGGATGTTATCAGGGGTAAACCCAGGAATTTTCGAATTAGAATTAATTATTAATTTACTTAAGTGTTTTGCTGCTTAGATGTACTAGTAGTGACGCTCTCGGATAAACACCATCAAGTAGCGCATGTTAAACCCGCAAGGTATGTCTCGGAATGAAGAGGAAAAAACAAATTTATCTACAAATGATAACAACTGTAGATATCTATATATATTGAGATGCATTTAACGAGTGCCGAGTATCTGTTTAATGAAACCATCAGCTGAGCTCGATATATTTACCAAATGAAGTTCGGTGAGTAAATTGGCAGGCCAATGGAACGGGAGTTCTAGATGAGGTTTAAGCGCATTGCACTCAATTGGCTCATTTCTTTAGTGATCACTCTAATGCCATTGGTTGCAATGGTGCATTGCTTGACTTTCACCTTGGACGATCGGGACACGGCCCTATCAGTGGTCAGTGAGAAATTTCTCAGTGTTGCTCTGGACTGTAGTAGCATTGAAAGCAGATATGCCAGTTTCAATTTAAGGTAAATTAATTATTTTTAATTATAAAAATTTATTTCCGTCAAATATTTACGCAAAATACTGCTGGGATGGAGTTGGATAATTAGACAGGGTGATGGGAATTTTCGGTTATCCATCTCAAAATGTTATAAAGTTAACTGTTGAGGATGAACTGAAAATATATTTTTCACTTAAACCTGAGTTATTTCAAAAAAGTAAACTAGGAATTTTTCGTATTTTAACACTTGTATAATTCGTGCTGTTTGCATCACATATACATAGTACGTTTTCAGCTGATGTCGGAAACTTTAGTCTTTCTCCTAGTCCTCCTTATATACATAAGCTCTACTTTTAATTATATTCAATATTGTAAAGTGACGTCAGACTGTATAATGATGGTTAATAAATCATTTTTAGCAAATCTAAAAGTCTTGTCTAAAGTTAAGCGTTTTTGGGGCTACTTTTAGGGCATGTTTCTGAATATCCAGGCTAGCTGGACTTAAGGCTCTATGTCAATAGGGTTCTGTTTCAGCAGGAGCTTGAATTGTTAAAAACTTCGGAATTTTTTTTAGATTTGCGCGATTTCGATCGTTTTGCACTGTTCACTTTCATCCCCCATTTCTCAGTATCCAGGCCGGAAATCGCGATGCCGGCCTAAAAAATGCGTAAAGCAAGCTTGACTTAAGTTTCGATGTAAATTGAGTTCCATTTGGGACAGAGTTTGAATTATTATGCATTTTCAACACTTCATTAGATTTACGCGATTTGACCCGTCTTTTACTGTCCACTTTTATGACCCATTTCTCAGCATTCAGGACAGAAATCGCGTTGCGAGCTTCAAAAATACATAAAGCAAGTTTAACTTAAGGCCTGATATAAATTGCGTTTTATTTTAGCCAAAGTGTGAATTGTTATCAATTTGAGAAATTTAATTAGATTTGCGCGATTTGGCCCGTCTTGCACTGTTCATTTTTATAGCCTATTTCTCAGTATCCAGGGCGGAAATCGCCATGCGGGCCTCAAAACTTCATAAAGCAAGCTTGACTTAAGTTCCGACGTAAATTTAGTTCCATTTCGGCCAGAGTTCGAATTTTTATACATTTTTGAAATTTCATTAGATTTGCGAAATTCTACCATCTTGCACTGTAATTTTTATGGCCCATTTTTGAGTACACAGGCCCGAAATCGCAATGCGGGCTAAGAAAATGCACAAAACAAGCCAGACTTAAGGCCCAATATACATAGCATGCCATTTAGACCAGAGTTACAATTCTTATAAATTTTAAAGGTTTTATTAGTTTTGCGCGATTCGTCCCGTCTTGTACTGTCCACTTTTACGGCCCATTTCTCATCACTCAGACCGGAAATCGAGATGCGGGACTCAAAAATGTAAAAACCAAGCTTGACTTAGGTAAGATGTAAATTGAGTTCCGTTTCCACTAGAGGTCAAATTATTATATATTTTAGAAATTTCACTAGGTTTCCGAGATTCTGCCCGTCTTGTACTGTCCTTTTTAATGAACAATTCCTCAGTATCCAGGCAGGAAATCTCAATGCGGTCCTCAAAAATGGATAAAGCAAGCTTAACTTAAGTTTCGATGTAAATTGAGTTCCATTTCGGCCCGAGGTTAAATTGTTAGACATTTTACAAGTTTCATTAGAATTGCGCGATTCAACCCGTCTTGCACTGTCCATATTTAAGGCAAATTTCTCAGTATCCAGGCCGGAAATCGCAATGCCGGTCTGAAAAATGCATACAGCAAGCTTATCTTAAGGTTCAATTAAAATTCAGTTTCATTTCGGTCAGAGTTTCCGTTGATATACATTTTAGAAATATAATTAGATTTGCACGATTTGCCACGCCTTGTAATGTCCATTTTTCCGGCCCATTTCTCAGTATCCAGGCCGGGAGTCGCGATGCGGGCCTCAAAACTTTACAAGGCAAGCTTGACTTAAAGTAGGATGTAAATAGAGTTCCATTTCGGAGAGAGTTCGAATTGTTAGAACTTTTAGAAATTTCATCAGGTTTACGAGATTCTGTCCGTCTTGTACTGTCCTTTTTTATGACCAATTTTTCAGTATCCAGACCGGAAATCCCAATGCTGGCATCAAAAATGCATAAAGCAAACTTGATTTAAGTTTCGATGTAAATTGGGTTCCATTTCGGCCAGAGTTCGAATTTTTATACATTTTTGAAACTTCATTAGATTTGCGAAATTCGACCGTCTTGCACTGTCCATGTTTATAGAATATTTTTTAGTACCCAGGCAGGAAATCCCAATGCGGGCTTCAAAAAATACACAAAACAAGCCTGACTTAACAGCCACTTAAACGCCATTTGGGATATTACAATTCTTATAAATTTTAGAGGTTTTATTAGTTTTACGCGATTCGGCCCGTCTTGCAATGCTCACTTTCATCGCCCATTTCTCAGTATCCAGGACGGAAATGGCGATGCGGACCTCAAAAATGCATAAAGCAAGCTTGACTTAAGTTTCGATGTAAATTGGGTTCGATTTCGGTCGGAGTTCGAATTGTTATAAATTTTAGAAATTTCATTAGATTTGCAAAATTCGACCGTATTGCACTGTCCATGTTTATAACCTATTTTTTAGTACCCAGGCCAGAAATCGCAGTGCTGGCTTCAAAAAATACACAAAACAAGCCTGACTTAAGGCCCAATATAAATGGCATGCCATTTGGGCCAGAGATTCAGTTCTTATAAATTTTAGAAATTTCATTAGGTTTGCGAGATCTGTCCGTCTTGTACTGTCCTTTTTTACGACCAACTTCTCAGTATTCAGACAGCAAATCGCGATGCAGGCCTCAAAAATGCATAATCCAAGCTTTACTTAAGGTAGGTTGCAAATTGAGTTCCATTTCGACCAGGGTTCAAATGGTTATAAATTTTAGAAATTTTATTAGTTTTGCTAGATTCTGCACGTCTTGTACCGTTCTTTTTATGGACAATTTCTCAGTATCCATGCAGGAAATCTCAATGCCGGCCGCAAAAATGGATAAAGCAAGCTTGACTTAGGTTTCGATGTAAATTGAGTTCCATTTCGGCCAGAGTTTGAATTATTATACATTTTAGAAACTTTATTAGATTTGCGCCATTTGGACCGTCTTGTACTGTCCACTTTTATGGCCTATTTATACGGAAGTCAACCTAAATAATTATCTCGGTCCTCTGAAAAACAAAAATCGAACAGTGCGCAAAAACACAAAAAAATCCGGGTAAATCTTGTGGGTGGAGGCATACTTGCTCAGATCAATCAATTTATTCCGACCTCAACAATACGAATTGGCTTCATTCTACAGCTTTTTGAAACACTTTCAGTGACCCCTACCTAACCAGGCTGGTAGCTCATCTTGCGCCCATGTATTTTCGGATTGGAGGCACATATGCAGACAGAATCGTCTTTGCTCGAGAAGATCAAACGGAGCGACTTCAAGCTGCGGATATAACGTTTCTATGTAACTTTCGCCAATAATTCAGCTTGAATCGCCACCAAAAGCAATTTTTTTACCCCTTTCAGCATCCGACTACCTGCGACTGTACCAGTTTACCCAGAATGCTGGCGTGAGCTTAATTTTCGATCTGAACTCTTTGCTAAGAAACGATGACGGAAGTTGGAACTCTGAGAATGCTCGAGAGATGATAGCATTTTCCAGCGAACACCAAATGCAACTTGATTGGGAATTGGGCAATGGTAAACCTGGACTTTGTCCTCCACGATTGAAGCTAAACCGTCAACCTTCCAGAACCCGATCTGTATCAATATATCTACGAAACTAACGTAGCCGCTTCGCAATTGGCTGCAGACTATCAAACATTGCGGGATATTTTGGACGAATTTGAGATTTACAAGTCTGCAAACTTGGTGGGAAATGACATGTTTGATGTGGGTGGTAGTGAAAGCAATCAAGAATATTTAAGCACGTTCCTAAAGGCGGCGGCTCATCTTGTACATGCTGTTACGTGGCACCAGTAGGAAACTGCATCAAGATGGTTCATTCGGGGAATTATAAATACAAATCGTTTAAGGTATTACTTTGCTGGCAGAGATGCAACTGAAGAACTATTCCTAAGCCCGAGTACTTTCAACTATTTGGAGCAGAGGATTAATGTAGTGAAGAAGGTCGTGAGCAGTTCAGGATCCGGCAACAAAGTTTGGTTGGGTGAGCTTATTAGTTTTCTAAAAGACCATCCGAATACGTAATCTGACTTCCGCAAATGCGAGCCAAAGAAACTGCAAAAATGAAGTGGAAACAATATAAAGATCCATGATATGTAACCAAATTTTCGTTGCATTTTATCGTCGAATTTCTAAGGAAATGGAAACAAGTGTTAGATGAAAATGACTCTAGTTTGCTATCTATGTAAACGATAGCAGAAAATGTTTCGCTACGTTTTTGCAGGCTGCTTGAATTAATTTTTTTCTTCAAAATGGAGAGTTTAACGAGGCTTATCATAGAGAGCAATCACCAGCTAAAGAAGACATATTTTGTACCAATGCAATGTTGCACTTTTTAGGCAAAACACGGTACCTACGTACTGCATTTCTCAATTATTACAACTGATTTTCAAATTTCTTGCGGGTTTCTATAATAGTAGTAATCTCTGTTTTTATTAGATTATCCTCCTTGTACCCAAAGGCATTTTAGTAGTAAAAATTTCAGTTTTGCGAAACAAATTTGCTATGAAACCGATGCAGAATTGGTCGGTTAAAGGGCGAAACATCTCAAAATTATTCAAAACGTTCGGCTGGTTTGAATCAGAGGTGTCTAGTGTGTCTTAAATTCGGATTTTGTACAAATTGATTAAAATTTTCAAGATTTTAGAGCCTCGAGCTTCAAGTGGTTGCTATAAAATGTGTGCTAAATTCAAGAACAGAGCGTGCGGTTGAATGAAGTTCTTCAATGTAAGACCAAACTTTTTTTGTCACCAACTGCTAGCAGTGGTTAAATAGTTCGGGTGCAGCGACCAAAATTTCGATAAATTATAGAATTTTTCCGACTGAAAACGCCAAGTGCTCATAGTAAAAGTAAAAACAATGTAAAAGTAATTAAGAACTATAGAAACGTTAACCAATTGAAGTAATGGTTAAGGAGACAGTGGATCACACTTAAGATAAAAGAGCAATAGAAACACTGGAAGAAATGAAACATAACATCCAAACAAGAAACACAGTCAACACAAAAATTTGAAACTTAAAAGCCAACTTTTAGGAAAATTTTACTGCTCAAATGGAGCATGTTTATCGCGAAACACAAAAAAAGATATGAAGAGTGCTGAGACTCGGAATAAACAGCTCAACAAAATTTGAAACTTGCCCTAATTTTGGAACTGTTCTGTTTGAAGTGTTATCTAGCACCCTTTGTTTTCGCTTAGTCCATGTTGTGGTAATTCAGCATCGGGTGGCATTCATGCATGAAGAAATGCAAAATAGCGGAAAGTTTGGCATGCAGTTGGTCAAAAAAACAGTTTTTTTTTAATCTCAACGTCAAAAGCTTAAAGATAAACCAAATAGCTCAAACGTTTTTTGAATTTTTTGGACATCTATTCGATTTAGAGCGTGGTCTCAAAAAATCAACTTTTCGGTATTGCCGCGATAACTTTTCTGCTCTTCGATCGATTTTCACGGTCTAGAGCTCATGTTCAAGCTTAAACTTCATAGACGATTTAAGGCAACAAAGCGATATAGAGGGTTGCATAAAAAAATTAAAATAAAAAATCACCCAAATCTGTGAATCTGGAAGATTTTCAACTAAGCAGTTTACTTTCAAATATTTCGTTCATTCTTGCATTTCGGTATATTGATTTTTTTTCTGAAGGCGACTGTGAAGTTTCAGTTTCAGCATGAGTCCTAGATTTTGAAAATCGGCTCAAGAGAAAAAACAACAAATACAGGAGAAATGCAAAAAAACGTTTTTTTCTGTCCAACCCCCTGTCCCTGTCCAAGCATGTGGAACTTTCACTAAATTTTTAATGTGTAAATTGCCACCCTGTAGAAAATATATTTGAAGCACTAATTGAAAAGGAATTGCACTAAATAACGCTTGAAACATAAAACTGAAAATGACTTTGGAATTTGGAAAAAACAGTTTAGTAGACTTGAATCAATTCAACAATAAAACGTTGAAACGACGACAGGAGTCCAACGACAAAGGAGATGAAAAAGACGATAAAAAATGCAAAAAAGTTGATGAAGGACACGATACAGAAGTGAAAAAACTGGCCAAAATACCAGATAAACTGAAGAGAACTGGCAAAAATATTTAAAACAGGGCAGCATCCGGACTAAATAACATACGAAATGAGCAGTTGACAAATATTTTCTACAAAACGGTTATCAACCAAAAATGTCCCCAATGAATAGAAAAAGCGCACAACCAACCATGTTCAACAATAAATAAATTCATACTCTTCAAAAAATTACAGAGCCATACTAAACTGACCTGAGGAGATCGTAGATTCAAAAAATCATCGAAAGTGAGCATGTAAACATATCGAAAGAACAGCTCGGGTTTCGGAAAAATCGATAAACTCACGAAGAACCCGCTTATAGGTGCTTCATATATCTGATCAAAGCGTTCGTCAGGGTTATTTCGACCTATACCATATTCACTTTATAGACTGGCAAAGTATAATTTTCAGCTCTGATTCAGGTGAAACTTCGTCGGCATATAACGGAGGAGCTGCAAACATGTCCAACAGGTTCCTAGGAACCTTCCTCTGGCTAGATAAGCTCGGTTTAGGAGCAAAACTGGGACTGGATGTTATTATTAGACAGACAATATATGTGGACAATTATGCGTTGCTCGACCCCGACTACGTGCCCAACCCTGTAAGTTGTGCTACTTTAGAAACGATCCCGGGTTTTACTTCTGGGTGCATTACAGGACTGGTGGCTGAGTGTTATTTATAAAAAACTTGTTGGCACCAATGTTTTATCACTGTCCAATGATGGAAGCTCTGATAACACAGTCAGACTCTATGCGCATTGTGCTAAAGATGCTGAATCTTCAGTAGTTGGTGAGTTTCATGGAGCGCCAAGCTCGCTTTATCATCACGAAATATTGATATTGCAGTGTTCGGGTTCAACGTTAATGGTGAAAAGGCCACAATCAGCATTGAAGGATTTGAGGCTGATGAAGATGTATTGGTCTACCAGCTGAACTATGATGAAAATATATACTCGCAGTAAGTAATCGGAAAAATTCAGGGTAAATACTCTGAAACAATTACTTTGTTTAGAGTTTCTCATCTTTGGAAACGCCAAACAAGTATTACATATAATCAATTAAAAATCAGTGACTAAAGTCTAATATAGGTTGTTCGGCTACAAAAGTATACCTACGTCAATTTCCTGAAAAAAAACCAAAACCGAGCTTAAAAACTCTAAAAGTTTCCGACTTTTAAAAAAGAAGGAAACTAATAGTTCAACACTCCGCATGTTTTCGGAAATATTAAAGCGAATGGAAGCAAAATCAGTTTAAGCGCACCAACTTGGTTGTAACTTTAACATAATTCTAAAACAATATTGCCCGATTTGCAATCGTTGTGGTTTTCAGGACAATCAAACTGAATGGAGAAATCCTGAAAGTGTCTTCAGAAGGAGATTTGCCAGACTTTCAACCCACAACCGTCCCCAACAGGGGCACATTCACACTGGAACCACACTCACTAGTATTTTGGGTGTTTACCAACACCAATGTAAACGCCTGTGATTAACATTAAAATAAACAAACAAGTAATTGAAAAAAATATATTAACCAACAATTCAAATACAAACAGCCGATTTTATAGTCAAATACCAGTAACACTTCTTGAACAGCCAACAGTAAAGACGACTGAGTTTTTTTAACTTATAATAGTGAATGAGAGTAGAAGTTTGATATTGATCTGTTCACAGAATCCAACTATACAGAGTGATTCACAATCCGGCACAGCACTAACGCTGAAACTACTAAAATTTTCAATGTTTCAAAGTATAAAAATAATAACACAAGCAAAAATAATTTAGTACCTCTATTGCTCATTACACTTCTAAAATAATTCCAAATTACGCCTCACCCTACTTCATCATCTGTGTATCGATGGATGTTTATTACTCTTAAATGCATAATTTACGCCAAAAATATCGATACCTAGTACATGGTGCGCTCAAAAGAAGTGTACACTTAGATGCTAAACTTAGACTCTACCTAACACCGCCTAACTTCAATACAGGTAGTCGCATGCAGGGGTTTCTAAACGTCTACCATTTACAAATCAAATAAAAAGTATATCACAATTTCTTAAAATTAAAGCGAAACCATTTCTTAATAGGATCTCTTTCTTAAACAGGAGTTATTCCAGACCAACCTCTGAAAAATGAGCATTACTCTGAAGACTAAGTAGGTGTGGTCTTTAAACAATACAGGTGGACCAACTTTAATAGACTAAAATTGCCTAACGTGCAATTGGGGATAACAATTGAACTATGAAATCCACTTGCCTTGCCTTGTATAAAGGTTACTCTAACAATTTATATACAGGGAGTCTTTAACAGGTGCAAAAAAACGGTGCCTCATATTCCCGAGGCTAAAATAGGACGATCAGTTCAAAAATGGATGATGTTGAAGATGATACAAAGTTTTCGAATTTTCATATATTTCTAACCACTTTTTGGTGTGAAAATTTAATTTACTATAAATTTTGTTATAAAATGTCGAAAACGCAGTTTGAAATAGTCAGCATGCTTTCAAAGCGAATCCAATTTCTAAATCTAAATGTATTTTAATTTTAAATCTACTCAGTTTTTCGCAACGTTTTTATTCTTGTAGCAGTGACAGTAAGTTAATAAAAAATCAACTGTTTTAACATTTGTTGAAAACAAACTCATTTTTGTGTGTCCAACGATTTGGGTTGGGAGAGTTTCACCCCATCTCCGAAATGATTAAGTTTTTAGCCCCAGTTTTTCGGCAACTTTTAGAGCCCCTGTAAACTAACGATCTTTGATGGCATGAAAAACTGTAAATGCATTAATGGAAAGGAAACCTACATCTACAGCTTATCACCTAGATTTCTGCACTCTCTACGACGATTAAAAGTATATTTACTCATGCTTTTTCCAATTCCAAAATGTTCTTTGGTACATTTTTAATACTTCAATATTGTACTGGATGAAATTTTCCCAGTAAAACTTACAGCTCGCCGTTGGCCTGTCCATTATTCAACCCCTCCTCCTGCATAGCATCCAGAACTTTGCTCAAATAGTTGGGATGAATCGACTTTTGCAGCTGCTCGAGAGCTTCTTCTGCTTCCCGCAGGAGTTTCACCACATGTCTCAAAGTGGATTGCCATTTCTGGGCCTCAGCGGTGCGCATTGTTTCTTGCTGTTGCAACAGTTCAATCCATTCGTCGTGCGATTTTGGGGAATTTTTCAGAGTGCTGAAGTCCATCAGCTTGAAAGAGGGCGGCGCCTCTTCAAGGGACCAGAGCTTGTAGTAGAGCAGCACATTTAAAATCAGCAGAATCAGCAATACCACCAAAACGATGACTGTACAGACATCGGTGGTAAAAAATCCTCCTGCTTGGGGCATTCGTTTTCGCGGAACATTCAACCGAATATCCTCAATACTGTATCGAGGCATAGAATGCATTCGCCGTTTGCGGCGCGATTTTCTGCGCTGTTCCGGTATGTTGTCCTCGCCCTCCGTTTGCAACGCTTCCTTCAGTTTGGAGAAAAAGTCCTCCAAACCGGACCAGACGTTGCGTTCAATCATCGACTTCACCAGGCCCCATATATTCTTTTTGAACTTCAACTGGCCGGTTACATGAATTGAACTGTGCGTATCCGATACTTTTCTGAGACAGTAGTGAACAGTCACGTAAAAACTATCTGCATAGGGAATTCCGGCGTTTACTGTTTCCACGTCTACAGCGTAGAGACTGCCCGATTTGCTGCAGGGCAGCATTGTGTGACGTTCAGTTACCTGGATAATAAAATCAGCTAAATTCTAACTGTGCAGTTTTATGATACTTTTTAAAAAAGGTTGGATTTTACCACGGATTTGAGGGTTTGGTGTCGGAGTTAGATTTTTATTTTATTTTATTTGAAATCACAGAAATGGCCAAATATTCCAGAAAAAGTGGAAAACTTGCCGCATTTATAGAGGAAAGTATGTCAGGCTTCTTTTTTTTCAAGTCATTTTCATTTCAAAGTCAGCTTAGTTACCTCACAAGAAATTTTCAAATTGGAAATAAAAGGCGAAATTTGAATGTGATATGCAAGATTGGGCCAAACTGTTATGCATTCTGCCACTTTTTTGCCCATTTCTCCGCATCAGGTTGAGCTGGAGCACCCGATAGAGCATTAAATGGCACATTTTGACTAATTAAGGCATGAGATCTGAGACCAGTAGATGAAGCAATAAGTCAGAGAAGGTTGAAAAAAATATAATACAAAAAAAGCGAAGATGTTCTTCGATAGAAGATAATAAAATTAAGCTCCATTGTAAATTTTGAATAACTTGAAACCAGAATGTTTAAAGGATATTTTTAATTAGTTGAAACTTCGTTAGTTTCTCATCATCGCTCGGAAGTTGAGCAATAGCTTCATTTTTAAGATATTTCTTCGCTGTTTTTTTGCTTAGCCAATATTTTCAGAACACAAAATTAATTCAGTTATTAATTTTACTTTTCGCGTTGGGCATTAATCAGTGTAGCTGAATGAAGCCAGACAAATAAAAATGGCTCTAAATTTTAAATTAAATTAGTGAAAAATCATCGTTTGGAGAGTCTCTATTTGTAGCCTTCTGTAGTCCGATACATTAATATTTTCTTCCCAGAATTAATGTTTTTGCAGATAAACAAAAAAAAATTAAAATCCCTAGATAATTAAACAAATCCCTTTTCCTTTTGCCTCAGAAAAATCCCTAGAAGTAAAGAAAAATTCCCTAGTATGGCATTACTATTTGCAGCTAAACTTTCGGTCTAGTTGTTGTTGACGTTCGTTAAGTTAAAACCTGAAATTTGTATTTGGAAATATTGCCGTGCGAGCATGCACTTTCTACAAAAATGTCAACAATAAACAAACTGAAATCGAACTGCCAAGTGAAATATGAATCATCCAAAGGGCGAACAATTAAATGATTAAATAATCATGTTTATTCTGTAGTTCGGAGTCTTTTTTTCTCCCCAAAAGGTGTTTGAATGTACAGTTTGCTACCGACAGTGGACGAAATGAGTTGATAACCGCATTCTTAGATGGGAAATATATGTAGAATCACTGTGGCCCTTATGGCAAGTGCGGTAGTTTGTGAAAGTGTAGTGAACTTTTTGAAGTTCAATGAGAAGAAAATAGAGGATGGGGCACCAGCTTGCAGAAAACTGGTAAGAATAAATTCTAATCTATAAATCTTTTAGCTTGAACTGAGTTTAGTTTTCCGACAAGAAACTGAAGTGTTATCGGATCTTTATATTTCTCTCTTTTTGCTTTGCTGATTTCAAATAAATTTGGCTTTGGACAGATTTTCTGCTGTACTAAACACATTTTCTTCTTATTTGCAGGGCCACTACGCAGCTTTCGGTAAGCTACATTACTACATGCCCCTGGTGGCCATGTAGATGTAGATCTTTTCAAGAACTGACTATGGTGGATTTGGTATCAATTAAGCTATTGATTCTTTCGTAGTTAATTTTTGAACTTTCGAAATATTTTGGGCGTCTTTGTATTTTTAACATCAAGCTCATCTGAAGCTTGTCTGTGAAAAACCGCTTCAGATATGCAAATAAGGGTTCAAGTTTTATGTCAAAAAAGGTCAAGAGTTCGTTTTTATATCATTGGAAATTCGATTCAGTTATAACAACGTGAGTGAGTAAATTCTGGTAGATTTGTCACAAAAAGTTCAGATTTTCAAATCAAGATTTGCAAAGCCCGCAAAATTCAGGATTTCAGGGCAAAACACTTAACAAACCTACTAATTACAAAGACGCAGAAATTAGCACAAAGACCGACACAAAATATTACAAATCAATATGTAGACACCTGAAAAAAACTAAACAACACCTTAAAACAGAACAGATTGTATTTAGATCAGTAGCGAAAAATAAGACATCCCAAAACGGATTACACAATCAATCAAACCAACGGCTTTACGAACGAGCAAAAATAACCAGAACAGCCGACAAACTACTTCAATTAGAAACAAATAGAACAGTAATTCCCAAAACCAGACCATACTAAATCCCCTTTTGCTTTAAAAGACAAACCAGACAATATAAAGGAAAACTTAAAATAGATTTAGTAAAAGCCTAGAATACGATAATTTTGTTTTGTTTTTTATTTAGCACAAGATTAACATGTGCTTATCAGGGCAGAAAGATCAAATGAATAAAAAACTTCTCAAATCCCGTTTCCGTAATATCCCTAGATTATTTTGGAAAAAACTAGAATCTGCATGGGGCAAAACCATTTCGCACAGAAAAAACTGGGGGTTTGGTAAATCGATATGTTACTTGCAGAAATTTATAGAACAAGTAGTTTTATATAAATCTCTTGAATATATCATACTTCGTAAATCGCAATTTACAATCTACAGGCTGTTAATATTGCCTCTAAAAAAACAAAGGTATGTATATTAAAAAAAACAACCTTAAATTATTTTAATGAACTTGGAGCGCTAACTACTATACAAGTCTTAAGAGAAAAATGTTGTTTTCAGTTTCGCCAATGGACAAGTTTAAATGTAAAAATTATACACGCCAATTTTTACAAAATCAAAAATTTATTTTTCAAACTCCCGTGCAGTTTCGATGGGAAAAAGTCGGTTGCCTTTTTGATACGAGTTTGAAGTAAACAAAATAGAATCCGTTTATTGCATATCATGATATACACGCTAATCTAGTTGGAAGTAATTACTTGGAATGATTTTACCACAAAACGTTTATTACTAAGTACTCACACTGTGTACTTAGTTTCTTTATGAAGTAAATTAGTTTATCTGTAAATTAAAATGTGTTTATCTAATCGTCTTGAATGAGTAAGTTTTTCATAACTATCTGTAGATCAAAATTAAGCCATTAAGGAAATATATTCAAAATTACCTGTGCTGAAACCTCGTGCAGTCGCCTTAGCCAACACCCTGTAAATGTGCTTGGGACGAGTAGTTAATAATTACAGGAAATTTGTATTTGGGATTGTACACGGAATTTAAAGCATTTGCATGTAATTAGCAAATGAGCCATGCCCAATTAAGTTCCTGGGCACAGACCAAAGTACAAAATGCACAAATTAATTTACTCACCTGGCATGTTTTCGGCCCCATAGTCTGGCCCAGGGACATGGTGAGATTGACAACCCTACTCTTGCTATTATCCAAAGGGTTGTGAGTCCATGGAGTTTGAGTAAGGTCAGAAGTCTTGCGAGATGCATGAAAATCTAGGTAGAATTTTGAGGAGGTAAAGAGTAAGGTGAAGAGTTGGTCCAAGTGGATCGGGTAAACTTCATCTAGAAGTATTCTGCCTTCATGTGGAGACGTGCATTCAAAGATTACGGATTCCTTTATGCTGTAAAAATAACTGAGTCATTTAGTGTTCCAGGAGCGAGTTCCACCAAGCATTAATACCTAATGGGTTTGTCGGTTTCCGATTCGGAATTCTCGGTATGTGTATGGGTGTTTCCACCACTAACTGACTGGTTAGGGCTGGATGAGTGTTGTCCAGAATTTTTTGGATCTTCCATTTTATCCTCAGTAGCAATGTGATCCATTACAGTATCTAGACTGGCAATAACCTCACTAAACGACTCCACAGATAAGCGGGAAGATAACTTATCTTCGTCTTGATTTGGAGATATATAATCTTCGTCGTCGCTGGTTAGACCCAATTCACTGCCATAGCACTGAAACAAAGAAAACCGCTTGCTTAACAATAAATTCAACGCAATTTGGGTTTAAGAATGCTGTCAACTAACTAGGTTGCATAATGATGAATTTTGCAAACAAGCCAAAGATAAATAAGTACCTGGTGAACCCATGTCCACATCTCCTGTTGAGACATTGGTTGATCCATTAAAGCATTCTGCCATATTCGGAAGATCATTAAATAAGACTTGTCCCGTTGCACCAGGCTGGTGAAGAAGTACTTCTCGGCTTTTGTACATATTAGCACAGCATTAGGTATTACCAGGGCAGTTTTCTCTTTCGTAATCGCAGCCACGTCCTTCCATTTCAAAGTCAAATTGGTTTCCCAACCGAAAATATTGGCGTAAAAGCATAAATAATTCTGGGTGATGTACAGACGGCCTTGTACCAAGATTTCCTTTTGTAGAGCACAAGAGTAATCCACTACTAGCCTTTCATCGCCTGGCACGTCCACAAAAAGCTTTTTGAAGTCCTCTGATCGACTCTTGTATGTCGGGTAGAAAGAGTTGAACCAAGAAGACTTTTTCTTAGTGCGAGTATCCTTTTTGTCTTTGATGTTGATAGGGATATCTGACCTTAAATCGGTTGGAAATGACGGTTCAAGGCTGCTGGCGCTGCTTATTCGACTAGTGGAGCTCTCCTGGCTTGAGGGCGACCCTTCATGCTTGAAAACATTCTCTCTCGAGTTTGCACCAGCTATGTCAATTTTAAGATGCTCCTGCTTGGTTTGGGGTTGAGGGCTTGGCCTGGGGCTGCACCTGGGACTCGACGGCGGACTTCCACAAGGTTTAGTTTCGTTGTTTGTTAACTTTTCATTTATGTTTGGAGAGGACAGGGACGTCATCCTGATCGTACTTCGTTCATCACGCCGAAACTCATTTTTTGTTTACCTGCGTGATAAGATAGGATCAATAGCGAGATTAGAAACTGGTTCCACTTCGAAAGAGCACTTTCATCGATAAATTAATTGGCGCAAGCCGAATCGGAATTAAAAAAACAATAACTGGAAAGGACAACAAGTCCCCACTGACGTTGACAGTGCTGTCAGAGGTCGGATAATGGCCAAATGGGGCTCACGGATTTATTAAAGAATCTGAAAAAGTCTTATTTTCTAGTTTCTGATGCTCCAAAGCAAAATTTTGCAAAAATAATTCGCACCAATTTAATCAAATAAAAGTGCAAGGCCATAGAGAGTAATACCGAAACAATTGTTCATTTTTTCGCTTCTATGTAAGGGAATTTTTATAGATCCGTTAAGAGCGCCAGATTAATTGCGACGTTTTGGGCTTTCCTCAAAACATAACCTATACTATTTGTTTACAAGTGGTTTGTAAGGGCAATTTTTTGCCAAAGCAACCCTGTGAAATGAGCAACGAAAATTCGGTGATTTATGGCCTAGAATTCCAAGCAAGAGCGTTGGCTCCACAATTGGCCGAGACTGAAAAAATCCGATTTGTTATCGGGACGCAGTCCCTCAAACAAGCCAACAACCAGATCCATTTGGTCGAATTCAATGAGGAAATTTCTACTATAAAAACGTCGGTTTTTCATCATTCAGAGGGTGAAATTTGGAAGATTACTACCAGCCCCCTGGACTCGTCCAGGCTGGCTACGTGTTACAATGCTGTAGCCAGCGAAAATAGCTGCGCCTTCAGGACTGCGATACTGAAACTTCCAGAAATGGAAAATCCTGATAGTATAGAGAATTTGGAGATTGTTACTAAGTTCGATACTAGTGAATTTGGGGCTGAAACCAAAACCACAGAGTTTCATCCGACTGATTCGGCAAAAGCTGCCAGTGTGATTGATAATAATGTGGTTTTATGGGACGTGGCCGATTCCCATGCGAAGGCTATTACGAAGTTTCAATTAGAAGGTGAGTGAGTACTTTTGCTTTCTCTTTTCATCTCCTTCAGCCTGTGTTAGTCCACTGCTGCTCGCAGGCCTCTCCTTGAACTTTCCATGTATTTCTGCCTTGAGCAAGTTGAAGCCAATACCTTGTGCTTTCTTTTTAATGTTGTCCAACCATCGCTTTTGTGGTCTTTTGAAAGATTCGATAGTTCAAGTCTGCATTAAATTTTGAGACTTTGTTGTTGGGTGCGATGCCTTGCTCCGATTTTGACGCTCATTATTAAGCACGCAAATGATCGGGGCCGAACTAGTTTGTGACTGTAGTAAAAGCTGTACGCTGCTTTAATCCAGATTTTACTAACGAAAATTTAACTCATTCTGTGTCTGTGTCATGCCGAAAGAGTTTAGAACTGCATTCGCAATAAACCGTACTTAATAGTTGTATATTAAGTACAGAGTGAAAATAAAAACCAGGTCCGTTTGAAAGTGGTTCCAAAACTTCTGGGCGCTTGAAGGCACTGTTAATCAAATGAGCTACAAAACTTGAAGAACGAACATTACAATAACTGTGTTAAGTAAGTTTTCCATCACAGGCAAGCACAATCCCAAGTTTACAACTGGTAAATGGAACCCACACCAAAACTGCAACCAATTTACTGCCGCCTCTGAGACGCACCTGAAAACCTACGATAGCAGAACGGGCGTTCTTGCTTGGCAAATTGATGGCGCTCATCATCAATTAGTGCGAGACTTGGACTACAACATGAATAAGCAGTACCATATCGCCACATGTGGAGACGATGGTTTCGCAAAAATTTGGGACTTTCGCCAACCTGCCAGTCCGGTTTATTCGAGCAATGAACATTCCCATTGGGTCTGGTGCGTTCGCTTCAATCACTTTCACGACCAGTTGCTTCTGACCGCCAGTTCTGATGCCAGAGTGCTGCTTTCCAGTGCAGCGAGTGTCAGCTCAGAAAACGTCTGCGATACTGATGACTCCAGAGGTGCGCAAGTTAAGCAGCTGCTTCCTGATGGGCCGTTGCAGTGGTGTGATCATGAGGACAGTGTTTATTGCGCAGAATGGTCACCGTCTGAGCCGTGGGTGTTCGCTTCGTTGAGCTATGATGGGAGACTGTTAATTTCCAGAGTGAAAAAGTCCCTTAAATACCAAATAATGCTCTGAAGTAACTGTTTTGTACATAAAGATTAAAGTTGGCTTATTTATTACTCATCAAACTGGCGCCTTATTTAACCGCTCTCCTGGTTTTAGTGAATTTTGTTTGATAGAGAACTCTGAAATTACGTGGGTTTGTCCCATCGGACTAAACCTTTTTTGGATTTTTTTGAAACTGTTTATAAGGAACATTCGCCAAGTAGTCGAAGTAGGATTTTGGAGACCGCGTTTTCAAATGTTGCACTTATAGTAAACTTCCCGGGGATTTTCTGGTAATAATCCGGATTATTATTGTATAGTGATCGTGGGGAAAACTCAAAGTTCTCAAGCAAATACGCAAATCTTTAGCGCCTAATTAGACATCTGAAACTGGTAAAAAAATAAATTAATGAGATTGTCTAAATCTACCGTCTTCTTAACATCAGGACGTCAGGTTTATGTTAAGAAAAGGCACTCAAACAGCAGCGCTTGCATAATATTTGATCTTTTGTGGACGAACTTCTTGAATCGGTTAAAGAACTATATAATACCATAAGAAAATTAGCATGATCAAAATGAGCGAAAACAAATTAAAGTTAGTTTAAATTAACTCAGGTACTAATTCATGGGTCAAAAAGGGGTCCATTCTGTAAAATTCCAGTACAGAAAATTGAAACTAATGAGAAAATGGGAAGCAATAGACAGCGTTGCAATCGGCAAGCCAGCGATTATGAAACAATAGAACGGGTTTGAATTAAGTTCCCAACAAATGCTTAAAGAATCAATGAAATCGTTCTACTGCTGCGGAAACCCAAAAATGGTATCTAAATGGAAAAAAGGGTGAAAAGTCCAAGTAGAAAAATCAGCCAATCCTAGATGACAAAAAAAAAATTCAATTAAAAAAAAAGATGAAAACCAGTGAATGTTGAACTTCTTTTAAATCAACCCATGGATCAACCAGTTCGATAAAGTGGTAATGCAGGCAAATTTTGATTTATTTTCCTGACTGCGAGTAATTGTTATTATATTATTTTCTTTCCTGGGGTCCAGTCACAGTGTGAAACAAAAATTTTTGTATATCGTTTATTTCTATATGAGTATATATTTATAAGTTTGAATGAATTTTAAAATCTGATGATGGCGCTGTTGTCTCGCCGAAACGTAACAAAATAAACAATATACAAATTTTTTTGTTTCACACTGTGACTGGAGCCCAGGGAAGAAAATAATATAATGCAGGCAAACAAAACAAACGAAAAAATTGGAAGCAATAAACAGAGATAAGAAGTTTTCCATGAGCCCTTAGATGCCCTCAACTTCATTCATCGGGCTTGGCATGAACTTATACGGAGAAAATAATTTGCAAGCTTTGCCAACAAGTGAATGCTTAAAGAATCAATAAAATCGTAGTTAGGCTGCGGAACCGAAAAATGTTCTTGGTACATTTATCTTATCATAACGCATCATTTAACATTTTCGCAAAATGACCGTTTTTCAATGCGGTCGCAAAAATTTAAGAAAGTGTAGCGATAAGCGCGTTTTTCAATTATTGAAGTTCGCTCTATCCGGACCTTACTACCTATGAGTACTAAGGAATTTTTTGGACTGACCTATTGCTCGCTGATCTTCAAGAAGATTTAACACGGTTTCGAAAATAGCTCCAAGTGCACTGTCACACCGGTAAGTGTAAATTTAAAAATAACTACATTATATCTGTGACCAAAAAGTCTATTAATACACCAGATCTTATAACTGGACTATCATAAAACACAACGAATAGTAGGAACATTAGTAGAATTTTGCTGCCATTCATTTTCATTCTCTTTAAATATTCTAAAGTGACATGAAATCGAATGCTGGCTTCCCCAGGCTCTTAGCTAAGGCTTTAAAAAACGTTGGCATTTTAGGTAATAGGTATGTAAACGATTTTCCTTATTTAACCAGGTGGCCAACTAGCATGGTGAACCGTATAGTAAACAACCATCATTGTGGTTGATTTGAGCTTGTAGAAGATTAACCGTTCCAATTCTAGCAAGAAGCACAATGTTTTCGGATTGCATCCATTATCGGTATCGGTTATCTACATACTAGTTACGCTGTACTTAGCGTCGCAACTCCGAAAGTTAGTGACAGCCTTTACCAAGAGCGACTCACTAGCGAGGCAACTCCTATTGGAATTAGTCGCTACTTTTGAGCTTTGTGCGGCCTGTTTCGAGCTAATTATAGGTAAATATATTGGGCATAGAAAATCGCTAGGATGTTTACTGAAATACTTAAAACAGTTGCAGATAACTGGGGAGTCAATGCATACGCGTTATTTCTGCTGTTACTTACGATCTGGTGGTCTACGAAATGGGGGGACGCAACCGCCTGCCCTTACTGCCCAATGGAAGAAGCTTTTGCCGGCCAGAGAACTTGGAAGTCCGCATTGAACATTATCGGGGTTCAGTTAGTGGCAGCATTGTTAACTTTTAAGTAATTTTCAATTGAATTTTCCGCAATTTTCCTGGGCTCCAATGGAAAATTCTTGCAGATATGTGCAAGTACTGTGGGCTATAGAACTAGTGGAAACCCACAAGGATAAAGCTTACGAGGAATGTGCGGCAGACCTACAAGTCGATATGGTTATGGGGGCAATAGTAGAATGCGCCCTTACATGCCTCTGCAGGGTAATGTCGAAAATATTGGCAGAAAAGTCCTTCAGGTGCAGTGGGGTTGTTGATGCTGCCTTTGCCACCACTATGGTTGTTTTAGGTAAGCCGCCACTAATAATTGAACGGGTTAGAAACAAATCGTCAATGGAAAATTCTTAGCTTACAAATTAAATTAGTCTGTGTTATAGAATGAGTCAAATGAAGTACAACACTTAACAACTATTCAATGCATTAAAAACTTTTTTTTAAATACATTTAAGCAAAAAAGTAGTTGGGTTGTTTGGCCTTTGGAGTAAAACAAACTTTGAAAAAATACAAAAACGACAAAGTGGACTATTTTTTGGAATATTTTTCACAAAAATGTTTAGCAACAAAACTAAATTTACTCGTAATTTGGCACCAAATTCATGTAATTATTATCTTGTTCTGCGACATTTTCAATTTGCAAACCTCGTTTTTCTCTATTTTTGCGGGTTTGACTCATGGGTCTTTTGTAAATTCTCCCATTTCTCAGATTTAATTTTTATTGTTTTATGGTAAAGGGGCTCTAAGCTTGAATTATTTACTGGACGACCAACATTTTTGAGCGTTTTTCTGACTGGAAAAATGGAGTCCTCATCAAAGGTTTTTTTTAAAGGAAAGCTGATATGATAAATTTTTGAATAAAAACCATCTTATGTCTCTCCATTTTATACTTTGATTTTGTGTGTCCTTTGTCGGATCCTTAATATGCTTGTTTAAATATCTTCTTTTATCTCTAGTCTACTTTCTTTTAGGTTTTCTTTTATGGCTGAAGTTGAACAACTTGTCTATAGGTCATAAGTTGATGAACTGTACAACTTTCTTTCCTTTATTATCGGCCAGAAAGCCTATTCTTCTTTCCCATTCGTTTCACGTTTTTTTTCTTCATTAGGGGCTACTAAAATAGAAAATTCGTCACCTTACATTTTGATCGCTAAACTCTACTCAACGTAACTTTACTACTACTAGTGGCTTCATTACGTGATTGGGAATTATCACTCGCATGAGTCTCATCTTCACTTGGTATCAAATCAGATTCCTCGTCCGTAGCATATCGATCTGTTTCTGAGTCTAAATAAGTACATATACCCACTATCATTGTCTCAAAACTCCAATATTTTTGTTTACCGGACCTAGAAGACATAATGATTGGAAATAATTATATGTATAATTAATCACTTGGTCTCTCTAAACCAACCCAAGCGCCACTTAGGCGTTTTTGACTCCAAACGTCTGGCGCGATTTCTTTACATTTAATTTTTTGTTCACCAAAAGAGGCCTTCAGGCTATTATTGTTACCTGGGCGATTTTACTACCAAATAGACGCAAATATGAACAGAAGTTTCGCTTCTAATCCCAACAATGCAAAAACCATTCACTGTTCCAGCTTTCAACATATCAGGCGGCTATTTTAACCCCGCATTGGCCACTTCGCTAAAGTTTGGATGCGTGGGAAATACCGCAGTTGAACATATAGTGACATATTGGATAGGATCGTGCACTGGAGCCCTTTTATCTTGCATAATATTCGAATCAAACGCTGTACAGAACTTCTTGAAGAGAGGCAAGGAAGAATAAAGTAACGTGTATTAACTCAATAGTTTTATTCTAACCGAAAATAAACATTCGTTTCGACCTGATGTGTTTAAAAAGTGCATCCTGTATAAGCGCCGTTTTTTACGCAGTATTGGATAACATGCCTCCAACATGTGTCAGAGGCCAACAATCCGGGATTGCCGATTATGATTAGCAAAGATTTGGGTCGCGAAAGAGCGACGTTGAGCCGCCGAGGGTTCGATAAGAACCCCAAGCCGTGCTGAACATCGCGAGCAACGTGATTTTGCGAAGATCTTACAGTAGAGAGTATAATTACGTCGAATTCTACACCTTGAAAATCCTCCACTGTGCCCACTCTGGGCACGGAGAACTCGGCTTCTTTGAGAAGCTCGCGAATTTCCTTCACCTGAAAATTGGCACATGTTTACCCTGTTGGATATCGGTAGAACAAATATACCTGTTTGGTGTAGGGAGTAATAATGCCGATATTCTTCTCGCTCAATCCTAGCCTGAACAGTTCATTCACATAGTAGAAAACTTGCGCCGCTTCATGCGGATTGAACCTGAAGAAAATTGCTAAGCAATCTGCAACTATTTAAGAGAAAAAAGCTGATTTACCAGGATGGAGAATCGGGGGTTTGGTAATTTTCCCCTTCTACTCCATGAAAAACCACCGAAGGCACAGCATTATCTGCAGTTTTAGGCAATATAGATGCCAAGGAGTTGAGCAATCTATACTCCGGGCTATCGCGTTCGGTTATCTAAAAAATGAGCAGACGTAAAAACCGCTCAAAAAACCCCCAAACAACTCACGGTAGCAATCAGATCTCCATGATAAAACAGTTCGCTGAATAGGTTCAAAATAACGCTGGCGGATCGGTAGTTATGCAGCAGTTTGGTAACCAGGCGAGGATCAAAACCTTCAGTGGTAGGGAAGCCTTGAATGTCCCTGCTATAGGGAAATCTATCTGTCAAGCGTTCAAGATACGACTCGCTTAAGCCGCACTGTTGTGCTATTTTGCAAAGAACCACTGGGCCCAGCTGCATTGGGTCACCTGGAAGAATTTGATAATTTTGAGATCGATAAAACTGATTTGAGTATGCTGCGCCCTTCTAATTGAAATAACTACCTGCTAGCACAACCTGTCCAATGTATTTGTCCAAAAATGAAATAGAAATCATCACCTCAGGCTCGGCAGCTTGGCCAGCTTCGTCCACGAAAATGTGAGTAAAATGACCGCGCGGGAAGCCCATCATGTGAAGAGTTGCAGCACTTGAGCAGGTTGATATTGTTATCTTGTGTCTCCCCAAGACTTCCCTACTACAATCTGAAAATAACTCAGCAGGTTAGTATATAGTTCTCAAAGGGACCTCCTAGTAAAACCAGTGGTTTTTGAAAAAAAGTCAAAGCTCAAATCTCGTAAATTTAGTTATACACGATGACGCTACTGGAGTTTTGCTAATAAAGGAGTGTTTGTCTCATCCAAATTTGCCATATTTACTATTATTCTCATAAGAAAAGTTTCTTAATAGAAAAGAGATTTGGAATTTTATGTTTCTCGATTAACAAGAACACTTTAAAAAAATGTATTTTGTTGGTATTAATATACCTAAGAAGGATTTTAAATGTGTTACCGACTGCGCCACTTTACCTCGACAAGCGTACTTGAGACAAAGTTTAACTTGAATTTAATCTACCTGGAGTAACTTTCAGTTTAACTTTGAGTTTTTTAAATAATTATTTAGTAAACCCCATCCTACTTACCAAAAGTCATGCCATTTTGGTCAAGGATGTTTTCGTCTTCTGTGCCTTCTTTGGCCACACTTGCTGTGGCACAGTAAGGCACTAATTTCGCCGGAATGTTCTCTCCAACGGCATAGTTTATTGAAACTATTCGAACCAAGTCTCCAGGCTTCAGAATTCCAAAATCTATAGATACAAAGAGTGAGAATTTATTTATTTCTGTTTAGCGTTTCTTTATAAGGCTGACTTATAACTTGAAATCTGCAAGTGCGGAAAACGAATTTCTGAGGAAGAGATATTGATGACAGTTTTTTCCTTATTGAGCTCTTCAGGTTTTTCAAGTCATCACTTATGCGCGTGTTTTATAAATAGATTAAACACTTTGTGTCAACATGTCCCGTGTAACGCTCCATTATCAGACACACTCAGGCGTTTATTTAAATTTTGGACTATATTTTATGAAAAATTTTATAGAATTCGCCGCCAATCAAAAAATTCAAAGAGTCTCACTCACATCATGTTGGAAAATGTATATGTTTATTTTGTTGAAACTGAATTTCTTTGATCGCATGAGGCCAATATTTGTAAACCAACGGTTACAATGGCCTGTGTGTACTCCTGATAACTTGCAATTATTCACACCAATCGGCATATTAAAAAATATCGCGGATAAACTCTAACAGATAGAAAATTGCTCTCCGCGACATGAGCATCAAATGAGCCAAAAATACTCTGAGCGCCTAAAATTTGGATTTTTATGTCACTGAATTCGGATAATCAAACCTCTCACCAAATCATTTTTTAAAAAACTATTGCAAGAGTTTACTGGTGGATAGAAATGTGCCACAAAGACTCTATGAGAACCTAAAACTTCAATTAAATTCGAAGTATTGCTAATCTTGTTCTCAGATTGCAGAAACTTAATTTCTAATAATAATAAATAAAACTTTTAACTTAAATTTTAAAAAAATGTTTAACCCGGGAACCCTATCGGTAGAATAGTACTTTTTGTAGCATTCAAAAGAACCAAAAAAGTTAGAGGACAAAAAATATGTAATAAATGGTTAAATCATTTCTTGGCTTGCAGAACTGGAATTAGCTAAATTCCTGAAATTGACCAAACGTTCTCCTGATTTTTCATCATTCAAAGCAAGAAAACCCTACGTGACACACTTATTTCTGCAAAATTTTTTCCATTTTTGTTGCTGGTTCTTGTTAAAGCGTGCAGTCTCTGAGCCTCCAAATCCAACACAAAGTCGAGGGTATTTGAAAACAATATAGCAATAGAACCGTAATCGATAGCCACTTATTTTTTATTGCACTCGAAATAGCGAAAAAAGGCTCTATCAGTTCTTATTTTCTCTCAGCTTTCAACCTTTGAGTCCACTGAGAAACGAGCATTTGAAAAATCATAGCAATAGAACTCTAATCGATCACGACTTGATTTTTATGGCACTGGCAAGTAGGCCTGGGTAACAATGTGATGAGTTGCGCTTTTGAGATGATGAGATGAGTTGGTGAGTTATAACTCATCGCGTCTCACTGCGCCGTACCTCAAATTGCGCTTGTGTTAAAGAGAAAGAAGTTAAAGGACATTTTTAATTAGTTGAAATTCGTTGGTTTCTATCATCGCTCGAAAATTGAGCAATAGCTGCATTTTTTAGTGATTTCTTCGCGGTTTCTTGTTTAGTCAATATTTTTACAAAAACAAAATTAATTCCGCTGTTAATTTTAGTTTTGGCGTTGTACATTAATCACTGCAGCTGAGTGAAATTCAGACAAATATAAATGGGTCTAAATTTAAAATTAAATTAGTGAAAGATCGGCTCTTGGAGCGTTTTTCGTTTAGTTGTTGACTTTCGTTAAGTCGGAACGTGAAATTTGCCTTTGCAAACATTGCAATGCGAACAGACACTTTCTAGAAAAATGCAGACAATAAACAAACTGAAACCGAACTGCCAAGTAAAGCGTGAATCATCGAAAGGGCGAAGAATTAAATGATTAAATAATCATGTTTATTCTGTAGTTCGGTGTCTTTTTTCTCGAAAAAGTGTATGCATGTTCATTTTGCTACCGACGGTGGACGAAATTGATCGATAATCGCATTCTTAGATGCGAAATATAGAATCATTGTTCTCCAAGTGTAGTGAACTTGAGGAATAATGGGTAGAACATGGAGGATAGGGCGCCAGCATGCAGAAAGCCGGTAAGAATGATCGCTAATCTAGAAATCTTTTAGCTTGAACTGAGTTTAGTTTTCCGACAAGCCACTCAACTTTTATGGATTCTTTATATTTCTCTCTCTTTTCTTTGCTGATTTCAAATAAGTTTGGTTTTGCACAGATTTTCTGCTGTACTAAACCCATTTTCTTCTTTCTTTCCAGGTGAAGCTACGCAGCTTTCGGTAAGCTTAGCATTACTTTGCCCCTGGTTTCTATGTACATAGAAACTTTTAGTCCCATATTCATCAACTGACTCGTAGGGTGGATTTGGTGTCGATTGAGCTATTGGTTCTTTCGGAGTTAAAGTTCAACTTTGGAAGACTTTGAGTTTTTTACATCAAGCTCATCTGACGCTTTTCGCAAAAGAACCGCTTCAGATATGGAAATTTGGGTTCCAGTATTCAATACAAGAAGCACCGGCTTACTGATAGTGTGGATTTGGTTCCGATTAAACCATTGATTCCTTCACAAGAAATGTTTAAACTTTGGGAATATTTTGGGCGGCTTTATCAGACATTGAGTTGCAGAAAAGACGTGAGGAAATTCTGTCTTTTTTAAAGACAAACATATTTTGAGGCGAAATACCCAACAAACAGCCTGCGAAAAATAATTCATTAGACTGATTTTCGTCTGAATTATGCAAATGTTTACTCCTGTTGTAAGCAATTACTCCTGTGCTTAACATCCAAAATATACCTGTATACCTTTAGCGAGCTTTTAGCAATAATTGGATGCAACATCGTTTGATTTCGACAAAACACTACCGCCTGAAAAAATCTGAAATACATTTTGGACAGCAAGCACAACTTCCGCCAGCAAAAGATCTCTCTTTCTCAGACTTACTTTTACTGGTTCCACCCATTATTCGTCATAGAAATTCATTTCCCACGCCTGAATAATGAGGACAAATATATTTACCAATTAGCCTTAGAGCAATCAAATCAGCAGCACTATTAGACGGAGCCGTAACTAGCAATCTGCTGTTTGGAATCAGTCGCACAATTTGCAGAATGCATTCTAACATTGTAACAGTTTTGCCTGTTCCAGGGGGGCCAAAAATTATATATGGCAACGGCCTCGATGTACCTTTTAGTACATTTATTACGGCATCTTTTTGCTTGCAGTTTAAGTGACGATTGTACCTACAAATCAAACACTTCATTCTATCACCATCGGATTCTAAATCTCCTAAATTACCATTCCAGTTTGCACGGTTGCGCTTCGTCAATATTGGTTACAATGTTTCCGTCTTGGTTGATTACGTCTGCCTTAAAATGCCCAGTGGTTCCAGAATTTTCACTGTGTTTGTTGCTTATAGCAGCATGTTTTGATTCCTCAATAGCATTGAGGTAACTTTCATAGACAAAGTTCAGTTGCGGCTCTTTTTGCACTACTTGCGTGGGAAAGAGCCACTTTCTTCCCAAGTGCCTGGCCGCTAAATACACCGCGTGATGTTGTCGTTTAAAGGAGGCGCGGCCTAGAAACAAGTTCCCCAAACGATATGTTTTAGAAGAAACAAGAAAATACCTGGTATAACTCTGATGGAATAGTCTTCGCCGTTGTATTTATCATGGAACAGCAACGAAAACTTCAAATATACATGTTTGGCACCCACTTTATAGACATTTCCCTCGTATTCCTGATTGGTCTGAGTTAAAGTGTCGCTAGCTATAATTCTATCGCCTGAAACCGTTTGTTGTTGATACAAGTGCTTTGGCTGTTTGATTTCATACCTAAAACAATACTTGGTCTTCTTTCAGCTAAATTTTCAATTTCCAACATCAGAAATTCGCCGTTTTTAATAAAGCAAGCTCTATCCTGATCGTATTGTCTAATTAGCATTAAGTTGGTTATTTCTTCCATGTGCAGGAGAGTGTGGAATTTTTCTTCATAGTTCATGTGGTTCTAAAAGGGTTTACACGATTTTGAGTACGAATGAACAACAGGTGTGCTTACTAAGTTGGTAAATAGACTCGGTTTCGCCACTTTAAGCTCCTCGATAAAACTTGGATTGTCTCGATCTTGTCCATATTTTATCACCAAATCTAAGAGTTTTTTCGGGGCAGCGTACTCTGGAATCCTTACAAGGTGAAAGCGCACTTTTGACGATTTTTGACCACTGCAAATTTCCAGTGCGTTTAACAGAGAACATATGGTGTTACTTACATTTACCTACCTTACAAGGTGTTTTGTGCTCTGGTACGAATTTGAGTAATTTATTGAAGTATTCGTGTTGTAAACTCCTCCAGTTTTATGGGAGTTTACCTGGATATTTATATACTTTCCAATTGTAAAACCAATGAATTGAAACTCTATTAACTCATTGGAACTGCCCATGGTTTTTGGAGTGCAAATCACATTTAAATTTAAAGTTTCACCGGGAAGGATTGGCTTATTATCCAAAATTGGTTCAGCAAAGTGCACCTGGGAACATTCTGATGTTTCCACGACTTTGAGTTCCAGTAAATCCTGAGACTGATTGCTTAAGGCAATGGTGAACGACTTGGAAACTCCTAATTTGTCAAAGGTGAGTGGAGGATAGGAAATTTCCAGACCTGGATGACTCTCCTTCATTTTGCTTACATTCGCACTTTTCCCACTTTGCACTTTCTTACTCCAGTGTTCAGGCAGAATCTTTAAAGCCCTCCAAGTGCAGTTGAGCTGGTCAGACTCGATTATTTCGGCTAATACTTGATCCCCGACTACAGGTATGTACCCGCATCTAATCGCATTTTTATCGACAAATATCTGCAATAGTATACTTTTGTCAAGGGGGGCGCCGTTTCCTGCTAAATCAGTTTTTTACCTTACTGCTAATGGAACCAGTCCCTTCCAAAGCGTCCCAAGAAGTAATTTTACCAGACTGTATATGGGGCCTTATTGGGGATATTTTATTTACTTCTATTACTTTGCCACTTAAATCTAAAGTCTGCTCATCGACTTCATATTTTACGTCCAGTTCCAGCCAGTCCCCAACGGATGGCACGAATTCAATAGAAACTTTGTCTAAATCTACTTTAATATTTCCAGGTGTGAGAATCATGATCCGTTTATCTCGTCTTTCCACTTTGCTGATCATAATGCGAGTTGTTACAATTGACTGTTTTTCCGCCACTCTGTCCCAATCGTTGCTTATAAGATTCACATTGTAGATTGCGATTTTTCCTATGCAAATTTCTGGAGTTATTCTCGATGAAACTCATATCTAATTTGTAATTAGCGTAAATGGACCAGAGTTTTGTTAGAGTTTGGGAATTTTATATCAATTTGAAACATTTTCAGTCAAAAACGCTACAAACTGTGGAAAATTGCTACGGTTCTACAGCTGAATATGAGAAATGTCCAGATAATAGATTAAAAATACATCAAATGGATTTTTTCCGGTCAAAAATATAGTTTGTTATTTCGGAGCATTAGTTAAAAAACTGAGAGTTCCAAAAAGTGGGAAAAATAAGTAAAAGTGAAGAAAAAGAAACAAAGCATTGTCTTTTAATACTATTACCAGATGAAATTGATTTTTAACGTGGTAATATTTAGACATAAGGAACAAGCAAACGATATATTTTTCTAATGGGAGCACCACTCGGCTGCAACGGTCGAGCAAATGACGATTAAAGATTCCGACCTTAGAAACAAGCAAGCAATTTTGTGTGCCACCTGAACAACTTCTACCTTCAGCTAACAAGCAAATTATATGTGAGAACTCTACTTAATACAAGGAAGAAATTATTGGATAAATAATATATAAACGAAGCGGCAGAGCAAGTGAATATCTGAACCTTTTTGATGAATTAAAGCAGCACCCGGCAAATTTCGGCCCATAATCTTCATAATCTAAATAAAATCAAACCCAGCGTTAAAAAACATTCCCACTTTTGGAAATGCATTGCTTCCATCTACTTCCTTTAGTTGTACTATCAGCAAAAATGCCTAAAGTGTGGGAACACCCGGTTAATATCGCTCTAAACCGTGAGCATCTTTGCTGTAGAGACCGAGCCCAGGAAGTCTCACGTATGAGATTTTGCGAGCAAGAGATCTATCTTTGTTTCTAATAGGATAAACAATAATTAATCGTAAAGAGAGCATCGAACGTGCAAAGAATAGCTAAAGGTTGCGATGGGTAAAACTTGCGAACTTCGACACTGTTCAAAACCTACAAAAATACGCACAAATATACACTGAACCGCAAATTTAACGCATGGCGTAAACGCTTAAAGATTCTCTAACTTTGGCGGTGAATATTTTCTCATTTGACCATCCGATTTGAATAATTTTCGGAATAGAGCTATGGCTCTATTCTTGATCAAAACTTACGTTATAAGTTAAGCAAAAAAATGAATATACATATTTGTACAGGGTCTTTAAATTGTGTCATGATTTCTTGGTCAAAGTCTAACATTGTTAAGTGGCAAGGAAACAGAAATATTTTTTATCGCAACAACTATGAAAGCTACAAGATTTGACAAAGGGCACAAAATTGTGAATAAATGATTAGTGCATCAACTAAAAAAAAAATACGCCACTGGACTGCTCCTTAAAAAGGACCTTACGTTTACATAATACTATTATTCTGCGAAATAACTAAGCTCTGAAGTCTTTTTAGATTAACCGACGACTGAAAAAGCGGTTTTGGAAGCAAACGCTTTTTGAAAATGGGCTCAAAGTCGGGCCAGTCGATTTGCTTTATCCCGTCAGGACGCAATGAATATATTAAATAGTCCATGTAACATATTGTGAATCAGTCTGGCGTGTACCAGGATTGGATATTTGCGTATTGTTTTTTGGCGAGAAGTTTACCAATTTATTTATTCCATTTATCTTCAGATCCATAGTAAGCAAAGTTCAAGCATGAATCAGCAATAGTTTCAGCTCCCATTGTTCACAGCGTTTTTATAAATTATTAAAGATAAATATCAAACGCATATAGAATAAATTGTTGCTGGAAACGTTAAGTTATTAACAGCGTGAATTAGAATTTTTGATATTTTTTACACAAATGCCTTCTCTAGATGATTTTCAGATGTTTCTATTGGGTACTGTTATAAGTGTTTTAAAGTAGATTAATTATATTTACAAAGTCATTTTATAAGTCATCTATGTGAAAAATGAACACCCCCATTGTATCTCTGGTGACTTTTTGGGTCTTTTAGGTCGTAGAGAAGAAAATAATTTAGCTCATATGAACATCTTCTCTGAAGATGCAAGCCATTTACGCTTGCGAAACATTAGCAAGAAATTATTTTCCTCGGCGGCCTAAAAGTCCGAACAACTCACCAGTTCTAAACAAGAGCCTCGTCAGGTTATTTTTTTTTGATACCCTCATAGTCATAGATTTCGAGAACATATACTTCAATTGCAAGTTTTTTCAAGTAGTTTTCGTTTAGTTCTGACCAATCGCACTTTAATATTGCTTCTTTTCTATCATTCTAATACTATAATTACCATCTGAAAATAGCTGCTGGTAGGACACAGTGTCTCCCAGTTCGAACTGTTCATCTTCCGGAGTGAATTCAAGTAAATTGTCTATCACATAGGTATCATCGTTGTGGCCAGTGATCACACCAGTCTTTGTAGCAAAATTGTATTCGTTTTTGAACTGTTCCCGGTGAGTGGGGGCCTTGGGCCCCAAATTATCTCTCCAGTGGTTGGTGTGTTCCGTATCTTGAGCCAAAATTTGTGTAACGTCGTCATTGGATAATTCCGGCTCTTGGTTGCGGAAATATGATAAAATATACCTTAACATTATCTAATTAATTAAAAAAAAATAGCCGGTTTTTATTGTGTATTTTGATTTTACAAATGTAAACAAAGAAATGAGGTTGGGACTGATGATTGTAGCAGCAGTTAATATCGGTGTTGCCTGATTTTGTATATGCGTGATAGTCAAAAGATCGATGTTTCTGGTAAATTCAAAGCTCAGAAAGTGATTAGCACTTGGATCAGTGGAATAATCGGTAAATTTCGAGCTGATCAAGCCCTTGCGTTCAAAGCGAACAGTATGCTTACTTTATAGATAATGTTTATACCTACTAACGATTGTTTTCATTGGTGTTCCGTGTGGAAACGCAGTTTTCGACATTTTCACATTGAAATTAACTACTTTTTCAATAAGTAACAAGATAGCAAAAGACGCTTAGTTTTCACTCCTAATACTTTAATTTATAGCGATATTAAAATTTTTCGATTTTATAAAAAAAAACGGATGCAAAACCTCTTAACTGAATATAAACGCAACTGATTATTCTAATTCGTTTATTAATGAAACATTTTTAATACCGTCCAATCGGAAAATAAAAATATATATATCACACATGGTATTGCCAGGAGTGAAACTCAAGGTCCTTAAATGGTGAGCATAAACTTTGCCGCTAAGCTCAAATGATCGGAACCCATTAGACTGTTTGGAATTTTAATTGATCCCAATTCACTTCTCAAGGGAAGACGGTAAACCGACACCAGCTTCAACTTGTTTTCTTCAATTTCTTCACCCTCTTTCTTCCCGGTGTAGAAAATATAGTCCACAGTTATCCATTGATCCTGGAACGTCGTCGCTGAAACAATAAACTTCCAGACTGTCGCTATATAGAAAATTGCTATTAATTTACCTTCAGGATCTTCGGTACTTCCAGCACAATAAACGGACTTGAAGGCGAACAAGTGGCTCAAAGTTCCCGACGAAAATAAGTTTCGACTTTTGATACCTTCTGTGCTGAGTTTTGGGATAGCTTTGTCGGTGTTGAAAAGCTTGATCAACGCGGCTTCTTCCGCTCTAGAGATGTCGTTATTATCCAGTCTTTTTTCCAATAGACATGCATGTTGGCACTGATCGGTAATCTGTAAACTACTTGGCACTACAATTTCAGATGCATTAGTATAAAAACACCCAAACACGAAGCAGATGAATTACTTAAAACATTGCCATGGCTTGGCGACTTTGGTGTGTCCATCCTCCTCTGCGCCAAGTGGTTATACTTTAAGGACCCTTTGGTTATCAAAGTGTGAACTGGAGATTTTGGGGACGAGTTAAAATCCCCCGTGATTATAATCGGTAGATATTTTGCATTTCCTTCTGCATTCGCATAGTAGCTCATTCTCTCTACTTCTGTTAGTAGCAGTTGAACCTGAGCCAGACGTACATCTTCTCGGTTAGGGTTATAAAGTAAATGTGTAGTTGCAACTGAAAATAGTTGTGTGACTTAAAACTGAAATCTTGTTCTAGAAGCAGTTACATTTCAAAATACTGTTTACCTATAAAACTGTCGTTTGGTCTGTTTTTCGGGCAGAATTTGGCCACGATGGCAATATTGTCCCGATCCAAAATGGAAACATTCGGTTGATAGAACTCGACGGTTTCAAACTCGACCAACTTCAGCCGGTCTGGTCTGTAATATATTGCACAGCCATCGCAACGAATGCCCGTCCTTTTCTTGTAGATTCCTTTAAAACCCAATATCTCTAGTTCTCTTCAATCGGGAAAACGTGAGCTTTTATCAAAAACACTTTAAACTTAGCTTTACTTGAAATATCCTTTCAAATGGGACTGCTGCACTTCTTGAAGACATAAAATGTCGGGTCTCATAGTTTTAATTTCGTTGAATAAATTCTTCCATCTGATTTTCCAGGCTAAATCTTTACAGTTATGGGTTTGGTATAAGTAAGGGTGCTCATCCAATAGCTTCTGAGCTAACACATTGTAAGACATCAAAGTAAACTGAAAGCTATGCTTTGCTGATGTTTTATCGCTCTTCACCTGCTTCCAACACCTTCCTTGAAGGACCTTTTATCATAAATAGTTAGTGGTTGGAAAAGTTGTTTATATTAAGTGAGCCAGCATACCTTTAGAATGCGAGAAACTTCCAAATTGTTGTTGAAAGGGCCACCTGAACTGTTAGACCGCCTCAGGTAAAACCGTCTCTGATTAGCGCCCGGGTTTGGGGGCGGAGCTAGAAAGCGTCGTGGCATATTGCTAAAGAAGTATTCGGGCCTGGGACCTTCTGGCAGAGGAATGTATATCAAATTTGGATCGCCTGGACCTAGATATTTATTGAATACGGATGTTTCCGCATTACAAACTCGTTCGTGATCAAATGCGCTAGTTGAGGACGTTTGGTCGAACCAGCCTTGATGTGACATCCAACATGAGTTGAATCTAGGGAAGCTATTTGAGCAAATACGGTCTAGAGGCTAAAAATTAATTTCTACCCCAAGTTAATATGCTCTTCACTTCTGACTCTGCGGAAAGTCGCGGACTGTTGTGTGTTGCTACTATTTGAAGGATGTTCTGGGTACTGATTCATACCCTTGGAAGAAGCTTTAAATCTATGAGGTTGTTGTTGTAGCCGAGGGGATTGATTAGTTAGACCTGCACTCTCCAGCACAGTTGCAAGAAAACATGCAGTGTCTTTACCCTAAAATGTTACTTTAAATGGAGCTGCAATTGTTTATACGATTCCAATTTAGCATTGGTAGTTAGTTGGCCTATGAGGATGCATGCTCAAGTGTTAGTAGTGATTTTATGTGAAATTTAGTTGAACCTGTGGTGTAGCCAAGCTCTAAAACTTTCGATTTTGCACCTTAAGAAACAAACACGTAAATCTAAAACCTCTTGAAATCTGGACTTTTTAAAGAAAACTGCCAACATTTTCTTATCGATGGTTCACTTTCAAAAACACATTTTCACAAAAGGCAATTTAGTTCTCTTTAGAATGTTGTAAAAATGAGCTTTCTTAGGTGTTTAGAGGTGTTCTGTGGCTTTAATTTTAAAGGTGCTAATTTTCTAAAGAGAGAGCGCAGTTGAGTTAAGCTAACAAAAATCAGGATTCTGGGCGATTTTTACAAAACTTCCAGAATATTTAGAATCAAGTCTATTCTGAATATAGTGAAAATTTCAAATCGTTACTTCCCTTAGAGTGAGAGTTGCGAATTTTTAAAGGAGGGAACGTAGTTGGTTAAAACGTCTAATTTGAGATCCATATTTACTAAGCTGCTAAAAATCAGAATATCTGGCGATTTTCATAAAACTTACAGCATCTTTAGAATCACATATCTTCTAAAGATTGCGAAAATTTTCAAACCGCTATTTGCTTTAGCAAATTTTTAAGATACGAATGTTTAAAGAAAAGTGTGCAGTTCAGTGAAAACATCCAGTTTTAGATCAATACTTACTAAGTTGGTGAAAATAATAATTTTGAGGGATTTTTGCATCATCTTTCAAATCAAGTGTCTTCTAAAGATGGTAAATATTGTCTCTACTTTCTTTAGTTTCGAAGGTGTGAATGTTGAAAGGAAAGAAACTAATTTTGAACCCAGATTAACCAAGCAGGATAAAATAAAGATTTGGGGCAATTTTTTTGAATTTTTTATAGTCAAATTGGCGCAAATTTCGTATTCCTACTTTTTTACGAATTTTTAAAGTAGTGCAGTTGAATAAAAGCAAAAAATGTTCATTTACCGCCATGTAGAAACCTTATCTGAAGCAACATTTTTTGCAAGAACATGCACGAACCGAGAAAAAGTTGCACTTAATAACGCTTCAATCAGAAAACATATATTTTGTTGTGCAGTTTATTTCTCAGTCGTTCAAAATATTTCCTGTTACATCAGAGAGACTACGATGAAATTAAGCGGGTAAACTTCAAATAATGTTAATCCAAGATTAATGAATTAATGGCACTTCTAGAAACCTCATTTCGTACACCAAATATATGCACAAAAACCATCAGAAGCTTGTTAAAATTCGTTGATCAATCTGAAGATGTCCAGACGCACAAGGAACTAGATAAATGAACATTCCTTCAAAGTGAGAGTAAAACCTGCTTATTGGTGCTTCTTCATTCGACACTTTGAAAATTATTGGCGCTTTGGTTTTCAATATCTACTTTCGCAAAGTGCGTATTTGGAACAGTAAAAGATTTTGCATAGAGATTGGTTACACCACAGGGTCAACAAACATGCTATTTTAGTGCCTAAGGAAAAACCAACTAATATGGGACATTTCTGGGTTATTTGCAGATATCCAATGGCCTTAGTTGCTGCTTATGTAGTGAGTATATCCAAACAGTTCATGCAAGAACCTTTGTGCTGTGGCCGAATACTCCAAACAATTTGAAAGCAGGGAATTGACTCTAGCAATAATTAATCAACCAAGCTACCAACATTTCATACCAACACTCTGATAGTTCTGGTGATAGTCATATCATATCCAAATCGAGGATTCAGGGCGGTTATAGTGGCACGTGCATGAATATTACGCTGTATGTCTGTTGCTGTAATTTGATCTACCTGAAGTCATCAATCCCTCTTGTGAGTGGGACTCGTATATTTTCGTATAAAACACTGAACACTATCAAAGCACTAAGTACAGGTGGCAAAGTGATTCCAGTAAAGCCAAAACATTTAAACTATCAGCTGTGGCAGTGTCAATGTGACAGTGAAGTGGAAAAAATTTGGTGCAGCACAGGTTATGAGAAGTGGCAACGTTGACGTTTTAGCTTGAGTAGGGCTATTTATATACTTTTTAGTTAATATTTATAGTTCATCTGATCTCAAGCAACTCCGGTGTGCTTGATGTGAAAAATAAATTATTAAATCATGCTGAGAGTTAGTTAGAGAGAACTAGCATTAGCCTACTGCATAGAGCAGGGGATGTTGCCAAATTGGCGCCTAAAACATCAAAGTGACGCAAATATATTGTTATTGTTTACATGTTGGGCAGTTAATATTGCATTAGTGTTTTTGGAATTTAATCATACTTTTTAATGTTAAAAATATAAGAATCTCGATAACTTTTGACTCCCAGGCGGTCTCAAGTCCGTTCCATAGTCTAATGCCCCACTTTCTCAACCTGCAGCTTGGAAGTTCAAAAATAAATCGCGTTCAGTCGGTGTCCAAGCGTTGCAAACAGCACTTGCAGCTAAATTACATAATAATTGCATGCCCTTGTGCACGTAATTTGCCGGCTCCAACGACCTTGTGCATTTTCTGAAACATACGGGAAACGCAAAAGTGCTACGATAATTACGAATTAATAACCAGCCATTCCATTGGTCCAAGCGGTAAACAAACTCATAATCTACAGCATTCAGCCAATTGCGATCGATCGCTTGGTACGAAAATTATTCTTCACGCAGTTGGGAAGTCACCTGCCAATATGAGGAGAACAAACTTCACATCAGTTCATCGCTTTCGCTCGACGGTGGGGGACTTTTTTTTCGGCACCCCAGATAAAGAAAGGGCGGCCGACGGAGCCCTAAGGTGGATGGCGACTCAACCGAAACAGGCGACTGGCGCCTATAAACACTGCCTTTCAATCGACACATTGAACCCCAATATTAAGGTGTTGGAGTACGCGGTTAGGGGGCCCCTTGTAATTAGGGCTGGAGAGATCGAGAAGGAGCTGGAGAAGGTACGTAACGGCTCTAGGTTGGCCCCTAACCATTCCCTTATGGGGCGGCAGGAAATGCCAAGCTAATTACTGCAATTAAGGCGAAGGCTTGGGTGTTGATCTATTTAAATTGATGGCATGTAGGTACTTACCAGGAGGTGAATTGGAAACTGCATGTGTAGCATGACCTCGTTTCGTACTTGGGTGAACTTGACAATAAGTTGCATAGGAACAGTTGTCACGTACACCCGGTATGTTCTTAATTAGGTACTTCACAACTGTGGGTACCTATATGAAATCTTCGGTATTTATTTGCTCCTAGTGTATACCTTTTTGCTTCTGCTGTCCTGCAAGGGCTAAACACTTGGTTGAAAACGCTGTGGTATTTTTATGGTCCTTTTGGTGTTTATATGGCAGATTCTTGTTAGATAAGATCCTTTCAAAGTGTGCTTTGGGCAATGATTTTCTGATTAGAGATCCTCAGAGCCAAACCATAATGTTCAAGGATGTTTCTGTAGATGTTTTTATAGAGACTCATGCGGTTTGAACACCATGTACTTGTATTCGAAAAATGCCCATATTTTTTAGAGACCCGAGAGAGTTCCCAGCCTTTTCTAACGGTTTCTTGCGTTTCTTTCTACTAGAAGAATATTCAAAGTTTTCCCAGAAAAATCGCTATTAGATTTGCTTCTTCATTTGCTAGTAGGTAACTGGGCAGATAATTTTTTGAGTAACTCATTTTTCAACATTATTCTCTACATGACTAAACCGATTGTTTGAAAGTCAACTTCAGTAAGTCGAAAGTTTTCCGAAAACCCAGTTGTCGGAGGCAGTAGAGCCTAGATGAGCTCTAGATTTTGAAAATCGGTCCAAGACGAAAAATATTACCACCGCCAGACCAAGAAGCTTATTTTTAGACGTCACCCTGTAGATAAAACCAATGAGCGCAAATACGAGAAATTGTTTCGAAATTTAAAGGAGAAAGGGTGTTGAAATAAAAAAACACCTTTTTGGTTCAACTTTCGGAATGTTTGCATTATTTCATTTTATCTCAGGTGCATAAAACATACTAGCAGAAAAATAATTCGATAGAAAACGATTAAAAAAGAACCGAAGTCGCTCGCTGCAATCAGAATTTATCCCGGTCCAAAGTTAGGGCAAAATTTGACCGAGCAACGTTTATTTTGTTGTGCAGTTTAATTTTTTCATGTCGGTCTACACTAGCAAATCTAATAGATAGTTAAAGGAAGACGGTTTTCATTTCCGGTTAAATAAGTTTACTAATTAAATTACATATTTTTGTAAAAACCTACTAAACAGGATTTCGATAATTTTTTTCGTCATATATTTTCAATTCAATTGTTTTTTAATCAAATAGACCAACGTTTTAAAATCGCAGTAGTTAGGCTTTATTTTTATCTAAACTTGTGATTTTAATTCTTTCCAAATAACCGTTTAAGTTGAGACTACACTTGGCGTACATTAGTGTACCAAATGCTTAAATGCTTAAAAATTAATCCAGTGCTTGTATTGTTATTCCCTTCATTATTAAATAGTAAGAAAAATAAATTCTATATGCGCCGCGTAAACGCGTACGCTTTCACGCACGTTGTCTTTGCAAAACCTAATTAAATAATTAACTAGATATCAACAAAGTATTAAAATTTATACTTTGACCACGTCGGTCATTTCTTCATTAGAGAAGTTGAGTCGAAACGAATTTGTGATATTGATTGACACTTAATTTATTCCTCGTTTCACGATATTTGCAGTTAGTTAAGTGGGAAGAAAACAGAATTTTTTTTTCCGCAAAAACTATGAATGCCGCAAGATTTTACAAAGAGCACAAAATTGTAAATAAATTATTAGTGCGTCAATCAAAAAAATTTGAGTTGATTTCATCCACCCAGTAAAAAGTTCTGATAGTTTTTGTACCACGACACTCAAGAATTTACCACTTGCCCAAAACGGATGAACTCGATTGATTCAACAAAATATGAGTCTTACATAACAACAAATTCACAGCGAGTTTCACTAAAATACATCGTACCATTCTCCCGATATTTGAAGAACTTTGACCATCAATAGCAGAGGAGCCAGACATTTTTTGTTAATAAAAGTTACGTCAGATCGTCTTCTTTTGATGCAAAGAATATCGCAGTATGCTTTTGATCGTGTGCTTACGGGACACCTTGTATACCTGCTGAATTGCTGGTCCGATTTGAATATTTTTTAACCGAATCATAGCTCAAGTCTTGGACAAAATTTAAGTTATGAGATTACCAAAAAAACCTAATAAATATTTTTTACGTCTTTTGATCGGTCCCATTTTCCGCGCGAAATTTACTCAAAATGTCTGCACAAAATTCTGTACGAACAACATTTCATTACAAGTCGATAACTCTAAGGTTGCAATAAACTTTTCTGTGCACAGCCTTCTTCGGAATTAAAAAGCGTTTTCATAGAATAGATAGACGATTATAAATCCAAATTACTCAAAAAACAATACATTTTTTCTGTCTGAGATTTCTACTCAATTTTGCCAGCAGACGAATTTAAACTTTGACCTCTTGGTCATGACACAATTTAAAGACTTATATTATTGTGAGTACTTTGTACGTTTTTGAACAGTCTGTATAAACCCTAATACTTTGACCATGTCGGTCAGTTCTTTATTAGAAAAGGTCATTATTCACAACATTGTTAAATGGCAAGAACACAAAAATGTTTTTTTTCGCAAAAACTATCAATGCTACAAGATTTTACAAAGAGCACAAAATTATGAATAATTGACTAGTGCATCAACCAAAAAAAATTGAGTTGATTTCATCCCCCCAATAAAAAGTTCTGGTAGTTTTTGTACCACGACACTCAAGAATTCACCACTTGTCTGTGAGTATATATGAGTCTTACATATAAATTCACAGCGGGTTTTGCCAAAATACATCGTACCATTTTGGCGATATTTCAAAAAAGATATATTTTTTGAAGACTTTTGACCATCAATAGCAGAGGAGCCAGACATTTTTTGCTAATAAAAGTTAAGTCAAATCGTCTTCTTTGGATGCAAAGAATATCGCATTATCCTTTTGATCAGTGCTTACGGGACATCCTGTATATTTTATTTGTATTGTTTTTTTTTTATTTTATTTTGCCTAAAAATGTACCTTTGTCTATAACGGATTAATACTTTAATATGAAATTTAATAGCTTAAAAATGATCAATTAAATGGGTGTAATTATATTTTTTACCTGAATTATTGAAGTTTCGATATTCCCAAAAAAGCTGCCTTTACCCTGGAGTCAAAAGAATGTATTTTTAAGAACCATGTATACAACTGAAAAAAATATATCTGATCCGTCCCATTTTAGAATTTATACCACGCACGAACTTTTAGCAGATTACTTGTTTTTTTACAATTACACAATTTTACAATTTTTTACATAATTAAGCAGTTTTCTCAGTTCTTTCTATGGTAAATATAATGTTAATCTCTTTTTTGTGCTCTAACTTTAATTTCATGCTTTTTCATACATATTTCGAAACAGGGAGGTGACAAAACATTTTATAGAATTCCTGTTCACTCTGTAAAAGCTTTTGTTCGAATTTCATTGTGATGATCCCAGTCTGCTGTTGAGTATTTTAAACATCAAGCAGATGAAAACAAATGTACAAAAGTGAGATTAATATATTAAATTAAAATAATAATTGTAAATATTTGTCCGAATGATTCAATAAGCACCGCGTAATCGCAATCTGGAAGTCACGAAGTTAATACATATTTAGTTGGGCAATATTTCCTGCTGAATGAGAAAATAAGTACAAAATTGCAGGATTTAAAAAAAATTAAATTCTTGCGCCAATATTTTGGCAGGGACAGAAAGATCGAGTGCTTCGCTAGTAATTTTTTTCCAATCAGTTACTTTCGCGGATATTTTTCGCATTAAAACTACCTGACTATCCCCAATCACTACCTCATTTTTTATATTTTTATAATTGTATTATTTTCGATCGCAATAAAAAATGTGGGGACAAACTCAGGGCAACGAAAGTAAAAGCCTATTGAATTTTAACAAAAAATACGCTCCACCTAATAGATTACCGAATTAGTGTGCTTCGCTAACCAAAAACACCTTTCTTCAATTGGTAGGTGCGGTTACTGGTTACAAGCCTTCATTCTTGCATATGAAATTAATATTTTTAGGCGACCATGTGTAATTTGAAAGTTTTTTAAAATGCTCTAAGTCCCCTTTAATTTCAACTGAAGGCTATTCTTTTGTAATTTTATTGATGCAAACATTTTCAAATAATTTGTTGTTTATCATGTTGAATGTTCATTTCATATCACATCTTGTCTAGTGCCTTGTTTTTTTATCAGCACTCCATCATAGAATCACCTTTTAGTGTATTTTTGCAACCCACATATTAATTTTTCATTAATAAAACTACTAATCCTTCTTTAATAAAGCGACTGAATAATGACTTATCTGAGAAAGAAATAGAGAAACTAAATCTGATGGGTTTTTTAAATTTATCGTATGAACTTGGTAGAAAAGTCCGGCAATAATTTTGTTCCTCCAACCTACATTAAACTAACCAGTCAATCGGATCAAAGAGTTTATCAACCTTGTATGTATTTTGTACATGCTTATCGACTATGACCGCATAACAACTAATATTATAAAACCAGCTTTGATAAGTAAGTTAATTTAGGGTCTTAGTGCGAAGGATTACTAATGATGCTTCACAGTTTAACTACAGACGAGCGTATGAACAATAAACGAAATTATTAAATTTTATATGCCAATTGATTTTTGTAACAAGTTTGTGTTTTAACTCAATGTTCCGTTTACATTCACACCCATGTTTCAAATCTTAAGTGTTTGAATCAATATTTGGGTCTATGGAGTCTGATCTGTAGAGAGTCATATGTGCCAACAGTATTTAAAAATAGTTCGGCTCAGAAATAAACACCTCAATTGCACTTTGAGAGCCAATACAGGTTGTTTTCTATTTGGAAATTTAGTTGATTATCCAGACAGTGGAATAGCACGTTATCGTTGTTGAATATTTACAGATAGTTCAATCAGTTTACGATAAAGTGTACTTTAAACCTCCATTTGATTAGGCTTATCAAAAAACGATCGCTATTGCATTACACTGTAATGAAAAAGTCTGATTAGTGGATTTATTACGAGTTAGAATTAACTCATTCCAAATTTTCCTTTAAACTGGTTGTTAAGCGAGATAAGTGTATTGCGAAAATATTAACAACGCTAATAAACCAGATCTACCTGCTCGGAGAGTTGGCAAACAACAACCAATAAATGAAAAACGCCTTTCGAATGGAAAAACCCATAGGTAAAATGGAATAAGTTTACACTTGAATTGGACTGATGGATCAGCTAATTTTCTGTAGTTCCATACATGTTATGCGCCTTCGACTCCGCTGACTTCCTCAAAGAAGCGCAACGATGTGTAATGAGATTGTCCTGTGCCAAGAATTATAAAAATTTTTGAGTCCCCTAGAAATAATGCTTATAAATAGATATTGCGAATCAAAACTGCACAGCCGGTGCTAAAAACCGTTGCGCAACAGGAATCATTCTCGCTATCTACCATTCTTGCAGCTAATAGGGGAATTCAATAGGATTAAACAAAGGAAAAAATACAGTGAATCAGGGCTTTGAAGCGAAGAACGTAGTGCTAATTTGTTTATACTAACAGCACTGCTCTGAAAAATATCAGTGAGTTTATCCGAAAAGCATAAATATTCTGTTCCAGTTTTGGCAGAGTAGTTTAAAAGCAATCGGTCAAGTTAGGAACATTTAAAAAATAAAAATACAGTTGAAAAGGTTGTATAGTGGCATCGAAAATCTACATCAAAGAAAATTTCAAGTAAGGCGCTATTGATTGTATAACGGTCGCCTTGAATATTCTGGTGTCGAGAATAACAATTATTGCAATTCTCGCAAAAGAACTCAACATTAACTTATTATATTTTTACATTAGCGAGAAATGTAACGAACTTATTACAAAACACGCTGGAATTCTCAGTTTAGAAATTATCGATATTTTCTGGTCATTTTGAGGCGTTTTTTGGAGGGACACGATCTTTAACCAATATTTTCCTTATCCACTCGAAGGCCTCAAATCTGCACATTATGGAGCTTCTAAGGCCGTAACCAATCCTTGGAGCACAAAAAACACGCATGTGAAAATTTGAATTGATCGAAATTTTTGTAAGGGTGGAGGTCGATTGTTTCAAAAAATATCAAGTTTCTCAAAGTGGCTCAAATTCTACTTCATTCTGATCCGCGGAAAACTAGAAATGTAACGAACTTATTACAAAACACGCTAGAATTCTCAGTTTAGAAATTATCGATATTTTCTGGCCATTTTGAGGCGTTTTTTGGAGGGACACGATCTTTAACCAATATTTTCCTTATTATAGATTCGAACGCCTCATATCTGCACATTGTGGAGCTTCTAAGGCCGGACACAATCCTTTGAAAACAAAAAAACACCGATGTGAAAAAAAAATTGCGATATTACCTCGACATATTGTTGCTTGTTTATCACGGAGTAAAATTTTACTTGCGAAATGTACCTATCGGAGATAAAGCAAACAAGCAAGGACTAAAATAGGGTTTTCCGGCGCAAACATAAGCGGAGACAAAGAACTATAGAAAACTATCGGAAAAAGTAAGAATTCTCATTGTTTCAAAGGATTCCACGAATGATTGCTGGATCAAAGTTAAATAAATGATAAAAAAGGGCAAAAGGCGAAACAGGGTCATTCTTAAACAATGTAAGATATTATCCCGACATTCAACTCGCGAATAAAATATTAAAAACAATTAAAACAGTCGTATAGACATTTTTTTAATGAGAAGATTATTACCATCTATAGATTGCTGGGCGTCAATAGATAAGGCGGAAAAATCCACCCAACTTCTAATTCGGATAGTGGCTGCATGAGAAAATGTGCAAGCAAAAACCATAGAGAAATGATTTGTAACATTTGTTTAAAGAACGGAAAATGTAGGAAAAGTCGATAAATCGCAAGAAGGATATGAAGCTAAAGATTGGAACTTCCCCGTAAAGTTTTGAAGATGATAATATCGGTTTAGTTTTGTTTTTTTAATAGCAATTTTGCCGGTTATGGAAGAATCCATGACAAACTGGAAACTGAACATTTTGAAGCGAGTCTAATTATAGTTTATTTATCCAAGAAAGGCACCAAAACACATTCATGCAAAGTGCATCTAATCTGTACTTGCCGTATGCTTTCTGCTCGCCTCATTTATCGGTTTGCAGGGAACTTAAGAAAACCCTTTTCAGCTTCGAATTTGGCACAAAAACCAAATAATTGTATTCAATTTTTTACCGAAAGTAATTGAGATTAACTTGAAAAAACGGCCAGAGCAAAAGTTCGGAAAATTCACCACTCTCATCGCTCTGAAGATTTTTAAAGTTCCTTTAAAATTTCAGGTCATTCAAGTTTTAGCAAAGTTGTTTTTAAGCAATTCTTTCTCAGCAAAAATACCATATTATTTTTACTTAATATACTGACAATCTTCAGGTAATTTCTGTGAAAATTACATAACACTCGGCTCCTGAACAGCTTTGTAAATGTTTTTCTGAAACCTTTTGCAGCTTCGAACTTTGGGCAAAAACTCATTTTTTCCCGAAAATATTTCCTCGAACAGAACAGGTTACAGTTTAGAATCAATTATTCGGAAAACTCGTCACTTTTGTCGCTGTGAGTAATTTGGTTTATTTAAATTCCGGTTTCTTCACTTTTAGGTCAATATTTCTAAACAAAACTCTCTCTTAACAGAACAACGCGTTTTTTCCTAACGTTTTACTGTAAAATACTGACAAGCTGAGAGTATTTTATGCAAAAAAGTTAAAATATGGATTTACAAGAAAAGTAGTCGTTTTTACAGTTTGGTTTTCTTTATCGTCTTTTTCGAATACCAATTTTACCTTCGAATTTGGGACAAAATCGAAACAAAGTTGTCGTGTCTTTTTTTCGACAAAATTTATTTCTCAAAAATGGACCAGAGGAATCAAAATTTTATAATCAATATTTGGAAAACTCGTCACCCTCATCGCTCTAAATTTTTTTAGTTTTATCAAAATTTTCGAATTTTCCCGTTTTAAGCCAAATAGTTTCAAGCAATCGTATGGGCAAAAGCAATATGTTGATCGCTTTTTTGTTAGATGTTAAAATTCCGTCATCGGCTCATTAACCAATGAGTTAAATTGCAATTAAAACAAAATTGCAGGGAATTTGATTAGAGTGCGACCTAAAGGAATCGGCTACTAAATCACGAAATAAAAAATGGTAACATTGACAAAAGAATAACGAAACAAAGATATTTAACGCTAGTCACTTTGTTACCAACCCAATGGTATACAAATTTTCCACGTGCAATAATATCTGCCCGGTAATTTTCGTACGCAGATTAACAAACAGGCAATTTGTGGCTAAATTAAATTCGAATGGAAACCAATTGCACATGGGTTGCGATTGGTAAAAGATGCCTGTTTGGGTGGTTCGGTTTAATTAATTAATTTTACGCAACCGTGTATAATGCAGAACAAACTTCTCCACACCACCAAGCTTTATTCTCGATGAGAATAAAACAAAATCACCATTTTAACATCCAGTGTTTTATTTTTCATCTGTGCGACAGCTTCACTGTATCAGGACTAGTAATAAAATAACTTGTTTTACTTATGATATTTTCTGGATATTTAGGGCGTGAGCAAGCCATTCAAAGAGGTCATCAAAGCCAACATCGGAGATTGTCATGCTATGGGCCAAGTCCCAATCACGTTCATCCGTGAAGTTTTGGCTCTGGTCACTATGCCACAACTCTTAGAAGATCCCAGGTAAAATGTTCTTTAAAAAGACGTTTTTCTGTTTCAAACACTTACTGGAACTTTGTTAATAGATTTCCCGCAGATGCCAAGGAAAGAGCTCGAACGATCTTAAAAGGTTGCAGGGGTGGTTCCGTAGGATCATACACGGACTCGCCTGGAATCGAAGTTATTCGAAAACATTGCGCTGAGTACATCGCACGAAGAGATGGAATTCCGTCAGATTGGCAAAATGTTATCATTAGTGCCGGTAAGGCTTAGTTTTTCTAGTCTTTCAGCCTGCCAACGGCAGAATCTCTGGAATTTCTAGGCGCTAGTGATGCAATTAAAAATGTCTTAAAACTGCTCATATGCGACGTCGGTTGCAAAACACCCGGAGTTATGGTTCCCATTCCGCAGTATCCTCTTTATTCTGCCTCTTTAGCCGAATTCGGAATCAATCAGATCAGCTATTATCTGGATGAGGCTCGAAATTGGGGATTGGATATCGCAGAATTGCAGGTTGGTTTCATATACGTTTGCTTGTTTTATCGGATAGATTTTCTGAAATATCAAAAAAGTTAGTCATCGCTTGACTGAAATCAAGTTCGGTATTTCCAAACACTTTAAATTTAAGGCAACATTGGACGGATCTTTCCGCCTCAAACATCATATAACTTGGCAATAATTTCCCCCCAAAAAAACCTTAAAAGCATAAATTTTATCTGAAATTTCATGAAAAAAGAAACGGATGAGCCGCAAGTTTTTGGGTTGATCATTCAGCCTTGCAACAATCGAATTGTTTTCCAGAGATCAATCACCGAGGCTCGAAAAGTGTGCAACCCCAGAGCGATCGTAGTCATTAATCCCGGAAACCCAACCGGTCAAGTATTGTCGCGAAAGAACATCGAGGAAGTAATCAAGTTTGCCTACAAAGAGAAATTGTTCATTCTTGCGGACGAAGTTTACCAAGACAACGTTTACGCGGAGGGCTGCAAGTTTCACTCATTCAAAAAGGTCTGTTTGCAGCTTGACGAAAAAAATTTAAAAATATCCTTGTGACTTTGGGTTTTTCAAGGTTCTGATAGAAATGGGCGAGCCCTACAGTTCCATGGAGTTGGCCAGTTTTATGTCTTGCTCCAAAGGATACATGGGAGAATGTGGACTTAGAGGCGGATATGCAGAGGTAATTACCAACTATCTCCCCAAAATAACCTGGCTAAACGCTTTCATTGCAAATTCAGGTGATTAATATGTGCCCTCAAGTCAAAGCTATGTACCTGAAAGCAATTAGTGCCATGTTATGCCCTACAGTGCTGGGCCAAGTCACATTAGACGCCATCGTAAATCCTCCACAAAAAGGAGAACCAAGCTACGAATCGTTCACAAAAGAGAAACAAGCTGTTTTGGATTCATTAAAGGTAGCATTCCTATTCGGTCTAGCCGTGGTTTGTTTAATGAGTTTGTTTAGGTGCGAGCAAAAATGGTAGCAGATACCTTCAATTCGATGGAAGGTTTCAGCTGTAACACCGTGCAAGGAGCAATGTACGCTTTTCCTCAAATCACGCTGCCAGCTAAGGCGATAGAGGCAGCTAAGAAGGAAGGGAAACAACCAGATGTATTCTACGCGTTTGAATTACTAGAAAATACAGGAATTTGTATCGTGCCCGGGTCAGGATTCGGCCAAAAACAGGGCACATACCATTTCAGAACCACCATACTACCCCAGCCCGATAAACTGAAAAGTATGTTGGAAAAATTTGCCGAGTTTCATTCCCAGTTTATCAAAAAGTATTCGTAAATGCCATATTGAAACATACGCTAGTCCATTTCTAGGAATATTACGTTACGTTCACATGTGATTTGAGCGCAATTCGCAAAAGTTATGACAAAATTGTAAATAATGACACGATGATCTAGTCAACATGCACATCGGTTAAAAGTTGACGATATTTATTAAAAAACTCATTTTATTGAACGGTACAAATGTAAGTTCTATATTTGAATGTCGAATAAGTCTTAAACTGTGTAATGAAAAAATGTTTTCTTACACAAAGTGTTTAGCACCTTTGTTACTGATTAGTTAATGCGATAAGTGAATGTAATTTTTCATGTGAAAAATGTACATTTATATTAAAGGTCCTGACATTCTCTCTATATTGGAAACAGTTGTGGCACATTGTTTAAAATGCATGCTACTAAATTAATAAATATAATGTAATAAACATGTTACGATAGGGTAGGCTCAAAGCTCACACGTTCTGAGAGTTGTTAACTCCTTAATGCCATGTATAATGTTTAAATAAAGAGCGCTAAAAACTTACCATTTTTTCCTTTCAAACTGTAGGACCACAAATCATCTTGGGCTATCAACAATCAATTAAAGTGAAAAGGAATTAAGGTTCTCACAAACTAAAGAAAGTTTGGAAATATTTATAAAAAAGATATTTAGTAGCATTCGATGACAGTCTTACAGCGACCAAACTTAAAACTGCAAATTTTGTATAATCTATACAACAGCACGCACAAATTCTTGTCTAAAGTATAATGATAATAATCTTAATTGGTTTACTGGTCGCAATAAACAATTACGAAAATTACAAAAAGACTTATTATAAACTTACTACTGTAAACAATAAAGTTGATGGCCAGCCTTGAAAAAACTAAGACTCTTCGTTCGCACATTGCAATTGCTCGTTATACTCTTTATACAGTCTTTGCCAGGGAAGCTTTGTTTTAATTATACTTAAAATCTCTTCAAGCAGTTTTCGTCTAGATAGACCCTGAAACATTCATATTGGATTTCATATTTAATTTTGCTAGTCCTACTCACCATAATGTCGGAGTCCAACCTTCGCTTTTTACTACTTCCATGTGTCGGACCCAATAGATCATCCAAAATAAGTTTCAGCCTGCATTCAGGACCTAAAATGAATCGATAAATAAACGGGAGAATTGATGAACGATTGTGGTTATTACCCTTATCCAAAAGATGATTGACTTGCACTAATAACCAGTGCTTATACTCGGTAACGCTTTGTAAAACGTTGGTGGCAGTGATTTGATTCTCCAAAAAGCTGAGCGTAACGCCAGAGGGGAGTGTGGAGTCCGTAGGGCGAAAAGGGGGCATTATTCGCTGAAGGGAAGCTAGAGGTAAGTTCCCAGATATCCTTTTCACCATAGAGACTGCCGACCTACTGACCGGATCCAGAGGATTCGACAGCTGAACCCTTAAAACACTCCCATTAGTTTCTAACTTCTATTGGCTCTTATCGACTTACCAAGTTTGTAAATTTGGACTATACGAATACGCCCTTCCGTCGTTTAACGTCAGAATAGGCTGATTTGAGGTGGTAAGTGAACATCCGTTCACGGTGCCTACCAATCGAGCAGGGAATGGGAATAAAACTAAGAGTTAAAAGATAATATTTACCTCGTCCAAATAGAAGGCTTCGAATAGAAACCCGGCTCAGGATGCTGCTGCCTTTTGCCAAATCCCATAAATACATCAGTCCGGTTTTGGTAAGAACTAACAGATATCCAGCTTGTGAAAGGCTCATGCAACTTACGACATCTTCTATGAGGAGTGGCGGGAGAGATCGAGCACCTGAAATACGGCATTTACTTCAACATTGAAACAGTATCAGCCTGCAAAAAGTGCTTACCAGTTTTAATATCGTATATATTTATGGTAAAGTCTTCACAACAGGCTATCACAAATTTGCGGTTTGAGGCTATTGTCCGGATCGTTGAACCTAGAAGGGATAATTATTATATTATACCACAGATAACTGATGTTCAGGCATCCTACCTAGGAATGTTTCCCAGAGATGGTCTTTCTTCTCTATTGCTTTGCATACTTCGATCTTGGACAGCGAGGCACTGTTTGATATTTTATGGCAGTTATTGCTTACCTGAAGTATAGATAACAAATAATAATTAAGTAAGCAAGATTAAGTCAAAATGCTATGCATTCTGCCACTTTTTTGCCCATATTGAGCTGGAGCATATGAGCGGATAGAGCATTAAATGACACATTTTGACTAATTTAAGCATGAGTTCTGGAACTAGCAGTTGAAGCAATTAGCCAGAAATTGAAAAAAATACAAAAAGAGCGAAGATGATCATAAGTAGAAGATAATAAAATTAAGCTCCAATAGAAATTTTCAATAATTCGTGAAATCAGTACTTTTAAAGGGCATTTTTAATTAGTTGAAATTTTAGTTTTAAGTGATTTCTTCGCAGTTTTTTTGTTTTTTAGTCAATATTTTTAGAAAAACAATATTAATTCGGTTATTAATTTTAATTTTCGCGTTGCGCATTAATCGCTGCCGCTGAATGAAATCAGACAAATTTAAAATGCTCTAAATTTAAATTAATGAAAGATCGGCGTTGGGAGCGTTTTTCGTTTAGCTTTTGTTGACTTTCGTTCAGTTGGGACGTGAAAATAGTCTTTGGAAATATTGCCGTGCAAAAATGCAAAAATGCGAACAATAAACAAACTGAAATCGAACTACCAAGTAAAGCATGAATCATCCAAAGGGCGAACAATTAAATTATTAAATAATCATGTTTATTCTGTAGTTCGAAGTCTTTTTTTCTCTCCAAAAGGTGTTTGAATGTACAGTTTGCTACCGACAGTGGACGAAATGAGTCGATAATCGGATTCTTAAACGGGAAATCTAGAATCACTGGCCTTCATGGCAAGTGCGGTAGTTTGTGAAAGTGTAGTGATCTTCTTGAGGGTAGAAAATGGATGATGAGGCCTCCAGCTGGCAGAAAGCAGGACGAATAATTTCTAATCTATAAATCTAAATAAATTTAGCTTGAACTGAGCTCAGTTTTCCGACAAGCAACTGAAGTTTTATGCATTCTTTATATTTTTCTCTCTTTGCTTCGCTGATTCCAAATAAGTTTGTTTTTGGACAGATTTCTAAACATATTTTCTTACATGTGGAACTTTTAGTCCAATATTCATCGACTGACTCGTAGGGTGCAGTTGGTATCGATTGCGTTATTGGATCTTTTGTAGTTAATTTTTAAACTTTGTGAATATTTTGGGAAGCTTGGCATTTTTAAATCAAGCTCATCTGAAGCTTGTCCCTAAAGAACCGTTTCAGATATGCAAATACGGCTTCCAGTTTTATGTTTTTTTTGGTCAAACAAACTCGTTTTAGTTTTGCCTGTTTTTTTTTTATTGCGAAATCGACTGAAACATGACGCCGCCTTTTTCGACGCTGCTCAAGAACCATTTCAGCCACAGAGTTCGTTTTTATATCATTGGCACTATAACAACGCGCGTGAGTAAATTCTGGTGAATTTATCACACAAAAATCACACAAAATTTAAAGATCAGACATTTTGGGTCTGCAGTTGCGTAAAACCGTTCATTTTCAAATCGACATTTACGAATCGTGCAAAATTCAGTATTTCATGGGATTTGAATTTTCCGAGCAGCAACTTTTAAGATTGTGATTGCCAGATCGCCAACCTTCATTAGGAAGGAAATGCTTAGGCAATATTACCTGAATTTTTAATGTGCCCGCTTCTTTAGTCACTGTAGGTGCAGCGCTCAGCTTAACAGGGTCTATGATATTGATTAATTTAGTAATAGTTTCATCGCCAGGAATATCCACGCACATCAGTTGATTAATTTCAGTTCCCGGAGGCTTACAAATCACAGTATCGGATCCTTGAACATTGTACCTGAACAGAAAGTGCACATCAGATTGCGGTCAAAGTCCCTGTATATAAGTTTTTAACTTACATCACAGGCTTTGAGTCATTGGCAACAATTGGTCGTGCTTGAATTTCCGTTCGTTTTTCGACAACGATTTGACTCTTCGTTGGAGACGATATGCTAAATGTGTCCGAAACGGAAAAATATTGGGCTGAACCGGAGTTCACTCTGAAACAGATCAAATTCTTCAAATGAGAAAGGTTAAAAAGGTAGATAATGTATAGTGGACTTACGCCGGAGTAGCGTTTGAATTGGGCGAATTGGGGACCGTTGTCAGTAGCATAGGCGTAATTCGGCGCTTACCAGACGATAGCCTGGTTTCAACCTTAATAAATCAATTTTATCATACGCCTGGATTTTGATGAATTGTTAAATGCAGAACTACTGTTACCTGTTTATTAACCGGAACCAAAATACTTTGGTTTAAATTCGGGCTTTCATAACAGACATCTTGGGCCTTGGGTGGCTCTTTAATTTCAGGTGGATCAACAGTAATAGCTTCAGTCTTTTTGTTCATCTCTTCGATGGCCGATAACAGTTCTGGATCCTCCACTATCTGTGAACTACTGAAATTCAAGCTCCAACTGCTTTGTAAAGACTTGTGATAGACCCGTTCATACAAAGCATTCTGGAATACACATTGACTATTAGCAGCGAGTAATTTTTCCAGTTCAATTCTTACCTTCTCCTCCATACTGAGTGGTACTCCAATTTCAGCCTGTTCAAACACCACACAGCCTACAGTCCCATCCCATGAGCAAGCCAACAGAAAGTCCCCTCGACTGCTCCATGAGATGTCTAGAACACTATCATCAAAAAAGTCTTTGATGACCACTAGTGGTCTTTTTAATGATGTCAACCAAACACTTATGGAACGATCTCTAGACCCAATTGCACAACAACAATACTGGGTGGACTTTTTAGGACTATCCTGGGATGGTTTCTTTAAAATGTTTGAGTTGAATCGCTGAAAGAGAATGACTAATATTCGCAGTGAAAGTAAGGTTTGAAGAATGCTCACCACACAAGTGACTGCTTTGCGATGTCCTACAAAGTCCTTATCTTGTTTCCAACCTTCTCGTTCAATGATTTGAGCGGTTGGGCCTCCTCCATTCATTGCATGGGCCGATACAAGATATTGCCCGTCTGGCGACCAGGAACACCTTCAGGGCAACCTTGTGATTGAACAGTTAAGAAATTTACATTGAAGCCAATTTACCGTAGAACATGCGTCGTTGCTGAGCAGTCTTGGAAGGGATCAGTAACCACTTCCTGCTGATTCCAATCTGAAGTTCTCCATATGCGAAGCGACTTATCATCTGATTGACTAGCTAAGTATTTGCCTACTGGGTCCCATGTCACGCCCTAGAACACATGAACTGTATCAAGTCAGATTCGCCTTTTTCAACTGGATTGATTACTTTCACCATTCCCGTGTGGTTTTTCAGAACGGCAATTTTTTCTGGAAACTTGTGAGCGTTCCATACTATTACGCTGTTATCAACGCTGCCTGATGCCAACCTAGAATGCAGGTTGATTTATGATCCAAATTCCATTTGCTGGAAATGTACTTCAAACAGTACTTGTGTAATTGAAAATATTGTAAAAATGCGAGCAAGATATGCGAGACCTGTTTACTGATCTTTTTCTCTATAATTCTAGAGTTTTTCGGTCATAGAACAGAAACTCGTGTTAAACGATTTATTATGTGTCGGTTTACAGTTGTTTCAATAGTTTGCATGAAATACATTAAAGTAAAAAAATATAAGCATTTTCCCCTACTTGCAAATACAGGGCGCTGCAACCAAGACGGGGCGGAATATTAGGAATATAAATGATTAAAACGGTGTTTATTCTGGGAGAATACTCAAAAAAATTTGCTAATAATGAATTTTTGGGGCATTTGTTGCCCGATATCCAATCAGCTTTCAGATCCTTATATGATATTTACTTAAATTGTCTTGAGCTGTACGCAGCAGATGCACGGAAATTGATGTCGGTGTTTGAGCCTCGATATTTTTATGACAATATTAATTATTAAAACCCAATATCTCTACCGTTTTCAGAGATATAATCTTTTATCTTCACTTTGCACATGCAAAAGTCTTCTTTTGCAATAAAAATCTTCATTCAATAAACTCCATAATCAAAACAATTTTCCAAAATATAAAGCTTCAGGTTACAATCTCTCTGATAAACCAGATATCAGATCGATCTAGTAGAAGGTCTGACCTGTCAGATTACGCTTTTGCTTTTGATTGTCGTGTTATCGGCCAGATTTCATTGCCCGCAAGTTTATCAGAGACTAAACAAACCGGCCCTAAAATGTATAAAACTGCACGCATAAAATTCAAATAACGACATTCATAATTCAGTCCCTTCATTTGCTTCGAAATGCTAAAACCATAAAATTATAGTAGAAATGTTGCTGATCGAGTTCCATTTCTGTTTGAACTGATTGCTGGTTTTGGTAATGAGCTTTTTCCGAGAATTACGCATAACAAAATTTTGCTGTTGTTGGCTTTTTACGTCCCATTCTCTAATTTTTTCTCAATTATTTTGGTTAGATTTAATTACTTTAGTAGAAAATAGTGGAGGAATTTTACAAGACTGGACATATACGAGCAGGGATATAATAAAGAACAGCAATATTCCAGCAGTTTTCGTTCTTGAGCTGGGCGAATTTAAATTTAAAACTGAAATCTACTCGCAAGATTGACGAATTTTATGTTTTGGCTCAATCAATAAAGCTGATACGGCAAAAAGTGTAGATAAATTATTTAATATTTAATTTCCAGACAGACTTTTTTTTAAATAGGCGACTGTCTAAACCTTGTTTAAATCCTGCACTACTCGTTCCCAATCTTGATTTCCCGCTTTTTTAATTAGAAATAATTATCGGAGAAGAATATTAATAATTACCAGCCGTCATGCGGAGCCCAAGCTAAATCCAATACATCTCCATTATGAGAATTCAGAGTGTGAATGCACTTCCAGGTTTCAACGTTCACTTTGCTGCTACCAAAAATTGATGAACTTCCTTCACTGGTTAGTCTCCAGATCATCACTAGCTTGTCATCGCTTCCAGAGGCCAGAAAGTGACCATTATTGCTCCATCTTACCACATTGACACACGCTAGAATTAATACACCCGGCATAAAATTGCATTCTTTGGGGCTTCGGTCAAATAGTACCTAAATGATTGTCCATCTGACACAGCATTTTGGCAATTTTGGGATCGGACTCAGCAGCCTCATTTATCACAGGATTCACATTCCAAATTACAATCCTGCCTCCTGAGCCGCCTTGTCCCCCAGTAGCGAACCGATTTCCTTTCGGGTGAACATCCACAGAGAAAATTGGCTTGTTGTCTGAAACAAAACATCCCTTTGGTGTTTCATGATGCAGCTTTGCCCATCAGACAATGGGCCCAGTGCGAAGCACTGACTTATCAGCCGTAATAAAATGAATATTAATTAAATTACCTTCATGATTGAGCCAGGCGGGTTTGAAGAAAATCATTGTACAAGTTGGGTGATATGGAAATCGGATGTTGATTAGGAAACGGCCTATTTCCTAACCATCCGTTTAGCTGCACAAAGTTATTTTATAACAAGAATTTACTTAACATAAAAATAAATAAATCTAACAAACTACAAGCCATGGGTTAGTTCCTTTGTTTTCTTCTTTTATGAATGTCGGTGACAGCGTTCTTTTTCGATTGGTTAACTTGCTGGTGTTAGTTATCGGAATGACGTCATTGCAGTCAAACAATAATATTCCATATGGCTGAGGTGAATACTTTCTTGGAAAACCTTCCACCCGAATAGTTTGCCTCAAAAAAAGCAAATTCATTTTTCGTATTTGTTAGTTCATTATGAGCAATTATCATGCCCTGCACACCTTGCTTATTTTCCTAAATAGGCTTACAACTGTTAAAAATTAATGGGATTAAATCAAATACAAAAAGGGCAATATACAACATTTATTGAAACTACTCACTAGACGTCGAAGAACTCCTTAGAAATCTTAGTAACTAATTTACCTTCCTCGTAGAACTGCCCCCCTTCCAAGTAAATGGGTGTAAACTCCCTATAAGCTAAACAAACTCGCCTTTCAGTGATATCTTCCCTTAAAATTCTGTGTTCGTAGTCGTATCTGGCACTTCCGTACATAACTAGCAGGGAATTTTTTGGCATGGGCACAAGAACAGTATCTTCTACACATGCTTCCACACTTTGATCACTCCTGTTCGTCTCAAGTTTAACAGAATGTTGCACTACTTTTGGATAAGTTCCAACTAGATCCAAATTATACCGTGTAGGATACTGATTTGGTGTGAGTGTAAGCACTGAATCGCTTAAAAGGTTCACTGTAACAATCCGTTCGCCCCAAACCCAACAGTCGTCCACATGCGGATCGATTGAAGAGCCTCTGGCTGGGTCGTATTCCAACGAACACTGTTCGATGGTCTGGAAGCCTTGCAGTATGGGAACATCCTCAAATTTTTCCTGCACAAACCTGGTGAACTTTGGAAATCCTTGGAACTTTCCCAGCCGTAATTTGCGGGCCTTAAAATTGCATTTAGGGCCGAAATTCTGCTTCCTTCTGCCACTCTGGGACAAGTCCCAGGCCATTGAGTCGATGCCTTGCATTAGCTGATCGTGTTCACTGTCGCTCAGGAAATTCATCTCAATGTAAATTCCCTCATACCTCGTAGGCGTTCCCTCGTGATTGGGATGGGATTTATATGAATCTACGCTCTTTCCTGGATAGCACAGGTTGCAAAATGGACAGTAAACTTGCTTGTTTTCTGTGCCATTCTTGATATTTTCTTTGTCAAACGATATACCGAAAAGGGCTTCACAATGAAGGCATGTTCTACAGCCCTTGCAGCCACAAGGCCGCGCAGTATTCATATTTAACACAAATTTACAGTTTTTCTTCAAACTTCTCACAAACTAGGCATATTTGCAATCACCAATTCTTCTAAGGTTCGAGTCTGAGTGACATTCGCTGGTTTTGCTCGGGCTCCCGATAAACTATGGCAACATTGAAAATTAGGCTGATAACAGCAAATAATTACTAAATAAACAGAAAATTACATAGAGCATTTACTCGTTAAAAATATCGGTAATTATTTATTAAATCAGGGGCTATTGACCTCTGATGACCCCCATTGTGTAGAAGAAATTTTTCAAATTTCTCAAGATGAACTACGCTCTAGCACTGACGAAGCGCACGAAAAATTAGGGCCCCAACGTATTTGTTATAGAGAAGCAGTCACATGATCCGAGATATGCACAAAACGGGCTTCGGAAAATTCTGAATCGGAACTCCTTGTTTTCACTTTAACAAAAATGAAAAAACGGTGTAAGTAAGAGTAAACAGATACTAAACCAACAAAAATCACCAGTTTTTTACATCGACTTAGACTTACACATACATGTATGTATAAAATATAAGCCATTTTATATACACAGTTATTTCTTTAATCTACGCATCTTATGTACGTAAGGAATTTGTAATTAAGCTAATAAAATTTACAATAAAAATAAAGAAATTTTACTTACAGTAAAAAAAAATCGTTAATCCGAACAATTTAAACAAAAATTAGAATTTGCCCTTGCAATAATTAGTTCGGACTATCGTGATTATACAGAATTTGAAATAGGGACAAATTGGCTTGCATCACCTTCAAAACATATTTGAAAAACTATTGTAACAAAAACATTTGGGCCTTACTCTACTAGTTCATAACATTCAACAAATTTTGCTTAAACTGATAAGCTATCACCAAAATATTCTAAAAATCACATTTCGAAAACGTACAGCAGTCAGCTGTAAGCCATTATCTGGCTTGGGTTCATGCGGAATACATCGGGAGGTAAAAGCAGATTTAAACATGTAGAAAAATAAATGCAACTTAATAAAGGGCACATTGTATATATAGGTATAATGGCTTGCAGATGAGCTGCTTGTAAAATTTTGAATATATTTTAATAAAGGTAATTTTAAGCTTTAAATGTTCTAACTACTCTCACTACGAATCGTCGACAGATGGGACATTCGGCCAATCTTTTGCCACAGTCAATGCATGTCGTGATGTGGCCACATTCCAGTAAAACACAGTCTAAGGGTGCATCCATGCAGAGCTTGCACAATTCGTCTAATGGCACATTATCTGGGATATCCTTATGCTTTTTATTGTCTTCCCAAAGTGCTTGAGCGCGTTCTAGCAACTCATCTGCAATATTCAAATTAAACTACAGCTAAAAGTAATGCAAGAGTAATAATGACCTTTCTCAATGCAGCCCTTAAACTCCACTCTGTTGAATGTTAGGAGAATTTTTAATTGCTTTGAAGACAGTTCTTTTAGCTCCTCAACGTTATTGAAGTCTTCAAGTTTTGGACGTCTCTGGCCTAGAGGGCTTGATTCTGGAGTAAACTCGACGTTTTGGGGAATATGTGAGGTAGTTGGCCTGTCAGCAGGTTCTTCATATGGGGGAGCAGAAGGTTCCGAGTGTACATCTATGCCCGAATAACTGGGCGCAGCCACTGTATGTGCGTATACTGGGGCACTACTTGATGTAGGCTGATGTGCTGCGGGACTTGATCTATTCATCTGATCAGTGCTAGGTTTAGGGGCGCCTCTTGTGTCTGAAATGACTGACTCCAAGTTACTGATAAGTCCGTTAAATGGCCGCAGTTGATCCCCAAAGTTGGCCGTCAATTTGTCCACGCCCTTCCTTTGCCTCTCAGGAATACATTTATTGCACAACAGATCAACCATCTCCTTTTTTTCAACCACCCCGTAAGTGGACACATTATTCTTATTCAAATAATCTCTGAGATCCTTTGACTTCAGTTCCATTAACTTAACTCGATCCGGGGGCCTTTTAATTAAAACTAAACACACATCACAATATAATACACCGTCTTTCCGCTTCAAGCACTTGTTACAATACTTGTCTTCACATTCTCCGCATCGGATCTTCCAGTTGAACAAGGTAAAGTCGGACTTGCATTTTGTACAAGGCATTCTCTAAGAGCTAAATTAATATAATAATAAAATCCTAAATCAACATAAATATTTGTTTGCAAATGACAACGAAACAGTGGGTGGGTCGGCTGTCAATCTGTTAGAACCGTCAATTACATGATAAAAGTGACAACGCCGTTTAGGAGGCTAAATCCAGGACGGCCTATGGACGTCCGATAATATGATTATCACGTCATACGTTCAAAGCTAGCAACATTTCTTATGCGATATTTCATTTAGAAAGTACGCAATTTAACGCTCTATTTGGCAATGAAAACTAGAGCTTTGTGGTTTAATCGGTTCTCTAGAGACGAGCCAACGAATAAGAGCGGTTCAGAAGACTCGCATTAATTTTGAATTTGTGCGTTTTACGTGAAAACTGGAAAAAATTTTTATACGAACTTAAATATAAAAAAGTACATAATTCAGCAATGAATATCTGGCAATGTAGAGCGTTGTAGCTCAACGGGTCGTCAAGATACGAGCTGACTAATAAAAACGATTCAGAAGATTCGCCTTAAATTTAAATCTTTCAATTTTACGGAAAAACTAGAAACAGTTCTTATATACTATCTTAAATCTAAAATATTACATAATTTAACGTACTATCTGGCAATGAAAAGTATATCGTTGTAGCTCAACCGGTTCTCTAGATACGAGTCAACGAATCAGAGCGGTTCTGAAGACTCGCATTAATCTGGAATTCGCACATTTCGAGTGAAAACTAGAAATATTTTTAGAATGACATTTTCCATAAAATAGTACGCCATTTAACGCTCTATCTTGCAATGAAAACTACAGCTTTGTAGCTCAACCGGTTCTCTAGATACCAATCAAAGAATAAGACTGGTTCAGAAGACACGCATTATTTTTGTATTTTTTCATTTTCCCTGAAAATTAGACACATCTATAAAATGATGTTTGGCACAGGAAAGTCCGAAATTTAACGGTCTATTTGGTAATGAAAATTAGAGCTTTGTGGTTTAATCGGTTCTTTAGATACGAGATCACGAATAAGAGCGGTTCAGAAGACTCGGATTAACTTTGAATTTTTTAATTTTACGTAAAAACTAGAAACATTTTTTATACTATCTTAAATATAAAATGTACATAATTTATCGCTCTACCTGGCCATAAGAAGTATGGCGTCGTAGTTCAACCGGTTCTCTAGATAACATCCAAAAAATGAGAACGGTTCATAAGACGCGCATTAATTTCAAATTTTTACTTTTTGCGTGAAAACCAGGAATATTTCGTTTTATGACGTTCAGAACAAAACTGTACGTAATTTAACGCTCCAGCTGGCAATTAAAACTAGAACTTCGTGGCTCAACTGGTTTTCTAGATATGACCCAAGAAATGAAAGCGCTTCGGGAGTTTCGAAGAAGAAGAAGTATTGGCAAAGAATATTAACAAGTAAAATAACACGTATATATATTTTGAAAACATTTTATTTAGTTTATACACATATCTTAAAAAATATACTTGTCGTTGATAAAGAAACACATTTTACCATAATAAGATCTAAAAACAAGGCAAACGTGTTAAATGGGTTGAAATATACAGTACCTACTTATAGGAAAGGGTGATTTAAAAATTTAACAGAAACCGTCTGCTTAATCAGTAGTAAATACATAGTCTTATTCTTACTATTTACATAAATCGACCTTTTTATCACACATGTATTAAGGCGTTTAAACGTGTACTGCGCATTGGTACATATATTAAAGAATATTTGATTAAGCCTCAGGAAAATTTATCAAAATATTTTATTTATAATATACTTTTCTTTGAATAGTCTTTTTTTATTTAGAAACGTAACGATTTGCGCTGTGCCTTAGAAGGTTCAAACTTCAAAGATCAGTACCATGTAATATCGCAAAATAATTATAATATCTTTTATACAAGGTGTCTCAACTCCTAATGCAAAAACCGTAATATGTGATCATCAGTTTCATAATAAGCAGTTGTAACTTATTTTTATTTCCATAGTGAAAAATTCACACTCAAAAACGTAAGCAGATTTAAGCTTGAAATTTTGGGCATGTGTAGGAAAAGGTTTAGTTAATACATACGAAAATTCTAAATCGATTTAAATGTTTCGCTCAGTTTCTGTAAGTTTTTGAAAATTCAGCATAATTCAGGACAGACGTACAGGCTTGTGGTTAAAAATCCACAACTTTCAATCTTCATATGAGTAAAAATTCAATGGATTCGAAGTGTTCAGGCAGTTCTTGCTGAATTTTTGAAATGCCGATGTCATTCCAAAAAAAGCACCAAATGTGCGCGCCTGCAGTTGAAAATTCATTACTCGCAAAATTAAACAGATTTAAGTTTGCAATGTTGGGCATGTGTAGAAAAAGCTTCAATTATTAAACCAAGAAATTGTGAATAGATTTCGAGCTTTCGCTCAGTTTTGTAAAATTTTCATAAACATGCTTCTGGTTAAAAATTTACAATTTGCATACGACCAGAGATTTAGGGCTGAGTTTTTGCCAATTTATAGAAGAAGCCTCAGTTATTAACTGTTAATTTCACTCGATTCTAAGTTTTCGGTTAGTTTTTGTAATTTTTTTAATTTCCAATTAAACTTTAAAAAAGCACCAAATGTGTGCGCTTTCGGTTCAAAATGTATATATAACTCGTAAACGTGAACAGACTTAAGACGCCAATTTTGGTTTAATCGGCAATGAATCGGTATAGAAAAAGGTTTAGTTATTAAGTTCACATATTTCTAATTGATTTCGAGCCTTCGTTGAGTTTCTCTAAATGTTTAAAATTTCGGTGTAATTCAGAAAAGAGGCTTAAACGTGCATGCTTGTGGTTAAAAATTCACAACCTGCCACCTACAATAGATTTGAAGCTGCATTTTTACTGTACTTTAAGAGATTTAATAAAATTAGAGTTGGGTTCGTCCTGCAAATTTCCATTGCTGTTTTTGGGCTTAAATGAATCGCAAAAGGAAAAAGATACGCACATATCGTTTTATTTAAATTGAAAAACACCCCAAGGCGCATCACACGTGATAATCACGTGGAAAAGAGGCCAACTTTGACCAAATATTACGTGATTATCATGTGATTCGACGTCATTGGCTTAAACCGACCTTTAAAGGTGTCATTTGTAGCCGTGAGTCAAAAAGTAAAGAGAAAACAAAAAGTCAAAAAGCAAAAAAAGTGTCAAACTTTATTAGTTATTAGAAAGTTGCTCAAAAATGAACTTACCTAAAGCAGGTAAGCATTTAGAAAAATTAATTATATTGCATGACCAGACGGCTCAATGGTAAATACAGTTTTTCATAATGATTAGTTGGAAAATCGAGAAACAATTAAAGTTAAAATAAGTTTTCCACACTTAACCGTTAACGTTAACTTTAACCACATTTTTGCAGGCTTGAGTATCTAAATTCACAACTTTATCTTCAATTGTTCGTTTCTTTTGCTTATGGCATGGATTAGATAGCATCCTGCATATCAAAGCGAAATTAATGATAATATAATAAAATAAAACCACTAAAATCTCAACTTTACCAGCAATGGTTTAATTTTTTAAATATTTTAAAGTCAAATTTTACGCAAAACATAGAAACCAAAAAAAAGTGCCCAGCTTAATATGCAGAGTGTCCAGTAAGCTTACGATCGAAAAGGTAATACGACATTATTTGGCTGAAAAAAAAGACACTCTGTACTTACTTTCATTATTGATTTTTCACTTTGATGGCCAAAGTAAAAGAGTATTTTTTTATATTTGGGCAGAAAACTAAAAAACAACTGGCTGCAAGGACGAAAAGCTCCTTTCAATTCAAATTTTAAATAAAACATCAAGAAAAATAAGAAGAGTGCAGCTTCCAGATAAAATTTCTAAAACACTATTTTCTACTTGTGTTTCTTTCTGAGCCAAATAATATCGCTGTTTTTAAAACACGCTACACTTTTTATGGTATGTTTTCGGGCGAAACACTCTGCACATTTGTGCAGATATATTAATAATTTACAGTCATTATAAATATTTCAACGAATTTCTTAAGTACATTTACTGACTACGTTCAAAGTATTCCTATCTACAAATTGTTATTTATATTCGCCGGCTTACTTTTATTTTTTGTTTTTTACCTACATAATAAAATATACTTAGATATGTTGTGCCCACCATTCCCTCTTAAGTTTTTTCTCAGGAGCCTCACTCTAAAGCATTTCCGAAGAAGTAAAAATAATAGAGAGTGACCTAAACTTAAGTCGAAATAGAAAAAATTAAGTCACATTTATCTCATGTGTTAGTGGCGGATAATGGCGTTATTTTGCCTCAACTGTTTGGTCACTGGGTAATTTAAAGGCACAGTTTTTGCACACAGAAGAAGTGCCCTTCGTCATCAGCTCTAGAAGCCGACGATTAACAAAATTTGTATCAAACCATGGAATCGAATTTGCCATCATAAAGTAACATTTTTTTTCTAAACGGCTCAGAACTAAGACAGAAAACCATGGCCCATAAAATTGTATTTTTATCAATAACGTGACCCAAAAGTATATTTGATAGCCCAGTTCGAAAAGCTAAAATTTTCTGCAGAGAGAAGTTAGCCTTAGTCAAAATTGCCCTTTTCGTCAGTGTTGCAGAATTGAGGAGCAAAATTATCTCACTCAACCTCAAGATTTACGTCACTGCATTGCTCATTAAGTTGCAAGCAACAGGAATTGGAAAAAAGTGAACAAAACTTCACATTCCTATTTAAAACAGTTCCCGAATTATATGCAAAAAACGGGGAAAAAATCCACAAAAATCGGATAAGGGTGCGTTCAACGGGCCTTGTCATAAACTAATTTTTCAACACACCACATGCTGGAAATTGGCGGCACTTAAGTTTGGGTCACCCTGTATTAAAGTGCTTTGATTCCTCGCTCTATGATAATGAAAATATCTCAGTTGGGCACACAATTTACATGGTTTTGTGCCTGCTGCAAGATGAAAAATCGCCTCTCCTCATCTCGAACGATCTCAGTCTTCGGCGCACTGTTGGAACTGTTAAATTTTCAGATATGTTGCCATCTCGATCCCTATCTGTTCTGTAACACACAAGAATATCTGGTGGAAAAAGTTGCACCATCCGAAAAGTTGCGAATAAAATTTACTCTGATGATTTAGCGTGATTGTAAATGGTTCATTTTATCAATCGGTTTTTTTAGCTTAAACTTGAAGCAATTTAAAAACAGTTTCCCGGTGGCTTTATCACACAGGGTGTTGAAAATATGAGCATCGATATGTATGGTTCAAGGCGAACTCAAGCAGCAAATAAGTATATCTTGGAAGACATTGAATAACTAATGCAAACAGTCTAAACAGCAAAGACGCTTATAAGACATAAATAAATGTGGGCCTAACTGGGAAAAAACTAATGAAAATTGTGCTAATGTGCAAGAATAACGGTGATTGAATTTGAACGATGACTTATACGATAACAACTGAGTTCTACTAAGAACATTAAGGCAACTGTCGAGCATCTTAGCTTAATAACTTGTCTTGCTAACCTGGTTTCCACTCTACTTAATCTTTGCTTCAGCTTCGCTTGACTGGCGGTAAACTCAGCTAGTAGCCTGGCTAATCGACTGTGAATATGATCGACTGAAGTTTCCAACTTTTTGATACTGTCCTCCATCGAGTGTTGTGTGGCTTTCGCTCGTTTGAACACATCTTCGTCCAGCAAGCCATCTTTCCGGAGCAATTGACATCCACGCTCTATCAAAGTGGCTCTTGCCTGAAAAACAATTCGCATTAATTTAAAAATTATTTCTCTCACTTAAGTGAAAAATTCCTCAATTTTTGGTGAAAAAACCTCAAATCACTTAGCGTCCAGCCATTCGTAAACATGCCCCCAACTTATCCAGATCAATAAACCTATACATTAAATGAAGACAAGGCGTTCAAACATCCTGTTTACGAGCGTATATAACGTATTACCAATATCCTGATTGAATGTCGATTTACAAGTTTTATAAGCTGAGCGGAACGATCCAGCAAACTTGTTTGAAAGTGCAGCCATTTCAGGGAAAACATCGAAAAGCTTTAAAAAGTGTTATGTAGAAAGAGGGGACAGTGCAATCAGTTTACCTACATTTCGAAGTTTGCACCACCGAAACGTGTAATTGGCAAAAGTTTTATAGATAATGCGGATATTTTTCCAAAACACGTAAATCTTTATTTTTATCTGCGCATTCTGATGCTCCAGTTGATAATCGTCTGAGAACTAGGCCACGGATTTTGGGGCAATCGCGGATATTTCGAGCCAAAAAAGCAGCTTTTTAGATTATAGGGAGGCAAAGAGGTCATTGTGATATTTCGGGAAATTGCTGAAAGGAGTGAAATCGGCAGGTTTTCTATGTTTAATTATTTAGTTTTCAAAACTTTGCATCGGTTAAGGGAAACTCGCCACTGCACACATAAGTTGCTGCCTTTTGATATTGGTGTGTTCATGTTTTTCATTTCGACCAGGCATCGAAAAAAATGTTTGAACCATCATCCTGGTAGAACAATAACTGCTTAAAGGCTTGTTTATCAGTAAGTGGCACAAACGGCCAAAGCTCATATAAATACATACAAATAAATTGACCTTTTTTCCGGTTTCCTAAAGTTGAAGGCAAAGGAAACACACGGAAGAAGAAGCCTTGTGGAAGCGCAGTTCCAAGCAGCAGGCCATACAAAACTGGATATTAACAAAAAAAGGTACTTTTATCGAAAAATGAGCACGATAAGCAAAGACTTAAACAGAAGAAGACAAAAAGACAACGGTGTAAATGAAAATTTCCTTACTGCTATGAGGAAACCGCTGCTTTAATCGACAAATGGATTCAATATAGAAAGTGTTTTTAAATGTGAACGGGCATTGGTGAAGAACTTATTTGTAGTATTCAGCGAAGATGCATATGTCCTCTTAAAATTAGCCAGAGTTCCACAAAAGATTAAGTGTAAAGTACATTTTTTCTTGATGTTTTACTTAATCCCAGAGTATCATTTTTCACGTGTTGTTTTGTAGCAGGAATCATTTTTGCCTCAACATGCGGGCAAAATGATTTCTGTGCTCTTTTTGCTTCTGCCGTTTTTATCTAATAATTTAATACATATTTTTTCTAGTGTTCAGAGAAATCCTTTTAAGGGCCTGTTCTATTAAAACGAAAATAAAAAGTTTTTATTTTTTGGCGTTGTTTTTTCTTAAGGCAATTTACCCCTTTCTCCCCTATTAGTCTTATCTTAGAAAAATATTTCGTTAATTCAAATAAACTGTATTTTCGTGGCCGCGTCGCCGTGTAAGTGTTTAGCAATGTTTCTAAAAAAACTTTTTACTAATAAAATTGAGCTGTTTTATTCTCTTCGCAAATTTCACAATTACTTCAGACTATCCCTGGGTAACACTTTGTTGAGTGGCGCTTTTGAGTTGTTGAAGCTTTCTGCCTTAAAGAGTTATGTATCAGATCAGAAGTTAATGAGGTATAATTAATCATTTATTAAAGCTTTACATGAGCCAAGACTGAAGTTTTAGCATTTAAAAAAAAGGTCATCAACATTTTCATGAGTAGCTAACTCCTAAAAATTCACTAAGTTACCTTTTCTGTAGAAACGATTAGTTGAAGATACGGTCTTTTTGGTTTTAGGTCTAAAACGGAAAAAACCGGAAATTTTTAAGAACTTAAATTTAATATTCTTCAGAGCGATGAGGGGACGAGTTTACCAAATAGTTGATTATACGCTTTTGATCTATCTGATCGTTTTTAGAAAATACTTAATTTATTTTGGAAAAAAGACAAGAGAACTTTGTTTGGATTTTGTCCCAAATTCAAAGGTAAAACGGGTATTAGAAAAATATACCAAAAGAAGATAAAGAAGACCAAACTAAAAACGTTAAGACGACGAGTTTTCATGTAGAATCGATTTAGTATTTTTTGCATAAGAGCCAATTTGCCAGTAATTTACAGTTAAAAGTTAGGAAAAAACGCGTTTTTCTGTTTAGAGAGAGTTTTGCTTACAAATATTGACCTAAAAGTGAAGAAACCCGAATTAAAAAAAAAAACAAATTATTCACAGCAAAGGTGATGAGTTTTCCAAAAAATAGATTATAAACTTTTGCTTGTTCCGTTTGGGGAAACATTTTTCGGAATAAAACGAGGAAAAATGATTAGGGTTTTATTCAAAATGCAAAGCTGCAAAAGGTTTTCGAAAAATTTTCATAAAGCTGTTAGGAGACGGAGTGTTTCAATAAAATTCCATTTAAAATTTTATTGAAAGAATTATTAAGTAAAACTTTAGAAAATAATGCGTTTTCTGCGTAGAAAGAATTTCTCATGAAAACTGAAAAGTCCTTAAATTTTAAAGAAACTTAAAAAACCTTCAGAGCGATGAGGTGACGAATTTTCCAAACATGTTTTGTAAACTTTTGATCTCTGGTCGTCCTCTCAAGATAATCTTAATTACTTTCGGTCAAAAATTGAATAAAACTATTTGGTTTTGTGCCAAATTCGATGCTGAAAAGAGTGTTTCAAAATTCCCTGCAAAGCGATGCATGAGGCGAACTTTCTTTCTAGAAAGGTATCAGAAAATAACGGTTTTTTTGTGCTTTTGGTTAAAATCGTTTAGTTTTGGGATCGGTTTTTGAAAAACCCTTAAAAATTTTGGGAAAAACGGAAGAGATTTAGTTCCGCTTTGGTCCCGATTTCGACACTGAAAAAGTTCTTTAAATTTTTTCAAAGCTATAAATTTAGCCTTGTAATTTTTTGCGTGAAATGCGTCCATATTGTCAGTATTTTTAAGTAAAACTCTAGAAAATAGAGCGTTATTGAGTAGAAGTAAATCTATAGTAGAAAAAATTTAATCAAAGCTATAAAATCACAGTTTTTAACAAACTCTGCAGTCTTCAGAGTCATGGGTTTGACGAGTTTTCCAAATAATCTGTTATAGACTTTCGCTTATTCTGTTCTTTGTTTGATAAAAAATAATTTGATTTTTGTCCCAAATTGGAAGCTGGAAAGAGATTTAAAATTTTTTTACAAAGATACGAAGGAGGCGAGTGTTTTAATAAAATGTATATTATAATTTTCCACGAGAATTACCTTAAGTGAAACTTTAGAAAATTAAGCGTTTAGAAGAAAGAGTAACTTTGCTTTGCTAAAACTGGAAAATTCTGAAATTTTGAAGAAGATTTAAAAATATTATTAATGAAGGGCCCTTAAAATAAATCTAAAAACAACTAAAAAAGTCATCAACATTCTCCCAGCAAAGCAACCGAGTTACTGTGCCGGTGCGTTGGGTTGGCGCACCAAGTTCGCGCAGTACTACGCGAACTCCTGAAAATTCACTGAGTTCCCAGGCCTACTTCAGACAGTCATTAAAACTGTCTATTTCGGAGATAAAACCTTTTTCAATAGACAACATGGAAAGATTGCTCCACCAGAAACAATCCTCGGATATGAGTCAGTATATTTATTTTCAACACAAACAACCGATACTGATCTACTACTCAATAACGCGTTCGGCGCTGGACCAAATGCAGCGAAACCTCCACTTACTGTGGGTACGGTTTAGCTGGATAAGGGGGCAGCGGAGTGTTGCGCGGGTGTTCAAAGAAGCGCATAAAGCTCCATCCTGTGGCCCAGATTAAATAATAATTCAATGGGAGCGCGCGTTAGTAAATGATTCTACTGGTCGACTTTACATGCGTGATTCGCACTTGTTTTGGAATTTATTATTAGTGATTACCATCCGAGTAGCAAATATTTAGCATTATATTGGTTTTTTGAAAATAATGCTTTAGTAAGACTACAAATTAAATTTTCTCATGCGGTGAAGGACGGTTTGGTTGAATCGGTTCACGATTATGTTATCCTTAAGCAGTAATGTGGATACACGAACCGCCGAACCTTCTTTTGCAATAATCGTCAAGTTCTCTAAATATAATCTTAGACGCACAAATTGACAAAATATGTACTTCAAGATTGTGGAAAAATGTCAGTAAAAATGTACTTTGCATTAAAGTTTATGCATCTTTTCAGGCTTTCTAAACAATTTTTTTCCATACGAAGTTAAGTTAGTAGCAACTATAAATCTTGAGGCGTTAAAGTTTCGAAAGAAGACGATGGGGCCAAACTTTTATTAAGAAAACATTATTAACTTCTGAAAAAGTTATGTATTTTGAAGTATGGGGAGAATGTTACGACTGATTGGTTGGCACCCTGTATATTTTTTGAGAATATCGTTCTAAATGGCTTTAGTTAAAATAATGTATTTACTTACTATCTTACCAGAAACCTGGTAAGATAGACCTCAATACACAGGGTATTCGGTAGCAGCATTTTTTAAAACGCTTAGCTTGAACTGGCGGAGGTTTTTCGAGAGCGAGCAGATATTTCACGGCTTTTTTACATTCCAATTTCAATGGAGCTTTCATTTTACGTACTAAATAGATTTTACAGTTCAACGTAGCCTTCTGAATGCTCTCTTTCTTTAAAATATCCTCTCGAATGCCCCAAAAGTGATTTAAAAATGCCTGCTTAAAATATGTTGGGGTTATTATAAAGCTTGCCGGATTGATAATATTATTATTGGAAACAGTGCAAATATTTAAGTTTAACCCCTTGCTAAAGTTGAAACGTGATGCTGTTAGCTGTGTGAAATTTGTAAATGTTTCATTACTGGAAGACTCAAAGAACTCAAAAAGCAATTTCTTCCATGACTCGTGTTTGTCTTCTACACTTGTACTGTGTAATTTATCCTCGCAATGCTACACCTTTACGTGCAAAGGTGTAAAATAAAATAAGCGACACCCGTACGATTAATATAGCTTTTCCCGTCTCCAGAATTATGAACCTTTGTACACGTTTTGGAGCCGTTAGCCCAATTTCGCTTCCTGCAGGATTGATGTTAAACAACGTTTCTAAAGCACTCAAACGCAAATAATCGTTGAAGTACGAACATGTGCCAGCTCTAAGTGTAAAAAGCAAATTTATTAACAATTCGCATGAGATTCTTTCGGTTCGGAATGCCGAAGTTTCGAGTCATTTAAAACGCGAGTCTCATTTGTCTGAATCTGTAAGTTTGCAGTTTAGCCTACACTAAACGATTGTAATTGGCCGATTTAAAAGAAGAATGTTTTTGGAACAAACAACAATTTGTGAATATCTTGAGAATAATTCTTTGACAAACAATGCTTTTATGTCTTTAGGACTTTAGAAAATTTGCGTGTTTTGCGGCATTACTATATGAGAAGAAATATTTCTTGCTTGGAAACTGATTTGCTTTGCCAAAAGCGCCAACATTTTATAACCGTTGAAACGGTCTAAAATAGACTCTACGGTCGTTTCCATTTCAAGAAAGAGGAACCCCAACAATCATCTTTTTATCCGTGAAATTATGCAGAAACTGGAAAGTAAAAGTGGAGTTGCGTTTGCAGCATACTGCAAGAATATCGAACAAAACACGCACTCAGACTTTGAAAAAATAATGGATTGCTGAGAGCGATTTTTGAGATATTCTTGTTTCGGTTCGATTCGACTTGGTATTAAACGTGCTGTAGATTATAAAGTATTTTCGATTGAACGTGCCGGCAGGACTTTTTCCTTAAAAAAACTTCTAAATTATTTATATTTAAAAACTCCTAGATTTGATTAATTAGTACCAGAATATTAATTTATTCATTCAACATCTCAAGAGAGTTCAGTTGTCTTCGTACCTAAACTTAAAAAAACAGATTTAGTTCGGAAGTCTTAGAAGGCTAATGTGAATAGCATTGCGATCGATAGGCGAGACACAAAAAAAAAACGGCGATATTTTGAAATTATGCAGAAGCTATAAATCTGGGAGATTTATAATTGCGGCTATCGGATTGAGCTTGACCTGCCTGACTTTCTACGAAGAATACGCTTAGAGCTTCCTTTTGCGAGTAGAAAAACTGAAGCGTCGAAATCGATGACACAAGGTCAAATTTCAGAACTTTTTTTAGTCTATCAATCTTGATAAAAGAGTTATTGGAAATGGTGAATCGGTTCAAGTTATTGCTCTTTAACTCTAGTTCTATTAACTGCTCAAAAATGTCATATTTTTAAAGTTCTGGGAAGAGTCATGGGTATGCATACTTAGAGCTGAAGTGCTCCGTACAATTCAACTCAAAAGCCTCGATGAGTCGTTTTTTTTTGATAAGCAAGAACTTTTTGCTCTGTGTGTACGAGTAATTTGAATCTCTATATTGACTTATTTTTACTTTCCTTAATGTTATAAAATATGTTTTTTTAATTTTAAAAAGTATGAGATTTTGAGATATAAAACTTTGACTGGTTTTCTTCATAACGTTTCGCCAGCATGAGTGGCTTTCGAGCTAAACATCTCTGAGGATGAAAGTCACTCGTGCTTGCGAAACGATATGACAAAATAATTTTTCATGACGGCCTAAAAGCTAGAAAACTCACCAGTTTCAAACAATCCGCTAGTTATTTTTGAAAAAAAAAACATAAAACGTTTGATAGCGATTTAAGTACCAGCGAGTTTTTAGCTTAGGAATTCGATTTTAGTGAACAAAACTATATTTTTCAAATATCAAATAATATAAAATTGGGTCTTAAATTTCGGCAAATAAAACTTTCAAGTTAAGTAGTTTAAAATCAGCTATTTTTCTGTATAAAAAGAGAAAATGGCTGTGTTGTATTTAGGTTCTTTTGCTCGCGATTATCTGGTCTATTAGTGAGTTTACGAAAAACGTTAATTATTTCAAATAAAACTTCAGATCTTTTTATCCAGTTGCATGATCGGATTTGCACCTTGATACACTAATCCAATTATATTTTTTAAAGGCTTCAAAGCGAATTTAGTAAAAATGAGTTCTGACTAACCCAAACTAACCCAAACCAACCAACAGTATCTTGAGCATTCAACTTCTGATTCATTTTCGCGAAAAATATTGTAACTGAACGCAGATTCAAAAGCTTTTGCACCAAAAAAATAGAAAGACTTTTCCTTCAAAGAAGCCCTGAAGTGATGAAAAATTTATGGCTCCAAAACACTTCGAAAGCAGATAAGAACGTTAATTTAGTTGCACAAAATAAATTAAGTTTATTATGGAAATATTAGGGGCCTTAATTAATCGCATCTTGATTTGCAGCCGAAGTAAGCAAAAAATTAAGACTTCGATTTTTTTAAATACTTTTACGACTTTAAAAAATGTTACTTTAGAGGCTCTTTTTGAAATTGAGCTCTCTTGAAAAAAAATTTTTTTTTTCAAGTTATGTTTATATTTTCCTTCCCAAAATCCTTAGGATACGTGCACATCGGGTGCCGAGCTGAAAAACACGATTTTTTCAAAACTCACAGAAAAACAAACATTCCTTAATGCGGCCCATAACATCACTCGAAACAGGGCATCGGCTGCTTTAAATGAGGAAAAACTCACTTGATTCGAGTTTCCAGGACGTTTTTAGTTACTAAATCGAAGCGATTCGTCATTGGTATGGATAGACGTATTTAAAAAAAATTGCCAAAGAAAAACCCACAATCTCTCAAGCCTGCACAGAATATTACTTGAAAAAAAAAATGCTCAGCTTTAAATGAGGAGAACCTCACTTTAATAAAAAATTTCTGGGAGTTTTCAGGATTTTTTCAGATACTAAATCGAGGTGTTTGGCCGTTGGAAATCCCCGATTTTTCAAAAATTCGCCAAGGTGAAACCAAAAATCCCTCAATTGAGCCCATAATATAACTCCAGAGCAAAAATACGCTGCTTTAAGTGAGCAAAATCGCACTTTAATGGTAAATTTCCTTGAATTTCCAGGAATTTTTCAGTTACGAGGAGCTAGGTTAATCTCATGTAACCATCTTTTTCAAAATTCTAGAAGGTTTTAAAATCGGATTTCAAAGTGAATTCGTGTTATTATTTAATTTTTTATTGTTAATATTATCTCTGTGCAGCAAGGCGTCTATAAAATCTTTGTTTTCTTCAAAAAACAGTGAAAATTGTCTGGGCTTTGCGCGCTTCAACATTTTATGAAGAGCAAGCTTGTGAATCCTGCTTTTCAGCTTCCAGTCATAGAGAACTTACTTATTCTACTATTATACTTCTAGATATTTGTCTCTTATCTTATTTTCTGCATTAATTATTGTTCCGAAATTGAATGCTTGACCAATTTGCTCCTTGATATACAGCAAGTTTCACAGTCTTTCGAGAAGATTTGAGATGGAATTTTTTTAAAATTCCTTTTCCCCCCTAAAAACAATCAAGTTGATTGATAGTAAAATTAATTTTGAGGAGAACAATTGGAGCTAAAAACAGGATAATAAATCCTGTTTATAAAAAAGTAAAAACCTCAATTTTAGGACAATAGAGAAACACGTTCCATCACATCTCCCGCTATATTCCTGACTGGTGACCGAAAAACGAAGCGTCAAAGAGATCGATTCGCTTGTTAGTCCACGTGTTGAGAATTTAGCATGCCAGACGATTGGAGCCACAAATGAGATGGTCAAGTGCAAACTTGGAGTTTGATTTTAAATGGAAATGAAATAGACAACAGCAGGGCCGAGTTGCTGCTGGCTAAAACTGGCAACAACATGGTGTTTGCTGTGCTGCGGCTGAATATTTCGTGTCGGAGCGTGAGGAAACTCAATCAGTTGAAGCTAATAAACACTCACCTCCGGATAGTCAGCCAGCGCCACTAAGAGATCGTCTTTGGCCAAACAAAATAAATCCGAATAGCCCAGGGATCTCACGTTTGCCGTCCTACGATTGCCCGTTCGATTACCCGCAATGTCCAAGACACTGACCTGGAAAAGATATATTGCTGGTCAGCTAAAAGAGCTTTTTCGTGTAAATAGAAAATCCTACTTCTCCAAAGACGCTGCCGGCGCCTAAGGTGGCTAAAACGGTGTATCCATCATCGGCTACCACCTGCAACCGTCCCCTCTTCACTATGTACATTTCCTTGCCGACGTCTCCTTTTCTGCATATGTAATCTCCTGGCGAAAACACCTGCGCAATTAAAATTACTCATTTTCTTCTGGCTGCAGCTTTCGATTCAAATCACCTGCAATCTCAGCTTCAGAACCAGGGCTTCCAACAGTCCAGGCTCGCAGTCTTGGAAGATCCTGACTTTGCGCAAAGTATCCAAGTGCACTCTAATGGCAATTTCAGCCTTTAGTTTGTCTGGAAGGGCTGAGAGCACCCGCTCCTCATCCAGGGCGCCGCTTTCCTGCCAGGTGTACGCAAACCAGCTGAAAACGAATCGAACTTGAAACTTCGAGTTTTAAGATTAAGATACTGGCGAACCGTATAACTCTGGCTTCTAGTTCTCTGCCTACTTTCCGGAACGCCATGTACTGCTTGACTCCGTCCATCCGGTTCTGGAAATCGACTCTGGCTACGTTCATGTTGGAGATCATCGACCCGATGTTGCCTGGAAATTAAAAAATCGCAAATTGTAATAATCGGCGAATATTTAAAAGCTCCAACAATCTTGTTTGCCAAGCGAACGCTGTTTTCAGCATTTTAAACATTTTTTTCCGTGAAGGGGACGAGTGCTACGGAATTGTGTACATGGGAAAACGGCTTCACAGTTTGATTGCTTATGCAAAATTCATTTCCTCAGAAACTAAAAAAACGTCGAAAATTGCCTTGGGCTTAATTTTTAAAAGAAAGGCCCTTTTTTGCAGGTGGCGAAAGTTTCGATTTCCCGGCCATCAGCAATCAAATTTGCGGGATTTTTGAAAACTGAGTGCAAATTTGGGGTTCGTTTACACAGGCCGGATTTTGGCAATTATTTCCTCAGAAACCAGTAAAGCTGGAGATTCACTTTCCGGCCTATTTTGTAGGCAAAAGTGCATTCAATGTGTGCAAAAAATTTCGATTTTAAGTCGCCGTCAGGCAGTTTTTGTAGAACTTTCAAATTTTCGATTGATTTTGGCTCTTGCTTAGGCTGATGGGACTTTCTAATCGATTTCCTCAGAAACTAAAAAAACGTCAAGAAATGCTTTGGGTTTAACTTTGTGAAGAAAATCAATTTCTGGAAGTGGTGAAAGTTTCGATTTCCGCGCGAATTTTTGAAAATTGAGTTCGAGTTTGGGGTTCGTTTACACAGGCCGGATTTTGGCAATTATTTTCTCAGAAATCAGTAAAGCTGGAGACACTTTCAGATCTATTTTGTAGGGAAAAGTGAGTTAATGTGTGCAAAAAGTTTTGATTTTGAGTCGCCGTCAGGCTGTTTTTGAAGAATTTTCAATTATTTGATTGATTTTGGCTCTTGCTTAGGCTGATGGGACTTTCTAATTGATTTCCTCAGAAACTGAAAAAACGTCAAGAAATGCTTTGGGCTTAACTTTGTGAAGAAAATCAATTTCTGCAAGTGGCGCAAGTTTCGATTTCCGCGCCATCATCAATCAGATTTGCGGATTTTTTGAAAATTGAGTTCGAATTTGGGGTTCGTTTACACAGGCCGGATTTTGGC